TTCTCCTCTCTCATCTACACCTTATTGCTTCTTGATACCCCTAAACTCTACTCTTCCGCCTGTCCCTCCTCCCCCACTCATCCGCTCGCTCTCGGCTTTGCTCTCACCGACCGCCTCTTAACGAAACCAATTCATTGTCTTCGCACGTCTATTTTTCCCTACCGCAAAGAGCTCAGTCAACATGTGGTAAGGAAGCTCTCCTCGTCACCGCCTTTGTTACCGCCAATCTTAGCTCTCTTTGTTGCCAGCCACCGAGCTTCCACCGATTCTAGCCTGCGACCATCGCATGTCAGGATGGGCGATGGATACTTGGAGGCAACAATGAGGAACAAGAACAAGCTGGTAGTCAACGGTCTAGGTGGCTCAATTGGCCAAAATAGAAATCGCTAATCGCATTCGACAACAGTGGTATTTTCGGTTACATCAACTACCTGGTCGAGAAGGACCGCAAGTTCATCCTCGACACTCTTGTCAACGGTTAGTTCTCCCACGCAAGTCAAGTCAAGCCAGTCAAGTCGAGCTGTTATTCCCCTCCTCAGCTGGACTGGACTGAACTGGGCTGCCCCTCACCACCCCTTTCACCCCCATGCCCCGCCCCGCCATTCACTGGTGAGACGTGGGATCAGCGCCCAGCTTCGTGTTTGCTGACATTGCTTTTTTGCACAGGTCTGTCCCGTCTCGAGTACCGTGGATATGACTCTGCTGGTCTAGCTGTCGACGGCGACAAGAAGAAGGAGGTTGTTGCCTTCAAGGAGGTCGGCAAGGTCGCCAAGCTCCGAAAGCTCATCGACGAGTCCGACGTCGACCTCGAGAAGATCTTTGATTCACATGCCGGTATTGCCCACACTCGATGGGCTACTCACGGTCCCCCTTCCACCACCAACTGCCACCCTCACCGGTACGTTCTAATACGAGAAAAACCCCAAATTGCCAACTCAGTTCCTTGATTCTTGGTCGGTCTTTTGTCCACATTTGAAGACCTGAAGATCAATGCTGAATTGGGATCAAATCGGGACACCGTGTGCTAACCATAACCCCTGAATGCAGATCTGACGCCAACTGGGAGTTCACCGTCGTCCACAACGGTATCATCACCAACTACAAGGAGCTTAAGACTCTCCTCCAGACCAAGGGTTTCAAGTTCGAGACTGAGACCGACACTGAGTGCATTGCCAAGCTCACAAAGTACATCCACGACCAGCACCCTTCCATTGGTTTCACCGACCTGGCCAAGGCTGTCATCCAGGAGCTCGAGGGTGCTTACGGTCTTCTCATCAAGTCCGTCCACTACCCCCATGAGGTCATCGCCGCCCGAAAGGGTTCTCCCCTCGTTATCGGTGTCAAGACCGAGCGCCGCATGAAGGTCGACTTCGTCGATGTTGAGTACTCCGATGAGAACGCTGCCCTCCCCGCCGAGGCTGCTGCCCAGAATGTCGCCATTAAGAAGAACGACCTTCTTGCCCCTGACTCTGGCCTTCTCGGTGCCCCCGACAAGTCCCTCCTCCACCGATCTCAGTCTCGTGCCTTCATGACCGATGATGGCATGCCCATGCCCACTGAGTTCTTCCTGTCGTCCGACCCTTCCGCCATTGTCGAGCACACCAAGAAGGTCATGTACCTTGAGGATGATGACATTGCCCACATCCACGAGGGCTCTCTCAACATCCACCGTCTCAAGAAGGCCGATGGCAGCTCCAATGTCCGAACTATCCAGACCCTCGAGCTCGAGCTCCAGGAGATCATGAAGGGTAAGTTCGACCACTTCATGCAGAAGGAGATTTTCGAGCAGCCCGAGTCCGTCGTCAACACCATGCGTGGTCGTCTCGACATTGCCAACAAGACTGTCACTCTCGGTGGTCTCCGCTCTTACATCTCCACCATCCGCCGATGCCGCCGTATCATCTTCATTGCTTGCGGTACCTCTTACCACTCTTGTATGGCTGTCCGTGGTATCTTTGAGGAGCTTGCTGAGATCCCCATCGCCGTTGAGCTGGCCTCCGATTTCCTTGACAGACAAGCCCCCGTCTTCCGTGACGACACCTGTGTCTTCGTCTCTCAGTCTGGTGAGACCGCTGACTCTCTCATGGCTCTCCGATACTGCTTGGAGCGCGGTGCCCTGACCGTTGGTATTGTCAACGTTGTCGGTTCTTCCATCTCTCTCCTTACCCACTGTGGTGTCCACATCAACGCTGGTCCTGAGATCGGTGTCGCCTCCACCAAGGCCTACACTTCTCAGTTCATTGCCATGGTCATGTTCGCTCTTTCCCTGAGCGAGGACCGTGCCTCCAAGAAGGCTCGTCGTGAGGAGATCATGGAGGGTCTCTCCAACGTCTCTGCTCAGATCAAGTCCATCCTTGACCTCGACTCTTCCATCAAGAAGCTCTGCGAGAACTTCATGAACCAGAAGTCTCTTCTCCTTCTCGGACGTGGTAGCCAGTTCTCCACTGCCCTTGAGGGTGCCCTTAAGATTAAGGAAATCTCTTACCTTCACTGTGAGGCTGTCATGTCCGGTGAGCTGAAGCACGGTGTCCTGGCCCTGGTTGATGAGAACCTCCCCATCATCATGATCCTCACCCGTGACGACCTCTTCAAGAAGTCTCTCAACGCCTACCAGCAGGTTATTGCTCGCGGTGGTAAGCCCATCGTCATCTGCAACCCCGACGATGAGGAGTTCAAGGCTTCTGAGGCCGAGAAGATCGAGATCCCTAAGACCGTCGACGTTCTTCAGGGTCTCCTCAACGTCATCCCTCTTCAGCTCATTGCCTACTGGCTCGCTGTTCTCGAGGGTCTCAACGTTGACTTCCCCCGTAACTTGGCCAAGTCGGTCACTGTCGAGTAAGCTTATTACTGTGTTTGACTAGATGTCATTTACAGTACGAGCTTGGCGGCTGCTTGAGTTACTCTTGGCTTGTCAACAAGAGGTTTATGATGACGTTTGGAGTTGGGTTTTGGACAACACTGGCTTGCATTGAGTACATTGGTCAAGTCTTTTGTGTATAGTCTCCCTGGGTAGCATGGAACGATTGTTTGGCAAAAATAAATGAATAAATGGGAGGCCAGGAAACCAGGCTGGTCTGGTTTAGTTTTAGATGATATACCTCAAGAAGAGGTTGGATAAGCAGGTTGGCTTATTGACGATACATAGTCTAGGCAACGTAATCACGAATATTTAAGTCTTGCAAAGTACACAAGGAGTCTGACAATGCTTTCACTGATGTGCATGTCTTGTTTCGGTTTCCTTCACCGTTTCATTTCCGCTCTCATAAATGAGGAGAGGTGTTCCTCCCAATCATAGTATGCGAATTTATTTCTTAAAAATATTGTCATCATCATGATTGTAATTTAGGTAAACCCTTTCTAATGCAACATAATATCAAGTCTCTTGCTTGAATTCTTGTGTGACCTCTTATCAAGTACATTTGTAACGAGTCCTTGCCACAACGTTCTTCCCATTAACAAATCCTAGTAGCTTTAGACAGTTTGAGTGCCATAGCCACGGATTCTCTCCGCAAAAGCCCAGCTCTGAGCCTCCAACTGCAGACCATCGTCAATCTCCACACCCTCCTTAGTAACAACAGCCATTGAGTAGGAATCCAGACTGCGAGCATCACGGTAGAACAGGACCTTCATGCACTCCTTAATAATCTTGATAGCACCCTCCTTGTCCAGATTCTGAGAAGCCTCCTCGTCGGGAACATGGCGACGCATGATAGGCTGAGCCAACATAGCACCGAAACCGGTGGCCAGGCTGGGGGCACTATAGGTGCTGCCGAGAAGGTCGGCGGCAGCAAGGAAAGGCTTGTCATCGTCGTCGAGACCAGCAACAAGGAGGTGGTTCCAGAGGGGATCGAATTTGGAACGGCGGCGGTAGAGAAGCTTGGCGAGATAGCGGTGGAGGTTTGCGGCGTTGAGACGCGGTGCGTCGGGGGAGGTGTAAGCCTCGTCGAGGGACAGCTCGATGAGGTGGCGGTCGAGATACTGCATGTCGGAGATATCACCGCTGAAGCCAACAACTGATGAGTCGGCGAAAGAACGGAGTCGCTTAACGTCGGTGAAACGGGCGAGAGAGCCGTATGAAGCTGAGAACTAATTAGATTTCGTTACAGTATTGGTATAGGAAAGGTAGGACGGACCTAGGTTATCGGCGGCCATGACAACACCATCCTTGAACTTGACGGCGATGACGGAGGTACCAGTAACAATGGGCTGCTGGGTGTTTTGCTTGGGACCATTATCACTCATGAAAGAGGCATCGTAGGCGCCGTAAACATCGTCTCTGGGCTGTTTAGGGTCAGCTTCATTACAATTGATGATATCGAGGGGTCGATATAGGTTGACATACACGACCCCAAGCTTGCGGACGGTGATCCATCTTTTATGTGGTTGAGTCGGAATGTGATTGGGAAAGGCGACGAAGTATATGACTTGTGGTAATATAGTGTCTCGCCCAGGTTGAAGTGAAAATTCGTCGTTGTCAAGGTTGATGATGTTGATGATGAAGTTGAGAGAGAGCTACTCTTTGGTCCAGCCTTGCTTGACCTCACTGTCGCGTCCAACGGCAGCCTGCGAACAGCGGATGAGGTGGAGGTGCTAAAGTGTTACATAAGCTGTTTTCCACAGCAGTGATTGGTCTGATGCTGTAGCTGCAAGAGCTGTAGCTCAGAGTTAGTAGGTCGTAAAAGAGTACATGCCGCGACAGCCACAAGTGGTGTAGCACGAGGGTACCTGTCGTCTGCCTTTACCATGGAGCTCTTTCCGCATGAAGTTGAGCCCACCTGCCCACCCGCTTGCCCACCTTTGCGGGCACGGAAACTGCCCAGAATACCTAAAACCATTGATTTAGAGGTAGGCTCAACACCACCAGCCTCATGCCAAACTAGACCAATTTCTCACCGTACACAAAATTCAGCCTCGTCTCCAGTCGCCCGTCGCGTGCTCTCGAAACGCACCCATCGCGCAAAACTCAATTCCCTCCAGTCAAACCAAATCCACCTCTCACAATGCTCACCTCCGTGGGTAGGGTCGCCGTTCGTCGCGTTGCTCCCTCTGCCCAATTGATCTGCCGCCAGTCCGCTGTTGCAACTGCGCTTCCCATCCGAAGCTTCACGGCCTCAACATGGTCATCCTCTCCTACCGCGAGCGATAAGAAACCCGCCAAGAAGACCACGACCAGCACCAGCACCAAGAAAGCCACCGGTACCACCACTGCGACCAAGTCCAAGTCCAAGGCTACTGAAACCAAGCCCAAGGATAAGGTCAAGGCTAAGTCTAAGGCCAAGGCTGCTGCGGAAAAGTCCAAGCCCAAGAAGGTTGTGGACCCTGAGAAGCTCAAGAGACTTGAGATCAGGGAACTCAAGAAATGGGCCCTCAAGGACAAACCTGCCCAGCTACCATCTTCTAAATGGCTCCTATACATGTTTGAGCAGAGAGGAAACCACCTGGGCGCTGGCGGAATCATTGAGCAAGCCAAGGAAATGGCAGAGAAGTTCCGCCAACTCAGCACATCTGAGATGGATGTATGTTCCTATCGCATCTTCATGACCTTTTTATATGTTCTAATACGTAATCCAGGACCTTGACCGCAGATCATCTATGAACCGTGAGAAGAACCAAGAGAACTACAAGGTTTGGCTTGAGGCTCACGAGCCTGCTCGCGTACACCTGGCCAACAAGTGCCGCCGTCGTTTAGCATTCTTGACTGGCAAGCCCGAGAAGATGATTAGCGACGAGCGCCTGCCCAGTCGCCCACAAGGCTCGTATTCCTTGTATCTCACTGAGCACCACCCAGGTTCTACCCCCACAACCTCTGCCTCCGAACAATTCAAGATACTTGCTGGGGATTGGAAGCAACTCAGCTCAGCCGAGAAGGCTCGCTACGAGGAGAAGGCCGCTGAAATGTCAATCAAGTACAAGGCTGAGATTGAAAAGCTGGATGCCCGCGCAAATGCTATTCAGGAGGCTGCTGAGCATGTCAAATAAAAGAACTTGAGATGTTACTGCCTACATAGTGTAGTATTATACGTAAAAGGACAGTTCTCTTGAGCTTTGTCATGCCGATTGGGACGGGGATTTATGATTTATGGCGGAACTGGCTACAGGGGAAAGGACTCGGGTCATGAAATAAGGGTACTGTCATTTTGTTCTGTTTTCGTGTTTGTACCAAAACGGGTGTTTGGTATCGGGCTCTTGGTAGGACGGGTAGCCTTGAGTACCAGCTGAGCTGGTGATGGGTGGTCATAGTCACTGACAAGTAATCGATAAATAAAGGCTCTTACAATATATGAAACATGTTTTTGTGTAATGTGAATTCGAATGTTCTGCCGCCATGTATCTGTGTCTGATGCTTTTTACGATAAATGATCTATAGCAAAATACCAACCAGCGCCTCGCCAAGAAGTAAAAACATCCAAGTTCTACTCAGTGTCCAAAACCCAGTGTATAGTATAGGATGAAATTCAGGTCATCCCTGCTTCTCATAAGGCGGGATTTCTAGAACCACCTCACTACCTGCGTCGTGCCATTTTACACCAGTTATCTTGACCTGCCTCCCACTGGCAAGGTACAGAAGAAGGTATGTGTGTTTTGTAGCATGTCCCCAACAGTATAAACGAATCCAGTCATGCCTTGGGTCTCGACGGCACCAAGCACCCCAGCCAGCTAAGCCACTCTTGAGATAGTTGTTAAGAAATACCCAGGCATTAAACCGAGCTTCTGCACTCCAATCTTTGCAGTCAAGTAGCCAGTAGCCCCTTTCAAAAGGGTCGATATCCCTTCTTACCGTGGGGCGGTATCTTGACCCCAAGTCGTGCGCGAGTTTTGCAAACTTCTCTGGGATCAGATCTACAGGACTGATATCCTTGACACCAACAGGTGGTGACGGTGGCCGAATTTCTAGACTGCTGTTGACTTGGTCTGCCTGCGAATTCCTTGCTGAGAGTGCTGGGCCTGTATCGCTGGAGCTTCGAACCAGGTCGCCATGTTCCATCTGACTGATCCTGTACCGTTTTGCTGGAGGAGGCTCTGATCCTGCACGAGGCGATCGAAGTGGTGAGCGGTTACTAACCGCGGTTGCTGTCACATGCGTGATCTCTGGCGCTAGATGTTCAAAGGCTACTATTTCAGTATTGGCCGATGGGATGGGAACATTGATTTCTTGATGCTCCTGTGTTGTTGGGATAACATCTCCGGATTCTATGAACCTGGGCGGCTCAAGTGGCAGCGACTCTTCCTGACTGGGGACAGGTAGCGAAGATGTTATATTTAAGCCTCGCCCAGGATCAGGGACACTTTGCGTATAAGCGATTGGTGACGAATATGGAAGAGAGGTTTGAGAAGACTGAGTCCATCCGATATAGCTTTGAAGAATCCGAGACGGCGAAACACTTAACAAACCAGCATCGGGCATAGGATAAGAGTCGCTGATCTGACTCGGGGGCGCGCACCAGGAGTTGACTGACCCAAACCCGACATCATCCGAAGAAGGAATCATATCCTGAGCCACTGTTGTATGAGGAAGACGTGGTGAAGCACGGTTATCCACAGCTCCTTCAAAGCTCATATCCTGCGAAGTGATTTCAAAAGAACGTCCGAACGAAGCTCCTGCCTGGGCCTGGCTGGGCGAAGGTGCCCCTGCATCCTGCGTTGTGGCGGCGCATTGCTCCTCCCTCTCCTGCGACGATATCAAAGAAAGCTCTGTCCGTTTCTGAGGCTTAAATGCGAGATATGCCTGCGCAAGTTGACGGTAGAGGGCATCATCGGCTGACCGACTTGGTGCCGTGATATGGACGAGGATCTCTGTATCGTCCGAGCTGCTTCCTGCCATATTTTGAGAGCCAATAAAGCATGTCGGCTGATACTCGTCTAAAGACACTATCTTATAGAGCGAGTAGAATTATCGTAGGCAGGTAGTCAGAGTTGATAGATAGGTATAGTATAGTAGAGGTTGATGTCCAAAGTGATCCAGAATATTAAGAGAGAGCACGAGCCAGGGGTAAACAAGGGGTATTATATAGATGAAGCAAAAGGCAAGAAATAAGAGAAGACAAGACAAAAAAAGAGATGCTTTAGGCAAAGTACAGAAAGCCAAAAGTCATTGTTTGATGAGGAGAAACGAAGTCTTGTGACGCATCCACAGCGTGGAAGTAGAGCACAGAAGTAGAGGCTGCTGAAGATTGAAGGCAATGATTCACTGATTGGTTGCTACAGTAGGCACCTGCAAGCCCCCCGGCTCACGCCACTACAGTGCAGCGCTCCTCACCCCCACCATTCCATCCATTATATCCATTAGCCTAAGCTGCTAAGGTAAAGGGTCAATTTCAGCCACATACAGCGGGCGGGAGAGATGGACCCCTGCTCTAATTGCTCTCACCACCAAATTAACTTGACTTGGCCTTTTAGTTAGCTTATCGTACAGCACCCCAGGGATCCAGAATCTACCTATACACACTCTCTCTGGCTTATTCTTCCCACCTCCTCAACTCACATTGCGACCGTACTCTCACCTACGCAAACAGACACACCAAGAAAAATATGGCTGAAACGACAAAGTCTAGAGGTCCCCTGGGAAGAGTCGTTGTCATTGGCGGCAACGGCTTTCTAGGCCATCATATCGTCAACCAGGCCCTTGAGCAATGGACAACAACCGCCACTATCGGCGTTGATCTGCGATGCGAGCGCAACCGTAATCCTAAAGCCGAGTACCACGAGTGCGACATCACCGACTCTGAGCGCCTCCTGTCCCTTTTCGAAGAGCTTAAGCCCGATGTTGTCATCCACACGGCTTCACCTGTCGCCGTCAACCCCAAGATTGGTCACGATGTATTCAAGAAGGTCAACGTCGACGGTACCCAGGCTGTTGTCGACGCCTGCCAGAAGACTGGTGTCAAGGTTCTCGTCTACACCAGCTCTGCCAGTGTCATTAGCGATAATGTTACTGATCTGCTCAACGCTGATGAGCGATGGCCTTTGATCCGTGGCGAGCAGCAGACTGAATACTACTCCGAGACCAAGGTATGCTCACGCCATATCTCCACCACTTTAGACAGATTGACTTACGAGGATTTTACTATCTACAGGCTCAAGCCGAGGAAATTGTTCTCAAGGCCAACCGCCAGGACGACTCTAAGCTCCTTACAACCTCGATTCGCCCAGCTGGTATCTTCGGCGAGGGCGACGTCCAGACTCTCGCCGGTATCCTCAACGCCTACAAGCGCGGCAAGCACACGATCCAAGTTGGCACCAACGAGAACCTCTTCGACTTTACCTACGTCGGCAACGTCGCCCACGCCCATCTCCTCGCTGCGCAGCTCCTCCTCGCCACCGCCGCTTCCTCCACCATCCCCCTCGATCACGAGCGCGTCGACGGCGAGGCTTTCTTCATTACAAACGACACCCCCGTCTACTTCTGGGACTTTGCCCGCACTATCTGGCACGCCGCCGGCTACGACAAGGGAACTGAGCCCAACTGGTATCTCAACCGTGAGCTCGGTATCACCTTTGGCTATATCAGCGAGGTGCTTGCTAGCATTCTAGGCAAGACACCCACTCTCACCCGCAAAGCCATCATCATGAGCTGCATGACTCGTTACTACAACATCAACAAGGCCAAGCGAGCATTGCACTACCAGCCTCTTTGGTCTTTGAAGGAGGGTATTGACCGTGGTGTGAACTGGTTCCTTGAGCAAGACAAGGCCGCCGCTGCCCCTGTCAAGGCGTAATGGGTCCAATAACGAGCGAAATGAGCAAGAAAGGGGCGATTTTCCTTAATGAGATAAGAGAGGGCAAATGGGATAAAAACTTCATATTGGCTATTCTGCCGCACATGTTTGGTCTATATATCTAATAGGCGAGCTCTTTAATTATAGCTGATGATGCTTCGACACGAAGTCTGTGGTTACTTGTATTCTAACAATATCATTTCTAAATCTGAAATAATCTTTGCCCTGCTATAGACAAGATGAATTACCCACAAGACTTTGTGATTCACATACGCAGATATTGCACGAACAGAAGGAGTTGGTAGTAAAAGTCTAATCATCAAATCATGAGTACCCAATTGGAACGGAATCTATTGTTCCTATCTCGTCGTCACCTGGATCCGTGACCAATATCCCATCCATGTTTACATCCTCACATCTGACCCAAGCATCCACGCACCTCTTATGCGAGGTATGAATATAGACAATCAATCCCCTTTGCATTCCTTGGCTCCGCCTCATATCGTCTCGTTTTGCCACTCGAGACGGTATCAATCCGCTTATATGATTTACTCCATCCAACTTAGGTATAGAAGAAGATAGAAAGCAGAGAAACTGAAAAAGATTAACAACCCCCTCTCTTGAAACCTTTTTTGTTTTCATAAGAAAAAAGGTATATACCCCCGAAGTTCCTCCCCCCTCCAAGTAATAAACGCTGAACCAAAAAAGGGAGGAGCAGCGTACAGATCTCTTCCATGCCACTCGGGTGGTGTGAGGTTGGAAATGTCGTAGTGTTGGGCGCTGAGAAAAGAAGATTGCCAGAAGGGAGAGCGTAGTCATCCCTCAGGTAAAGTAACAAAAAAAAACTACCAGGTTTGTCGTGCCATACAGTGTAGTATAGTGTAAGAAGGGAAACGACGGAGGCCTTCTTGCGATCAAGTGCTTTTCCTCTTATTTTCGAGCGGTGCAGGCATAATGTAGCACGGCCGTGTGTTGTTTTAAGAAGCAAAGAAGAACGCCGCCAACTATGCAAATGACTCTCTACTCCCAAATCATGCGTTCCAAACTGCATGTGTAAACCGAAATGAAGTCTGAGACCAGGCATTGCCTAGCCCAGTTGTGATCAAGAACATCTCTGGAGAAACAAAATTATCATGAGTTGCCGGACACGCCGAGTCCGCTGCCCTGTCGTCCTAGGCCAGAATTGCGCCATTCACGCCTTCTGCTATGCTCGGCGCTATCAAGCTGGCTATCCGACTGATTGAACTGGTTGTGCCCATAGGGTGATGGATTTAGATCGTTTCGACCTCTGAACCGCGCCGGCGGAGTTCCGTTCCCATTATTAGGGGGAAAAGGCATCGAGGGATCTTGTACCGTGCGAACGGTGGCCTCGCCCTGCCATACCGCTGGGTCAGTTTCTACTCGCCGAGCTGGTGGTCGGGTGGAATTGTCCTGACGGTTGTAAACTTCATTCACATCAGAAATGGAAATCTGTCCCCGTCTATCCTGGAAACGCTTCAGAATGTCCTTCGTGGTAAGGTCTCCGCTGTTGGTGAAGATGTAGGGGTCGTTCATGAGACCGAGAATCTCGTCAGGAACCTGTAAAGAGTTAGTCGACTATGCTAACTTGATCATAAATAATATCACTTCGTACCTGACACATTTCTTCGATGTTCACGATCATCATCTCCACAGCGTCAATGACATACATGGCTTCGCTGTCCATGGCCATCGCTTTAGTAGGGTTTGTTAGAATATTGGGTGCAATGACAGTGGCAAGGTTCCTTGTGTCCATTTTGGATCCAAGGTCCTCGTCCAACTGATGGAACGTCCCGGCCCACTTGAGGAAACTAAAGAGAATTTCAAGACAGTCTCTGTGGCTCTTGGGTAGAAGACAGCAGGTCAAATGAAGACATTGCTTTCTCTTCTCATGATCTGAAATCTTGGCCGCGCTGATCCACAGCCTATACAGCTTGTGGGTCATCAGGGGATCTGGCAGATCTCGCAGGTAACGCTTCAGAAGAGCGGCAAGCTGAACAACTGGTTGCTCCATAAAGCTGACCACGTCGCAGCCCTCTGTGTTGATGGTGTCCACTAAGCCTTGCAGCTTCTTGATATTGCCGTTCTTTCGGAACACACCCTCAACAGAGAGATCCATCTTGCGCATGGATGAGACAATATCATCAACTACTGCTGGGATTCGAAGGGTGCCCGGTCCAACGCCATCTGTTGAGTCCGCGCCATCTCTTTCAATGATGATCTCCAGGGGTACACCAAACACGCCCTTCTTCTTGACGCTCTTGTTCTTATCGTTCTTGAAGGCCTTTCCAATATTTTTCCAGAAGGTTGCTTGTTTGCGCGACTCGATAAAGCTGAGCAGTTCATCCAGAGAGAATTCTTGTTCAATCATGGGCTGCATGGTAAGTACGGCAAGATGACGGACGTTGAAGTACTCGAGACCTGAGAGCTCAGAAAAGAATTTTCGCCCAATTTGTCGGGGCATCAGATCGGACCGCTCTCGATCAGCAGATTGCGTTCGCTGATGACCCTGGGCGGATGGAGCATCTAGGGAGCGGTCTTGAAACGGCTGCGGCAACCTTTGCTGCTGTTCCCTAGACTGCTCTACAGCCACGATTCTTGGAATATCATCCAGTGTGATGCCGTCGTTCTGTCCAAACATGAGATCGGTAGAGTTCTGGCCAGCAGGGCCAGCATCACCAGCTGAGCCTGGGCGTGGTCCCCGACCATCCGTATCCATCACACGAGAGCTTCGGGCCTGTCGAACACTAGAAGACAAATGCCGGTCTAGTCGCGTACTTCGGAGTCTGCGCACATCATTCAGAGTGTTCTCATAAGACGACTCTCGTTTGCTGCCGCCAGGCCCGCGTGACTGGTCCCCTCCCCGAGGTCTGGGATCCCCTCCTGGTCCGTCAGCAGCACCGAAACCGTTATTATCGGAGTCGTCATTGGATCGTGGAAGAGTGCCATTGGCCTTTAGAATATCCAACAACCGTGCCAGTGCAACGCGGAGCAGGAAGACGTATTGCTGTAGTTTTGAAACATGGTCAAGCGGTTGTGTATTGGCCCCAGCGCAGTTCGTGCAGTAAATCTTGCGATCAAGGGTGTTGAAGCGAGCTTCTACCAACGAGCGACCTATATCACGCGAACACCTCGTGCATCTAACACAGTTGAGATGCCACCTCATATCGCCGTTCTTAGCACACTCGTCTTCGACGGATCTGTGGCACAGGGCGCAGTGGTCCGAGTCATTGGCAGAGAGCTTTCCGCCGCTTGCAGTCACTGACAACTGGCCATCATCGTTCTTAACTGCGTCAAGATCACTCAAATCGTCAAGAAACTGGTACAAACCAGTGGAGGAATTCGCTTCACGCTCAAGCCGCAATGCACCTTGAAGACAAATTCGGATGAGGAGCTTGAGATAATGAGCGAGGCCAGTGACAAGTGACAGAAGCTCCTGTGTGACTCCGAGTTTGTGGGTAGCGCTGTCCTGCGTTTTCGAAAGAAGAGAAAAGAAAGAGACAATCTTCTTGCATAGTAGTTTGGCTTCTCGCCCGTAAGACATGCCTGAGCAAAACGTTAGAATCCGTGCAATAAGATTTCAAAGTCAGAGTGTCTTTACCTTTCTGGTTTGAGCTCACCATCGTTGCATCGAGTCTATCTGCAGATTGGAACAAGATCTCAACGTGCCAGATGAAGCGTTTAGCAACAAAAACACCCTCCACATATGAGCCGTTGCTGACATGGAGCAGCATGTCAGAGATACATGCTGCGGACGATTCTTCAAATGTCGATAGAACGCTCCATATACGGAAGACCTTCTCTTCCATACGCTCTTCCTCTTCACGGATAAGGTCTCTACCCGCAGCATCGTCCGTACTTTCAAGCGCAGGTATCGAGTCTGCAGGTTGTGCCAACCGCACATTCCAGAATTTGTGAATCATATAACATTCGGGATGCCAATGTTGATTTTGTCCATTTCTGAAAATCTCAACGAACTGTTTTAGAATGGCAGTCTGGCACCCATTGCATCGCTGGGCGAATTGTGTCGAATAGTGATAATGGCAGTAAACGTTTCCATCATGTTCGTAGTAACTATCCTGGGCGCCGAATATCGTTGAACACAGTGAGCATGTAAAATGATCGACATGGTACTTGCGGTCTAGGGCGGTGATGTAGGAGCCACGAAGCGCTCCCCCGCACTGGTAGCAAAGGAGGCCAAGTCGGCGAAAGTAGTCAGTTTCGCAAAGGGGATATTGTCCTTGGCCGTTCTCGTCCTCGGCTGGGAAGAATTTTGAAGCTACAATTTCACCGCAATCCTACAAGTTGAGCAATTAGCATCTACTACCACCAAGCTATGACTGAGTCGACCTGGGATTCGCACCTGGCACTTAAAACAGTCAAGATGGAATGTTCCATCAAGAGCCCGAACGAACTGGCCCGTCAAGGGTTCACCGCACGCCTGGCATGTCCTCGTCTGGCCACTGACAGACCTCCCATTCCGACCTCGCGATCTGTTCCGCTCAACGCTTTTGCGGGGCGGTTGGTCCTCAGCCCATCCTGGCGGGTTGGGTGTGCCTGGAGCCGAAATGGGCGGCCGCGGTCGATAGTTGCTGTCAGGGGTCCGGGTTCTGAAGTTGCCATTCTGTTGCCAGTTTGAATCAGCATGAGGGGGCATGTCCTGAGCATGATATTGGTGAGATTGGTCGCCATGGCTATGTTCGCCGAGCATGGTTTCGTCGTAGCTCGACGACATGGTGAGAAGAAGTCCAAGACGATATACACAATTCCCTCTCCTCGCTCCGAATCAACCAAAGGCGAATTGTCTATCGGTACCAAAGTTCCAGCAAAGATCGACGGATGTGTGCAGCGGTCGGCATCAGCACCGGCTGAGAGTCGACAATGGCGGCAAAGGGCAACGAGTCGAGGTTCAATTGGCGAGAACAGGCGGTTTGTTCGACAGACGGCAAGAAATGGTAACAGTCGGGAAGAAATAAGGTCGAGTTTTTTTTTTTTGGCGTTCGCGTGACAGCCCAGCAATAAGCCCAGCTCGGACTGGGATAGTAAGAGGCTGCGAGGATAGTAAGAGGCGGCGAGGAGAGCAAGTCGGTGGCAGTGAAGAAGCGATGCGGCACAAGACAACTAGACTTAGTACGCTACGTCAAGCCAGAGCATGTACTGTAAACAGCAAGACCTAGGCGAAGAAGAAGAAAATCAGAGACAATGGGAAAATACGATAGAGACGAGGCGCGGCGCAGCGCGTCTGCGGCGGCGTGGGATGAAGGAGCGTGGGAGTAAAGTCGAAGCTTGTCGTGAGAGAGTTAAAGTATGAATGGTAAAGTAAAGGTAGTAGGTATGGAGTGGTAGGTTGGTAGGTTGGTAGCAGCAGGAGGCGCCTGGTGGTAGGGGAGCTGAGTCCAAGTTGGGTGGAAACCGGGACTAGAACTGGCAGTGGTAGTGGTGGAGAGGAACCCAGTTGAGCCCAGGGCCCCGTACTTTAGATGGAAGGAGTAAAAGACTCCCGGTCTGAGATACCTCCTTCGCAATAGGGGATTAGCAATGTGTGTCTCGTACATTGACTGCTAGGGGCAAACGTCGGGTATCAGCATCAGTGGAGGTCCAGGTAGTTTGTACCTTGGCGGGGGGTTTCTATGGGACCCGAGTGCACTGAAGGAGCCCGAGATTCTGCGCCAGATCAGCTACAAATAAGGGATTAGTGCTAACTAAAAATGGTCTCAGGAGGGACAAGTCGAGCACTAGTACCTGGGCGACCGGATAGCAGCAGCAGTGATAAAATACTGTGTACTTGTTTGGTCAAAGAACTGGGCAAACCAACATGTACTGTACTCGGCAGAGTCGAGTTGAGTCGACTCAATGACAATAGACAGTGCTCCAAACCAATACAAGGTACCGCTGTCGTACACACTTCCTTTCAACGAACGAGATGTGAGGTTCTGGTGGGCTCAGATGGGGGATGCAGAGAAGAGTGGGCCCTGTTGTATTAGGGGCGTTTGAATACCTCGAGGTACGTATAGAATAATTTCCTTCCTTTACTTCCATTGCTTGCAATTTCCAGCCCAGGCCAAGGGGATCCATCAGAGAGACTACCTCATGAGGATCACTGATTTAGCAGCGATCCATTGGATTCTAAAATAAAAACAAACGGTGAATCCAGTGTTTCGAGCAGGAGTCGTTTCCTTCAGGTGCAGGTGTAAATCATAGATGCGATGGGATGCATCAGCACAGCCTTCTATGAGTTAAGTTAGTACGATCCCATCCACGGAGGATCCAATGTCAGATATTCATAGCCTGTACATGACTGTTTTGGGCAAACATAATGATCCTGCTTGCTATCGAGTCCTACGGTCTCTTCCTCTGTCCCATTGGACCCCATCCATGGATGTTTCATGCGCAAAAGGAGGGGCGGGCGAGACGATAATTTCATAATGTCAGCAATTATTAGGGTCCATCACCAAGGATGTCACTCAAGCAACGGCCTGTGGATATGGGGACAGAAATTGCATTACAGACTGTATCCGTACCTGTCTACTATGGTTTAATCACGTACCACGATAACACGATCTTTGTCTCCGAAATATCAAACTTGAACCCACGTCCTTGTCCAGGCGTTGCTGGGAGCGTCTCCGCCTGAAGTCAGCCTGAGCCTCTAACTGGCAACTACTAGATAGCACCCTGTCAGCCACGGTCAAAGCTGTCGCTAGACAAAAGCACGGCTTACAGTTACAGTGCTACCTTGCCCTCAGGGTGTCATAAGAATTGGCCCTCAAGGGAATAAGAGACGAAATAATTCGATCACTTTATGCTAGCATCTAGGCTACTTTATTTCTGTAGCCTAAGCCTTGGAGGACATTTCTTTTGACACCCACCTGCTTGCATTTACTAGCTTGTTTCTCACTGCTCAGTCATGACAAGGTACAGGTATGGTGAGTTTATGAGGTCATTCCAATCCCCGGATTCCCCCTTTAAGCTTGGGAACATGCATCACGATGCTGGTCAAAACGGACTAACAAATGCTTAAACCAGGATGGAGAGAAGGAAAGGGAGAAAGAAAGAGAGAATTATTTGTTTCTCTGCAGGAGGTTAGGAGCAATACAGTCAGATCTACTCTTTTGACATCACGATCTTTGTGAATGTATGCAGCGCTACCGCAAATAACCTTGCCCTGTCTAAAATTGCTTCATGAAGATCCCATCACGTGTGCCCTGCGAGTGTGGAGGGGTTAGGTAGGGGGGCCACACCCAAGAATGCCAACGCGAAGCATACACTAGACACTTGTACAAGCAGACAAGGAGATGCGTTGTATAAAGCATCACAAGTGGTGTATGGGACAGTACATTCCGGGTACTATAGGTAAGTGAGATTCGTTATATGCCACCGCCTAGACAATTCAATTTAGGTAAATATCAAGCGAGTTTAAAGTCAATGTAACATAGACGACATCATATTTCGATTGTACGGTGGTAATAACTGAAAAGAATTACTATTACACGTATGCTGAAGGTATTGCGAAAATAACAGAATAGGAAACCAAATAGCATAAAACATCCATTCTTGTCGCTCAAGTGTAGACGTGCTGTGCTGTGCTGTATATCAGAAAGAGCCAGGAGGTGCATTGCTGATGCTTATGCGCACAACGCAGAACAGTGGGCAGGACCGACCAGGCCTGCTCCATGCAGAAAGCCAACAGATTTCTCCACATCTTTCCGTCTTACATGCAAGCATCGATATCAACAGAACCCTTGCTTTGCATCTCGTTCTCGTTCAAGGGCCGCGGATGTTGATAGGCCAAAGGCCTGTGCCTGGGTTCGAGTCTGACTACGATATTGATTGAAACCGTTATTTCGAATCCCTTCAAGCGTGCACAAGATCTTTGAGTCTCTTTTCAATCTTCTTTCGGCCTTCGACAGTACTCCAGACCTCGTGAGGAGCCCCGTCGACAATGTCCCAGCTCTTCAGGTTCTCCGTCAGCTTGGTCAGATCTCGCTGCTTCTTCTCCCATGTGTGGCTGCTCTTGATGTGCTTGCCAGAGCTGATGACAACAAGCGGCGTGTCCTTGTCCTGAATCTGACGGCTGGTTTGCGCATCTCGTCGAGTGAAAGAGCCGGCCACCAGACTCTCCTGCAACTTGGCAAAGATGAACTTGCCGTTCTGCTGTGCTGATCGCCCGTATACTCGGTCTCGGCTCGTTCGTCCGCGGAAGATAGCACCAGGGATTCGGTCCAGTCCGAGCGGAGAGATAACACCCCAGAGCCAGAGAATAAATCCTCGGCTGGGCGATGCTACATCATCGAGTAGATCCTCATGTAGAGGGTCGACAAGGAGTAGGCCTTTGATGTGGTCTCCATGTCGTGCTGAGAAGACCCTTGAGTAAATTGAACCAATTCCGGCACTCGCAAGAATCCACGGTCCATGCTCGCCAGCACCGGCAAGAGCCTCGCTAAGGGTATCAACAACGAAACCTGCCGACGAAGGGGAGGGCGCATTGTCCGACCAGCCGTATCCAGGCCGGTCAGCAAAGCAATATCGTGAGATGGATCCATTTTTGACAGCGTTGTCGGCAAAGTTCCAGAACTCGTGTTCGACGGTTCGCTCGCCAGCCTCGAACAAAACCGTGGGTAACTCGTTACCCTTGGAGTCAGTCTTGTTACCGTGGCAGTAGACATGGATGCGATATTTCTCATTGTCTACCCAGTGCAGCTTTCCTGGAGGCGGCACACCTGCATCGAGAGCTCGAAGGATGATGGTTAGAGTAATGAGGAACACAGCAACTGACATGACGGCATAGGCGACAGTTGAGATCATGACCTCGGACCATTCGAAGAGGGTCCTTCTGGTCTCGGCTCGACCGGTTAAGCGCTGTTCCTCTTCGGCCTTGCCCCATTTCACCATGCGGTCAACCAAAAGCGTCCAGAGACTGGTGAGTAGAGCCCAGATGACGCTGATGGCACCGATCCAGCCTTCTTCATAGCGAGTCTTCTGCACAGACAAAAGAAGAATCATGTCGAGGAGAATAACGCCCTAACCAGAATGTGAGTACGAAGAGTTAGTCGTGATAATGGTGTTATCACTTACCGACATGAAAATGGCCAGAATCCTGACAGATTTGGATGGCACCTCGAAGAAGAGAAGCGTGAAGATGAGGTTTACGAGCGTCCATGTCGCAAAGCCGAAAGCAAACCAAGGGCTGCCACGAGTATTGATGCCAGGTGGTGTCACAAAGGTGGACACTAGAAGCAAGATCCAGAAGACTAGGGTCATCAAGGTGAAAGCAATCGTCAGATATCGCAATGCCCGAATGCTCCAGAGGTTGTAGGGAGATACTGCAGGATCATCGGGTGCAAGCAGACCAGGTTGGGTTGAGTTGACGCGGTTTGGTAGCAGTCGAGTATGCTCATCTGGAGCGACCTGGTCACCTTCCTCGGGGTCATGGATGGCGCCATTTGAACCGTTCGGTCGCCTCTCATCGCGTTCCTGGCTCAGATCCCTCTTTGGGGATGAGAAAAGCGGCATGATGAAGGTGCAATGTCGAGCGTGCTTTGTGTAAGTGCGGATGAGAGAGAACTAGGATGCGATTTGGACCTCAGTTGTCAGGAATTAAATGGCAAGTCGCACAAACAACGTTCACGGAGAAAAAAGGACCTTCGGTTTCAATTGTCTAGCTCTGAGACTGTCAAGGTTTCTATATAAACCAAGCTCTAAGGCGTTGGTGCTATGCTGTACAGGCTGTCTAATACTAATACTTCCTACGGCGGCTGTTTCTATGATGAAGCGAACCTACTAAAAAGTAGAATACGTCATAGGCCAGCCATTTCAGCTTGCCAGGTCACCAATCGCCTCCGTTAGCGGTTCACAAGGGAGGGCTAGCGCGGACACAAGCTTCCGGGACGTGGAGCTTGGAGCTGAAGCTTGGCTTTTTGAGTTAAAACATTTGATCCTATGGATATCACAGAGTATGGAGTTAATCATGGGCCATTCCGGCCATCAGAAAACAAGGCAGTAAAAGAATATCGTTTGGTTAGAGAGTAATCGATGGTTACCTTTTGAGCATCACATGCCACAGCCAAGAAGTCCTACTTATCCTGCAAAGAACTTACACAGCAATTGAATCTTGATTGCTCATTCTTGGCTTGGCCTGACCTTGCCCGATCTTGTTCGGCATCCAGATCCCGCCCAGCCTTGGTCTTGGTGTCCCCCCAATGACAGCCACAAAGCATCATCATTATCTCAGTTTCAGTTCGACTTGAACATTCCACCAGGATCAAGAACCTCTTTGAGTTGATCGCATCATGTCTGTTTTCTGTCCTTTTTAATTCTTATCGCTTGCGGCGCTAGAATATTAATTAATCATCCCAGCTATCATTCTTACCCGCATTCACATCGCGGTTTTAAAGAAGATGCTACTGTTTCATCAGCAGTGAATCGCCTGCCATCAAAGTCTCACAAATATGTCCCATATCTAACGGCAGTCACTCGCATTCCAGGTATCAGATCATAGTAACATCACGGTCAGAGATTGTGTAAAGGATCTTGTATTCAACAAGGAAAATCGAAACTATTAAAAAAGGTCTGTCTTCCAAACGTCAAGTATTATAAATAGGTATAGTAGGTAGGGTATCTTTACTTCCTTTCACCAACTCCAGGCTGCGCTCGCTTGCAGTAACATATAAAACAAATCATGCAAAAGGGCCAGTCACCCTCTTGCTTAAGTTCATCCATCAACACACATTATCCCCGTAATGACTGACAGGGATCAAGAGTCCCAAGGAGTAACTGGATTAAACTCCTTAGCGCTAGGAGCTGTACTGAGACCGCTCGATACTGAATGAGACGCTTGACTGCCTCCCGAATAAGATTGTGCGGTTTCTCGCTGCTGTCGCGCCCGCTCGTGTGCCTTTTCCGGACTGGGGCCTCGAGTTGAAGTGATGGCGTCCTCGGGTATCTTCCCAATTGGTAGATGCAGCTTCACTGCTGCTCTTGGGTCTTTCATGTCGATGCCATGCTTTTTGAAGGTGTTCTTCTTCTGCTCCTTCATAGCCAGCGCTGATGGTTCGCTTACTGACAGCCAGTCTTTGACTTGGGAGAACCATCTGGGTTTGCCTGTTTTGGATTTTCGTGTATCCGTTGACGACATGGACGTGCGGGAGGTCTCAATACCGCTGATGGATGGATCGTACTCATAATACGACTGGCGTTTTATGTAGGCTGATGACCTTGGGCTGACAGGTGTATCTGAGGTTGATTCGGTGGTAGACGACATGGTTAAAGTGATTTTGGCCTCAAAGTAGGCCTAGATTTCGATTTTTCTTGTGAGTAAATGGTGTGATATTGGTTGACAACGGATGTACTCTGATGAATAGCAGTCGGCAAGGTTCTTAAAGATGATGATATATCTAACAGGAAATAGAGATGGCGAGATAACTGAGGTTCTCCAAAAGGTCTTGAATATATGAATGATAGAGAGTATTGGACGTTTCTGAATTTGGCATAGTCCTTCACACCACAGCTTCACTCGTGATCGTTATTCGCCTCTTAAGCAAGACTTTGACGCCTTCGTAACGGGCTTGTAAAGAGAAGAACAAAGGGTAGTCAAGTGCTGATGTTTAATAAACAAAAGTACAATGCCATGCAGGAACAAAGTCAATGGGGTAAGGTATTTGTGTGGCCCCAAACGGTTTGTTCCAACGGCGGCAGCGGGATGATGATGGTCGATGCAAGTGCACGAGTCGTGCAACGCATAAATGGGAAGCACTGCCGACGGAAACTAAAGGATCGACGGGTAGATGGAATGCTATGAAAGCTAGCGATTTCGCAAATGGTAAAGATAAGAGGCGGAAAGAAGAGTAGAGCCGAGTGAAGAATAACAGATGGATATAACTGTTGTTTGAGATGAACAGAGAGAAGATAGAGAAGATAGAGAAGAGAGGGGAAGACTGATAAAAAGGCAGAGAGGGAAAGAGGGTTTGAAGAAAGAACGAGCCAGACCAGAGCTGGCGTGTTTGCCCACAAACCGTGATCCAATCCAATTGATGTGACTGTCAAATAGTGTCACCCAAAAGGCTGTTCAGCACCAACAGTCATCCCGGGGGGGAGTGGTCAAGTGTCGAGTGTCCAATAGTACAACACGAGGCACTGCAATTGGTATGTGAGATCTTTTGCTTCTTTATCCATTCATTGCCTTTTTAGTATCCATACCTTACCCAGGCTACCTAATTGCTATGCACCCTCCCTCGTCAAGCCTCCAGCGTCACTTCTACACCAGCGCTTCCAAAACCATGGATTCGTGCAAATCATGCAAATGCAATGCAACGCAGCGTCACACCCTTACATAAATAACCAGGTTATAGTACCGCCAAGTCCGATCTTGGCTTAGTTCCAGCTGAAGAATTAGCACGTAAAGATGAAAAACCAAAACCCTGGAATTGTTAGATGTGGGCCACTGGTTGGTTCATGCCCTCATCAGACAAGGGAAACCCAGAGAACAGTTTCTTTCCGAGGTCAAGTTGTCTTCGATAGTGCAACAGCGTGTCCCTGTGGCTGACCTTTGTCCCTGTCTCAGCCGAGGTTGAACCTCAGATGATGCGTATCAATGGATTCAATGGAGTAAAATTCTGAAGTGGCACTGAACTAATCGCAAATGCCGGCATCCAAGCTCCAAGTTGGGCGCCACGTCGTTGGAAACCGAAAGTCTTTCAGAATACTGGCGTCAAGGTAATATGGATTCTTAGACCCGAGAATTCGGTCTATCGACAAAGCAAAAAGTGTCAAACGCCTTTTTGGGTCGATCACTAACGAGATGGGAAATGCCATGTCCATGGGGTTTCTGCAATAATGGCATCAGTCTTTATGTGGGCTGGCTAAATCTCTCAAGTGACACAGTAAAAAGCAAAAGATGCTCAATCGAGGAATCCACGCCGATCACTTCCTATCAATGGTTTAAAGAAATTCGACAACCTTTTCGTGGGAGACACAAAGTTTTATGCAAGTCTTGCATCAATTGTTCAACAGAGTTTACTACACCAACAACTAATGCAGCACTACGTCGTTAGTCAAGAGGCATTTTCGTATTACTCTACCAGCAGCGTTCGCCATCTCCCACTTTTTATTAAATTCCCCTGACTACTAGGTACTTCCAACGTCTTTACCAAAGTCCCTACAGAAGAGCATAAACTTTGCGCTCTGAGCACGTTTTTGCCATGGCAAACACACAAATACCGTATCCCGGTGCAGAGATACAGTCCAGTCCTCGGCGAATAGTAATTCACTAATGCAAAAGAATGGATTTATGACATGAAAGGCCCGAGTTGGTGTTTTGCAGTATCCGCCCAGTTGATCACAGCATGTCTAAGACTCGAGTATCCATCATACCATTTCCGAGGATTTGGTACGTCTGTGGCATCCAGGCCATTCCGTTGTCTCGGGTAGACGTTTGAATCGTTCAAACTATCGAACCGCGATGTCTTAGTTCTCAAGTGCTCAGCAGTCTAGACAGCAGCCCAATATTGAAGACGTTGTACTAGAGGTCTGGACCGTAATCCATCCCGTTTATCCCTTCAGGGTTGACTCCGAAGTGATTGATTGGATGAAAAGCGTTACTGGTAGTTCAGCATTGTGTCTCTTTCAAGATGCGCCTGCATAAAGAAAAAGCATATTTGTGCTCGTTCGGATGAGAAGCTGAGAAGAAGTAAAGTTATTGGAGTGAATTACAAGGTGGCCCGTGCGTCTGTGCATCGGAACTGGCGCCAGATCGTGTCCGATCGACGTCTTGAAGTGGGACAATGAGATCCAATCCCAGTCTGCAAGCATGAGTGGCCAGGGTCCATCCATTTACAGGTTAGTGCCTACAGGACGTCCTACTGTACCTACCTCTACAGCAGTGACTTGAATCCTCACGATCTAGTCAATAATAATAAGTCAGTTGTCTCCGTAAAACAGTTGATTCATCTCAAAATAGCATTTAGTTTGGCTCTTGTCGTACTGACCTTGATTAATTGTTTCAAACAATAAAATCATAGCCAAATGACAAGTCACAGTGTCTGTCTTCTGTCTGTCTGAGGTTACATTCAATCACTGTCACTTTTTAGTCGTCCATCTCTAGTCGACCCCGCCAAAAATGCTCCAACTGCCACTAAAATTACCGTATTCAGTCTCCTTTCTCTTATGTCCATCTCCCATTTCACATTCCAAACTCTCTCTCATCTTCCGTCTTAAATCCAGCGTCCGAGCTTCTATTGGACCATTTCCTCCGCCCCTCGTCGGCCACCACCACCCGACCCAGACCGTGACTTTAGACCTCTTCCCCGTTTATCGGTGCCTATTCAGCTCAGTCTAGCTCAGCTCAGCTCAGCGCAACAAGCTCCATCACCAGACGCCTGCCGAGTCAACAAAGACACTCACCTGCGGCGCAACGCAATCATGCCCGCCCTCACGATCAACACTGATAACCTCCCCAGCGACAATCCTCCTTCACCAAGCCGACCGCCTGTTTCTCCTCTCACTCCGCCGCTGCGTCCTACGCAACCCCCCGCGCCCGAACCTTCTAGTTCTAGCGCCGCCCCTCGCCCAAGCTTTACACATTCACAACCCGACCAGACTGCCATACCGCCGCCGGCGCCTCAACCGCTAGACTTTGATGCGAACCCAGATGTGATCGCCCTCAAGTCGGCGATTTCCGTTCTGCAAATACAGCGACAACGTGCCACCGCCGATATCCAAGCCCTCAGCCGCGCAAAGGAGGAAGCAGTGCAGAATCCCGAGGCCTTTATAAATGATCTTGTCGCAAACAAAATCAATGCGCCTACCAATGACGACAGTGATAGCGACGATGAAGATACAGAAATGAGCGGGCAAGGCTCAGAAAGTCAGCAGAAAGACCCCGGCGAAGGTTCCTCCAAACAGCGCATCGCTACGGAACCGCCAGCATGGCAGAAAATTCCTCAACCACAAAACGTGGTTCGATGCCCACCCATAAACTGGTCTCAGTATGCTGTCGTAGGCGAATCCCTCGACAAGCTGCACAATGAGCAAGTCGCCCGTCCAAGTCAGGGCACGCCAGCAACTGTGGGCGCAACCGGAATGTACGAGTTCAAGGGCGAGGGAAAACAGGAAAGATACCAAGGTGTTGCAGCACCTTATGCTCCGACTCAGGATCGCCTAAAGAAGAAGCCCAAGAGCAGAAAGTCATGAGCAACGACGGCAAAACGACGTTTACGAAAGAATGATTTTGCATGCAGTTTATCAGTATCATATGAGCGAATATTTTTGGCAATGGATTCACACCATTTGCGTTCCGGCGTTATTCATAGATGGGATGATCGGTGCCTTTCGGTGTATACCGTACAGGCAATACACAACCCAGCGTTTCAGTTTGCCATTCTCAAGACCCCTCGAATAAAGTCTAGAAAGATTCTTTATGTAGCCTGTCCTGTGATTTCTGTTGCCGATTTATAGCATTTTCGACTAGCAATCATGATCCGGTCTCTTTATCTTTCAAGAACATTCACACCTACTGTGACTGGCAAGATACATCATCACTACTGTCAATTGCGCTTATGTAGCTGCAAAGATATGGTCCATTTTTCTACTGTATCGATTTGATGCCTCGTAGTAAGTGGCCTCTACTTGAATGAAATGGCAATCCTCATAACATTTGTTTGCCAGATACCCCAATGCCGTAACGCCAGATAAAGCCCAATGATACCCCTCAATGTTTGCCGGTACGCCTTCCTTGTGTTTTTAAGTACATCTCTGGATGATGCCTTTGACATGGTACATAAATCATTCCGGGAAGTCCCTGCGAAATCACGTCAGCGAATCTTGCATGGTTATAGAAATTGGCTGTGAACTTACTCCATGCTCTGCTGCACAGATCGGCGAAGACGTCTGTTGTACTTCTTCTTGTCGTCAGCACTACCACCCCAGTACATCTTGGTGGCTTCTGGGTTGACGATCTTGCGAGGGTCATAAGCGGGCTCGTCATCTTCGAGAATAGAAAAGATAGCTTCAATGTGCGACCGTACGTCTTCCCTCTTGGTGGGGTTCGGGGTATAGCATGCCGTCCCATCTGCAGCAATGTGGTGGTGGAAGATCTTGGTCTCGAACTTGACACGAGGTTGTTCCTCTGGGAAACGGACGCTGAAGTTCATCTTGATTCTGAATAAGCCTCCGTCGAGGTTGGTCATGGGTCGTCCGAAATAGGTTACAACCCAGACAAATGGGTTCTCGTTGTCGAGAAACACGTCGTGGGGCATATCGCTCCTTTTGAACGCCTCGACAACCTGCTCAAACTGGTGCTGAAGGTTCACGGCGACGGTGGTCTCGCGTTTCTTGGCATCCAGGCCCTCCTCGGCCCATCTCAGGGGCTCAACGTCGATAGCGGCCTTGATAGCATGTAGGCGACGTTCGAGCTCCGGATAATTGAATTTTCCATCCATAGAGTTGTTACCAGGAGATTCGAATGGCATCCTCGCGAACGGAAGGTTGGGCTTGGTTTCCTGCTTGCCCTTCTCGACGGCTGCCAGATATGACTCGAAGTACCATAAGAATCGGCGTTTGCAGAGGTCCTTGAACGGTTCGAAGGGTACTGTGGCTTCATCGATATCTTCATCTTCCAATTCCGGCCCGACAGTACTGTGTTGCTGAGATCCGCTAGAACTGAGTCCAAGATATCCCTCGAGGCGTTGGATGACACTAATACGTAGCGTTTCATGACGGATCTGATCAATGTCAGGGGCTTACATACTCGCCCAGTTCGATAAAGCACTAACCTTCTGAACATAGTCTTTCTGGTTTTTCTTGTCAGACTCCTCGTTGGCATCCTCAAATCCGGGTTCGTTCTCGTAGGGGTTGGATGAAAGGAGACTCTGGATGGACAATAAGATCGACTCCAGTCCTTGCGCAGACGACCACTCTTCCCCGCGCTCGCCACGCCACGTGCTGATAAGTGTCAATTCAACCATGCGAGTTTATAATAGAACCATAGTTACCCTAAGATTGACCTGATGAAGTTAGCACGTAAAGCCAGTGTTGATCAATGCGACATGGTACTTACAGGCAGACTTTGCCATTACTATAGACATTGGGGTTGAAGCGGCAGCGTCCACCATTTGTGGTGACACAGACGACAGCCGGCGACTTGGAGGGATAATCTGTCATAAAGAATAAAGATGAGACTAAGGTCCGCCATAGGAACGGGATTCCTAACCTTTGTGGAACCGGATCGCAAACTGACATATTGGGTCAGTCGGTTTCTTAGATAGAAGCAAGGGGCAGTGCTCTAAACTAACCTCGAAGAATCCGAACTCGTAGGGCGTCTCGTGGGGGCCCATAACCAAGGCTTTCACATTGCGAACATCGACATCACGGCATGCCACAGCAATTGCTGAATGTATCGATAGTGGTCAGTCAATTGTCCTCACGATGCGTAGTGCATACTATCAGCTGGAATTAACATACACAGATCGCAATTCTTCTGGATATCGCCAAGTTCCTTGCCATAGAAGTTAGTGTCTTGATATTGATATTGATCTCGAATCGTGAACCAAGCAAGGGATGGGATGAAGTGCAAGCGGATGCGGGGCAGCAAACCTTCGAGATGCGGATGATAGACTGGTCCATGGCGTCTTGTATACGGCAGTTCAGATATAGGGATTTAGGTGTTGACGTTGACTGCGAAACGCGACGCACATGGACGATTCGCGATCAATGTTCAGTGTTGAATTTGTGAGATCTCTGTTGGGCAATAGAGAAAGGTGATTGACGTTGGGTGTTGTAGCTGTCAAAGTGGGATGTGAGACTGAGACTGTTTAAATCGGGCGCATGAGGAAAGTGGGGTGACTGCCGCCTCGCTGTTAGTAGTGTTGGTCGGGCCTTTCCAATAGGTGCTTGCAGTGCTTTTATAATATGCATTACATGCAATAGACAGTAGAATGAAAGTAACATTTGGTCTTTATTTGAGTAAATAGTCCAATCTTTGTTCTTACAAACAGTTTGTGACCTTTTGACTTTTAACCTTATACTACATACAACCCAGTTATTGGATATTGAGAGTGGATGTTCAGCTATTCACGCTTGCAACATCTGATGATTCAGTCCATGTTTGTGTTTCTCCTTTATGTAAACGAAACGTCTTTGAGGGTTTCCATACGTAGTCTTTTGAAATTCGAAATCCTGTTAGTTCCATCGCCGATTTATTGTCCCTGCGTGTGCATATGCTACATGGCATATCCACGAGACGCTTGCACAAAGGTAATGAATGAGTAGGACCTCAGGCAAAGTATGACTGTAAATTAAACCACACAATTGTTCAAGCAAGTATCAAGTGATTATATCATGTGGAATCACTGTACATCGGCAACCGAAACCTTCCCTACCATCTAACCCGTGATGGATGTTTCCATAGATCCAATATCTTGATGTCTTGATACCTCTGATAGAAGCCTACCCGGGAGCCGCTGGCTTGGAAGGTGGGGCACATGTCGCTGCTACCTAGCGGTTGCCGTTAGAGATGCGCTACGCGTAGCTTGACGCGTTAATTGATTTTCTCGAGCTTCCGCATCAACGCATCTCGGCGATTTAGAGACTACCATACAACGACGTTAAGTTAACGTCCATCACCACCTGCATAGCCGACCACATACGCACAGGAACACGAGGCGTATATTGAGCTAAAATGGCTAGCTTTTTCGATCTTAAAGCCAGAAAAGCTGCGGCTGCCGCTAATGGCAACGCCGACCAGAAACAGGACAAGCCTACCAATACTCGGACTCAACCCTGGGTCGAAAAATAGTATGTATTTGCTCAAAACAGAACATTGAACGCAAACTCACTTTCTGCCTATAGCCGACCAAAGACCCTCAGCGATGTTACCGCTCAAGATCATACCGTCGACGTATTGCAAAGGACCCTTCAGTCCTCCAACGTGCGATTATCCTACCCCCGAACCACCGCGACCCATCAATACTGATTATCGTAGCTCCCTCACATGCTATTCTACGGCCCTCCTGGTACAGGAAAAACTTCAACCGTCCTGGCGCTGGCAAAAGAGCTCTACGGTCCCGAAATGATCAAGTCGAGAGTTCTCGAGCTCAACGCCTCCGATGAGCGTGGCATTTCCATCGTCCGAGAAAAGGTCAAGAACTTTGCGCGAATGCAATTGACCAACCCGGCCCCTGGCTACAAAGACAAATACCCCTGCCCTCCGTTCAAGATCATCATCCTCGACGAGGCCGATTCCATGACACAAGATGCCCAGAGTGCACTACGACGAACTATGGAAACGTACAGCAAGATCACCCGCTTTTGCTTGATCTGCAACTATGTCACTCGAATTATCGATCCCCTTGCCAGTCGATGCAGCAAATTCCGATTCAAGAGTCTGGACCAGAGCAATGCCAAGAAGCGACTCGAAGAGATTGCAGAGAAGGAAGGCGTGTCGCTTGAAGACGGCGCTGTTGAGGCTCTCATTAAGTGCAGCGAAGGTGATCTTCGAAAAGCAATTACCTACCTACAAAGTGCTGCTCGACTGGTAGGCGCCAGTGCCCCCGACAAGGACGGAGAGGGTGACGAAGCGATGGATGTGGACAAGCAGGCAGTTACAGTCAAGATCGTTGAAGACATTGCCGGTGTCATCCCGGAAAGCACCATACACGATCTTGTCAGCGCAATACGCCCAAAGAGTTCGGGGTCACAGTATCAGGCTATCTCTGATGTTATCGAGAAGCTGGTTGCAGATGGCTGGAGTGCAGGTCAAGTTGTGGGCCAGGTAAGTCGAACACATACCCTTTAACCGAATATTCACTGACATGTTGCAGCTCTATCAAACCTTGATATACGATGGCACAATTCCTGATGTGCAGAAGAACAAGATCGTTCTGGTCTTTTCAGAGGTTGATAAACGATTAGTAGACGGAGCTGATGAGCATCTTTCAGTCCTCGATCTGTCCGTGAGGATATCAGCCATCATGGCGAAGAAATAAGTTCTTCGACCTCATATGTAGGATTGTATCTCAGCAATGAGGAATGGAGTTGTGGTTAGATATGGATGGGCGTTTAAACTGGTTCTATACTGCCAGACATTTATTGTACTTGACATTGTTTTATGGTAGTCCTATACCGCGTCCTCCTGGCCAATTAATCCAAGGTTGCCATGCAAACCAGACCAGGCATCTTGTGGTTGCCCCGAGTTGCCCTTTTCCGTGTGCTTCCTCGTCTTACTTGGAGACTTGGGACCTGCTTCCAACCAGACATCATCTTCCGTCGTATCGGCTTGAGCCTCTTCCTCTTCCTCCTCGTCGACCTGACCCAGAAGATGATCGATCTCTTGCAATGTCTGCATAGAATTTTCCAACGCAAGCTGGCCGCCTTCAACCTGCTCCGCCACGTTCTCAAGGGTTGCGATTTTGGCCGAGTCGGCAGCAAGAACCCAATGTTGAATCTTACCAGTCAGGCCTGACCTTTCACCAGAGGGGAGGAACTCCCCTAAAACAGATCTGCGTCGAGATGCCGGTGCAGAGGAATGAGACGAGAGGAACAGGCTTTCTTCTTCCAGATGTTCAAGTGATTGACAGTTATCTTTAATTTCCTTGTCAAGAGTTGTGTTCACGTGTGCCTTCTGTGTGATAATTGCTCTCTGCTTCTTTGACAGAGCAAGAAGAGTTGCAATGTATGGTGTTAGAAGGTAGGTGCTGGATGCAGTTTCTGTTTCCTCTGCTTGTTGCTTGGTTGTGGATGGAGCCAGGACCGGAACTGCTGACGAATCAAACTTTTCGCCAACAGAGGACAGAAGAGATCGTCTACCTGAAAGGTATTTGGCGTATTTCTCCTTTATCGTGCCGAGTCGCTCGTTTATCGTGGCTTGGTCCGCAGTTGCTTGAGCATGGCTCTTGGAAACACTCTCCTCACCCCCTTCCTCATCGCCTGATGCTTTGCTCAACTCAGTCTCGATCCAGGTGATCAGTTCATTTCGTGTTGTATTCAGAGCATGTAGTCTGATGCCATTGCTCACTACATCAGGTAGGCCCTGGGCATTGGCTCTGGTTTCACGAAGTAGTTGCTCCTCACGCTTCAAAAGAAGCTTTGCTCTCAAGACAGTCTTTTCGAGTTGCGCAACTTGCTCCGTCAAGTCGGTCTTTTTGACGCTTTGTTGTGCAACGAGACTGTTCACTACCTCCTTTGGGACTTTGGGTAGACTCGCAGCTTCGTGGAAAACATCTTCGGGGTCTAGGTATTCAGGTGCAGCAGCAGGCTTCTGCATGAGCGAGTCAAGGTGACCCTGAACAGCCGAAAGACGGCTTTGCTTAGCCTGAAGTTTTAGAAGTGCTAACCGCTCTTCTAGTAGCTCGTTGCTGGACGAAGAGTCTTGGGTTGAAGACGATGAAGCGAGATTTGATTGCGCAGCATCTTCATACTTTCGACGTGCATCAACATTGGCTTTCAAAGCTTCGATGTACTCTCTGTAGAACCCTTTTGAATTAGGATCAGGAGTTACGTCGTGAGTTGCATCTGCCAGAGCCACAGGTTGCTTGACTGGGCCATCGTGAGAGCACGAGCCTAAATGAAGTGCCAAAACTCGTCGAATGTAATTGACTTGCTCTCGTGGCTTGATAAACGGACCAAGGGTTTTCTGAAACGTCTCAATCGTCTGTGAAGGATTCGTCATTTTGATTCGTATTTTGGCGGTGAAGTGTTCACTGATTCACGGCCTGTTGCTACGGTCTTAGTGGAAAGGAGTAAGTAAATAAACGAACTACATGGGCTGCTTAGACGATATTCGAATTGTGGCTAGTGTCGGCTTTCAGATTGACGACGCAGATTAAGACAACATTCATAGCGAAGATGCGAGATTCGATGAATATCAACTGAGATCTCTTGTTGGAATTGTCTCTCATGAATTCCAACAATTGCTTGTGAATAGAAACAAGAGCCTGAAGCTTCAGCCACATATCATTTAAGCACCCAACTGCGCCACAAACGCGAAGGAAGCTCAAAATGCGTTTAACCGTATTGGGGCTAGTGCGATATACTCCTAGGCTGCGATCTGAAATTTACGATCGCGACTTGAACTCTCCAATTCAGTGACGACTCCATACAATCTTTCAACGCCTGCGCATCAATTGCAAACCCCCAAGCATCCAGTCAACCGCTATATAATCACCACAGTCGCGGTTGGTGGCAAACTCATGGTCATTTAATAATCTAACGCCCCGGGTTTTTGTCGAGAACATCGACGTTCTCCAACAACAACAACCTTCATATCTACCTAATTAATCTAGCCACCATGTCCGACGCAAATCGCGATGTGTCGCAGTACAAGTACTCGGCAATGTCGAACCTGGTTCTCCAGGCCGATCGTCGTTTCGTCACGAGACGAACCGATGAGACTACTGGTGACCCAGAGTCGCTGGCTGGACGCTTGAGTATTCGAGATATGGGTGCCCGAGTCGCACGCGACGACGCGCCGAAATCAAAGAAGCAGCCTGGCATGCCCGACATCGAGCGAGGTAGTCTAAGAGAAGGCGAAGATATCCTAGCGCGGGAGCAAAAACGACGAAAGGCAGAAGCGCCTCAATCGACAGGAGTCCTCGGCAACACTGATCTTTTCGTGGAAGGCATCACATACCGACCGCGAACCGCTGCGACACGGGCGACTTTCGACTTAATTATCACTATAGTAGCCAACAACCTTGGCGACGTACCACACGAGGTTGTGCGCAGTGCGGCAGATGCTGTTTTGGAGTTTTTGAAGGACGATGACTTGAAGGACTTGGATAAGAAGCGAGAAGTCGACGATATTCTTGGCGTGACATTAAATCCTAAGCAGTTCAACGAGCTTGTGAATCTCGGCAAGAAGATCACCGATTACGATGCCCAGGATGACGACGACGACGTTGCTATGGGAGGCGCCGACGGCGACGATGCTGAAATAGATGAGCGCCAGGGTGTTGCAGTTGCTTTCGACGAAGACGAGGACGATGAGGAGGGTGGCTTAGTCAATGAGGTCCGTGACGAGTCATCCGACGAGGAAGAGGATGAGGAAGAGAAGGATGAGAATGCTGAGGGCAAGGAAGATGATGCTGTTGCCGATGTCGGTGACGAAATGATTCTCGACTCTGCGCCTTCAGGAGGAAAACAGGACGAAAAAGAGAAGCACAGCATACCGGCCCGGGATATCGATGCTTTCTGGTTAAGGCGTGAAATTGGAACTCTCTACCCAGATGCCCACGAGCAGACCGACAAGACAAAGGCTGCACTTCAAATCCTATCGGGTGAACCTGGCGAGGATGGTGAGGAGAAGTCTCTTGGTGAGGTTGAGAACGACTTGATGGACCTGTTCGACTACAATCACCACGAGCTGGTTCGAAAGCTGGTCGAGAACAGGGAAAAGGTCTTCTGGCTCACAAAACTGGCACGGACCGAGACCCCCGAGGAACACGCCAACGTGGAGCGAGAGATGATTTCAGAAGGACTACAATGGATCCTGGACGAGCTCAAGGGCAAGAGTGTCAACGACGGCAAGAAGGGCAAGATGGACATCAAGATGGACATTGATGTTCCGGCCTCTTTTACAGCCGAAGCACCCAAGACTGAACGCGCCGAAGGTCAACTCGTTGGCGGACTTCAGCCCCGAAAACTCATTAACCTTGATAACCTGGTTTTCGACCAGGGTAACCATCTCATGACAAACCCCAAGGTCCGCCTACCAGAAGGCTCAACAAAGAGGACTTTCAAGGGTTACGAGGAAATCCACATCCCAACACCCAAGAAACGCAACGAACCCGGCGATGTCACGATGCCCATTACTGATATGCCTGAGTGGGCGCGAAACCCCTTCAGCAAAAACCAATCGCTGAACAAGATCCAGTCAAAGTGTTATCCTTCGGCATTCAACGACGACGGAAACATGCTTGTTTGTGCTCCCACTGGTAGTGGAAAGACCAATGTTGGTATGCTCACGATTCTTCGAGAGATTGGAAAGCACCGTAACCCTGAGACTGGCGATATCGATCTTGATGCTTTCAAAATCGTCTGTATTGCTCCTCTGAAGGCTCTTGTCCAGGAACAGGTCGGCAACTTGGGTAACAGACTTGAGCCGTACGGCATCAGGGTTGCTGAGTTGACGGGTGATCGCCAACTCACTAAGCAACAAATCGCCGAGACCCAGATTATCGTCACTACGCCTGAAAAGTGGGATGTCATTACCCGAAAATCTAATGACCTGACCTACACCAATCTTGTACGCCTTATCATCATTGACGAAATCCATCTGCTGCACGATGACCGTGGTCCTGTGCTGGAGAGCATTGTCAGCCGAACTATCCGCAAGACTGAACAGACTGGCGAGCCAGTTCGAATCCTTGGTCTATCTGCTACCCTCCCCAACTACAAAGATGTCGCAAGCTTCTTGCGAGTTGACACGGACAAGGGCCTCTTCCATTTCGACAGCTCTTACAGACCTTGCCCTCTGCGACAGGAATTCATTGGTGTCACTGACCGAAAAGCCATCAAGCAGTTGAAGACTATGAACGATGTCTGTTACAACAAGGTTATTGAGCATGTAGGCACAAACCGCAACCAGATGCTTATCTTTGTTCATTCACGAAAGGAGACTGCGAAGACTGCCCGTTACATTCGAGACAAGGCTGTTGAATCAGACACAATTCACCAAATCCTTCGTCATGACGCTGGTAGCCGCGAGGTCCTCGAAGAAGCATCTTCTCAGGCAACCGACCAGGACTTGAAAGATATTCTACCTTACGGCTTCGGTATTCACCATGCTGGTATGAGCAGAGTTGACAGGACAGATGTCGAGGACCTCTTCGCCCGTGGTGCTATCCAAGTTTTGGTGTGTACTGCTACACTGGCCTGGGGTGTGAACTTGCCTGCCCATACAGTCATCATCAAGGGAACCCAAGTTTACTCCCCTGAAAAGGGTAGCTGGGTCGAACTAAGCCCCCAGGATGTTCTTCAGATGCTTGGACGTGCCGGTCGACCCCAGTATGACACGTATGGTGAAGGTATCATCATCACAACTCAGAGTGAAATGCAGTATTACCTATCACTTCTGAACCAACAACTTCCAATTGAAAGTCAATTTGTTAGCAAGCTGGTGGATAATTTGAATGCTGAGGTTGTACTTGGTAACGTCAGGACCCGTGACGAGGGTGTCGAATGGCTGGGCTATACATATCTGTTCGTTAGAATGCTTCGCTCTCCTGGTCTTTATCAGGTTGGAGCAGAATACGAGGATGATGAGGCTCTTGAGCAGAAACGAGTTGATCTCGTTCATTCAGCAGCTATGGTTCTGCGCAAGTCGAACCTAGTCAAGTATGACGAGAAGACAGGCAAGCTACAATCCACTGAGCTTGGTCGCATCGCTTCTCACTACTATATCACCTTCGGGTCTATGGAGACCTACAACAACCTCATTCAGCCTTCCATTACTACTATCGAGCTCTTCCGCGTCTTTGCTCTCAGTGCTGAGTTCAAGTACATTCCAGTGCGACAAGACGAAAAACTCGAGTTGGCGAAGCTATTAGGTAGAGTGCCAATCCCTGTCAAGGAGAGTATCGAGGAGCCTCACGCCAAGATTAATGTGCTCTTGCAAGCATACATCTCACGCCTCAAGCTTGATGGCTTGGCCTTGATGGCTGACATGGTATACGTCACACAATCGGCTGGCCGTATCCTGCGTGCTATCTTTGAGATTGCCTTGAAGAAGGGCTGGGCATCTGTTGCTAAGACTGCATTGGATCTTTGCAAAATGGCAGAGAAGCGCATGTGGCCTACGATGTCTCCTCTACGCCAGTTTCCCTCTTGCCCTAGAGATGTTGTCCAGAAGGCTGAGAAGATTGACGTGTCTTGGAGCAGCTATTTTGACCTGGATCCCCCACGCATGGGTGAGCTCCTTGGTCTACCCCGAGCTGGCCGAACTGTCTGCGGTTTAGTGTCCAAGTTCCCTCGAGTCGAAGTCCAAGCTCAGGTCCAACCCATGACTAGATCTATGTTGCGTGTTGAGCTCAGCATCACCCCTAACTTTGAATGGGATGATTCTATTCATGGTGCTGCTGAAAGCTTCTGGATCTTGGTCGAGGACTGTGATGGTGAAGATATCCTCTATCACGATACCTTCTTGCTGCGCAAGGAATATGCTGAGTCGGAGCAAAACGAGCATATCGTTGACTTTACAGTTCCTATCACTGACCCAATGCCTCCTAATTATTTCGTCTCGGTTGTTTCCGATCGATGGATGCATGCTGAGACCAGACTTCCTGTTCCTTTCCATAAGCTGATCTTGCCTGAGAAGTTCCCTCCCCATACCGAGCTTCTCGAGCTTCAACCCCTCCCCGTTGCCGCTCTCAAGGTGCAAGAATACGTCAATCTCTACCCTTCGTGGAAGCAATTCAACAGGATTCAGACACAAACTTTCAACTCGCTCTACAAGACAGACCAGAACGTCTTTATTGGCGCCCCCACGGGCAGTGGCAAGACTGTGTGTGCTGAGTTTGCTCTTCTAAGGCACTGGACCAAGGGTGATGTTGGCCGAGCGGTATACATTGCTCCCTTCCAAGAACTTGTCGACTCTCGTCTTCAAGACTGGCAGAAGAGGCTTGGTTCCCTCAACGGGGGCAAGGAAATTGTCAAGCTTACTGGTGAGACAGCGACCGATCTCAAGCTCTTAGAGAAGGGTGACTTGATCATGGCGACACCCACCCAGTGGGATGTACTGTCCAGGCAATGGAAGCGACGCAAGAACGTTCAGACAGTGGAGCTTTTCATCGCTGATGAAGTTCACTTGCTCGGCGGTGCCCAGGGCTATGTGTACGAGACTATTGTCTCTCGTATGCACTACATTCGTACTCAAACTGAACTGCCCCTGCGAATTATTGCCCTGAGCGTCTCCCTGGCGAACGCCCGAGATATTGGTGAATGGATTGATGCGAAGAAGCATGACATCTACAACTTCAGCCCTCATATCCGACCAGTGCCACTCGAACTTCACCTTCAGTCATTTGCCAACCCTCACTTCCCTTCCCTTATGCTTGCAATGGCCAAACCCACATATTTGGCTATTACACAAATGTCTTCTGACAAGCCCGCTATGATCTTTGTACCCAGCCGCAAACAGACCCGTGCAACTGCTCGAGATCTCTTGGCCGCGGCGTTCGCTGACGATGACGAAGACCGTTTCCTTCATGCTGAGGTGGAGCAGATGCAACCTCTGCTTGATCGCATCAATGAGGAGGCCCTTGCCGAGGCACTCTCTCACGGTGTTGGCTACTACCACGAAGCTCTTAGCCAGAGCGACAAGCGCATTGTTAAGCATCTTTATGATAATGGTGCTATCCAGGTCCTTGTCGCGTCTCGAGACGTTTGCTGGGAGCTCAACAGCACTGCACATCTTGTCATTGTCATGGGTACACAATATTTCGAGGGCCGAGAGCACCGATATGTTGACTACCCACTTAGTGAGGTACTTCACATGTTTGGTAAGGCCCTCCGCCCATCGAAGGATGGTCGTGGCCGTGGTGTCCTCATGCTGCCTCAAGTGAAGCGCGAGTACTACAAGAAGTTCCTCAATGAGGCGCTGCCTGTTGAGTCTCACCTCCACAACTACTTGCACGACGTTTTTGTGACGGAGATCAGCACCAAGATGATCGAGTCCGGTGATGACGCGATCAACTGGACTACCTTTACCTACTTCTACCGAAGACTACTCGCCAACCCCAGCTACTACAGTCTGACCAGCACAACACACGAGGGTCTGAGCAACTACATGTCTGACTTGGTTGAGACAACTCTGCGCGAGCTTGGCGAGTCTAAGATCATTGACTTCGATGAGGACGACGGATCTGTGGCTCCTCAGAACGCCGCCATGATCGCTGCTTACTACAACATTTCCTACATTACCATGCAGACCTTCCTGCTTTCGTTGGGCGCTCGTACCAAGCTCAAGGGTATCATGGAGATTGTTACTTCAGCCACTGAATTCGAGACGATTCAGATCAGACGTCACGAGGATGGTCTGTTGCGACGCATTTACGATCGGGTTCCTGTCAAGATGTCCGAAGCAGTCTACGACTCACCACACTTCAAGTCTTTCGTTCTACTTCAGGCTCACTTCTCTCGCATGCAGCTGCCGATCGACTTGGCGAAGGATCAGGAGATTCTACTAACCAAGGTCCTGAGCCTCCTTAGCGCCATAGTTGACATTCTGTCTTCAGACGGACACCTGAACGCCATGAGCGCCATGGAGATGTCGCAAATGATCGTCCAGGGAATGTGGGACCGGGATAGCCCTCTCAAACAGATTCCTCACTTCTCTCCGGAAGTTGTCAAGGTGGCTAACGAATTTGGGTATGTAGCGGGCTGTGATTTACAGATTGAAGCTTCAACTAACAACCATCACAGAATCAAGGACATCTTTGATTTCATGGAAGCCATGAATCCGGACGAGAACACTGATTACAACAAGCTCGTTAAGCGACTCGGTCTATCCCAAAACCAATTGGCACAGGCAGCCAACTTCACAAACGACAAATACCCCGATCTTGAGCTTGAGCACGAGGTTCTGGAAGAGGACGAGATCAGGGCTGGTGAACCCGCCTACCTGAACATCAAGATTGCTCGCAACCTGGAGGAGGAAGACGGCGATTATGACTCCACCGTACACGCACCATTCTATCCCTCCAAGAAGATGGAGAACTGGTGGTTGGTTGTTGGTGAAGAGAAGACCAAGAGCCTCTTGGCCATCAAACGAGTGACAATTGGACGGGAGCTAAATGTCCGTCTTGAGTACACGGTGCCATCACCAGGTGAGCATGATCTGAAGCTCTTCCTGATGAGCGACAGCTATGTTGGAGTCGATCAAGAGCGGGAGTTCTCGGTCACAGCGGCCGAAGGTATGGATGTGGACGAGGAGGAGGATTCGGACGAAGACGAGGAGTAGAAGCTCATAGCTTACTCCAACCAACACGGCGATGGCCAGCGATGGCTTTGTACACTACTACATAACTACGAATGCGAATTTAGGGTTTAATATGCGAATCTATCAACTTGGACGATGACTTCAGATATAGCATGTGACTGAGATGTGCTCTTTAAGGGGAGTTATGTCGATACAAGCTGAGTTGTGTGGATGTTTGATGGTGCGACACGAGTTACAGAGGCGTGAAAAGTTGATATGGGTGTTCACAACGCCAAACGCGTCTAGTGACCGACAAAGCGACGACGTGACTTTATCAGGGAGGAAACAGTGAAGATGCTATGAAAATGGGCTAAGGACGCGTCCCCCCGTTGGTCTCGTATACCTGGGCGTCGAATCAGCGTTAGCTACGCGCTTGGCCTTTGGTGTCGTGTGTGAGAAGACAAGAACCTGGGGTTGGGGTCGGATTGCTGATGACGCCGCCTGCCCATATACGCATCACGTGACCGTGCATTCTCTGGTGACGTTTGAAAGTGCTTCCCTTGCTCAGGCCCAGCCCGGCAACTCGCACCAGCGTTTTTTCTTTCGTCACCCCCAACACCCCAGCATTTTGACGAAGCGCCTTCCATCAATTGCGCAACAATTTCATTAACAAACCTTCATCGCGATACGAATCTTGCGCCCCATTGACACGCGCGATACGCCTTCAGCTACGCGTTCGCCTATCTTTTACAAGCTGGAATTGCATCCCTAGGTGCTGCCTACAGTCGCCAGCGAAACATCATTACTATTTGCATAATGGCCGATCAGGTTGCCGAGAAGCCCGAGGTTGAGGCTCCTGCAACCGACGCGCAGGAAGCTCCTGCTACTGAGAAAACTGTGGAGCCATCATCAAACGGAGACGACGCCGCGAAGGCCGATGGCGAAGCAAACAAGGAGGAAACAAAGACCGCTGAGGGTAAGTTATGATCACGGTATACCTGGCACCTATCGCGCACCTGGCCGCATTGCTCTTCAAATCGCGCCTTGATCTCTCGCGTGCACCATGCCACGGGCGCGTTCTTCACTTCGTCAGACTCATGCTGACCACATTGCGCAATCAGAAAACAAGGAAGCCGGAAGCTCAGAGAAGCCCGTCGAAAACACAGGCGCGACCGAAGCCTCAAAGACCGCTGACGAGAGTGCCGACGTTGAAATGAAGGACGCGACCGAGACCCCGGCTGCCGGGGAGACCAAGACAGAAACCTCGGCCCCATCAGTTGACGGCGAGACAGCGACTGAGAATGCTGCCACTGAGACTCCCTCGTCAAAGGGCAAGAATAATCGACGCAAGTCGACTGGTGGCAACACCCGCAAGAGCCTGAGCAAGAAGGCCTCCAAGGCGCGTCTTGTCACGCATCTGGATGCCAAGCCAGGAGACCACTTCTTAGTCAAGCTTAAGGGATTCCCCGCTTGGCCTGCTATCATTTGCGATGAATCAATGCTGCCTCAAGCTCTGGTTGATAGCCGTCCGGTAGCTGCGGCACGACCTGATGGCACCTACACAGAGGCCTATGCCGATGGTGGCAAACGTGTCAACGATAGAACATTCCCTGTCATGTATCTTCACACAAACGAATTGTAAGTTTCTCCCCATTTGGGTAAAGGACTCTCTCTAACTCGACTACAGTGGCTGGGTGCCCAATAGTCTCCTGACAGAACTCACGCCTGAGAAGGCTCGAGAAACCATCACTGAGAAGATGCGCAAGGATCTCAAAGAGGCTTTCACACGCGCAGCCGAACACAATGATCTCGATACCTATAAGGATATGCTCAAGCAATTCCAAGACGAACTGATCGCTAAGCAGCAAGCTGCCGCAACACCCAAGAAATCCAAGAAGGGCAAGGGCAAGGCCTCCGACGAAGATGTCGATATGGAGGATGTCGATGATACCACAGCGGAGAAGGCAAAGTCGAAGAAGCGCAAGGCTGAGGATGACGTGAGCGTAAGCACAACCCCGGCATGTCTGCCTGGAACCGAGATACTAACTATGGATCTTAGACACCACAAAAGACCGACTCGGTTAAGAAGCCAAAGATTAAGCTCAACACCTCGACGCCCAAGGCTGCCAACGGCACTCCCAAGGCCAAAGAAGAATCTGCGGCTAAAACCAAAGTCAAGGTCAAGAAGTCTGCTGATAAGAAGGCTGAGAGTAGCAAGAAGGCCAAGATGACCCCTGAGGAGCGACGACACCACAAGGAGGTAAGCGCATTTCATCGCCCAACAGTATTAAACAGTGCTAACAATGAAGCAGAAGGAGGTCCTCTACCTGCGCCACAAGCTTCAACGAGGTCTCCTCACCAGGGATCAACAACCCCAGGAGTCAGAGATGGAGCAAATGTCTGAATACGTTACCATGTTGGAGAATTTGAAGGACTTGGAGGTGTCTATCATCCGCGGGACCAAGATCAACAAGGTTCTCAAGGCCATGCTCAAGCTGGAGTCAATCCCACGGGAGGAGGAATTCCACTTCAAGGACCGTTCGCAAGTTCTTTTGGACAAGTGGAATAAGCTCCTGACTGCTGAGCCCACAGCGCCTGCTGCCGAGTCCACCAACGGTGTGAACGGCAAGTCGGAAGCTAAGCCGGAAGAGAAGAACGACGACAGTGGCAAGAAGACCAGCGAAGAGCCCAAGTCGGATTCCCCAAAGGCCTCTGAGCCCAAGGCTGATGAGGCCGATAAGTCGGAAGAGGAGAAGATCGAGGAGACACCACAAGCCTCGGCTTCTGAAGAGAAGAAGGACGATGTAGGTGATGAATTCGAGACATGAATATGGACCCAAGCTAACAGAGACAAAGACTGCCGCTCCCCCTGAGCCTGTTGAAACCGCAGCTTAGGATAATTAAGGTGTCGTGCGGCTCATGGTGGTTTAGAACAAATTCTTTCACGGCGTCAAGGTTATGGTCTACCAACTCTGGTATTTTCCGTCTCTTTTTTACCTTTTCTTACGGTTTTGTCTTTTCAACTGTGGTAAAAGTGACTTCATCGCGTCTTTTCGCTATCTGTATGAATATCTGCCAAGTCTGGTGGCAGAGTCCGCCGCGACTCAACGGAGTCGTAATAAGCCCGGCAGGAATGGGGGGCAGGAAACATCTTTCAGGGGGGTGTACAAACGGTAAAAACTAAGGATGCTGAGACTCGGAGCCTCGTTCTTAATAGGTTTTCTTGAACCAAAGGGCAGGAAGAGCTCACTCCAGGTCATATGGTACAGGAACGGACAGGGAGGGGAAGGGATGTGAAGCTCGAGGATGATATAGTTTTGAGAGGAGGCGTGGCGTATGAAACGTGGATATGGCGAACAACAGCATACAGATGATGAATGGGCAAAGAACTAGATGTACTGGAGGATGAAATTTACATATTCAAGAAATGGCTGTACACGGTTGCTTTTTCTAATTGTCTTGATGAAGCTACATATTCGTACCTAGGTAAGTACACATAGGAGAGTCAGAGGGAGAGAGGTATCCAGATATTAGCGGTCGCTGGGATACAGTGCGAATTACAGTGTCATTAGACGCGCCTACCGTCTGAAAACGCGTTGACCTTCAACATCAACCCGAACTTGATGAACTTCATCTCCAGAATACTGTCATTATTCTTGTTGTGAAGGAATCAATCATGGCACGCGAAGAAGTTAAACAAGAAGGCTACAGCCAAGAGGACCACCAGGTGACAGATAACTCTGCCCCGATATTCATCGACCCCTTTCGCTAACGCAACAGACAGGTCGCCTATATTTTTGACCCTGAAGACGATGGGACACAGAAGAAGTCTACTAAACGCAGAAGAGTGTCAAAACAAGCACAGAAATCTGAAGATTCATCGCCTTTTGTGCCTTTGCTCAACGGTGCCGAGAAGCATGAGTTTGTCCAACTAAGGGAGTCCCTATTTCAGGAGAGCTGGACAAAGGTTGATGAACGCATTGAGGTGGGTGAAAGAGATTCATATTCATACCCAAGAAACAACTCTCACACAAAATAGGGAATCCTTAAAAACTCAAACTTTGAAACTCTCCACGATGTCAGCGATTTTGTTAAGGATGCAGTAACAGACTCGTAAGAGCCCAACCCCAGAAACCATTTCACTTGCAGGCAACCCCTAATTCTCGTACAGTGGGGATAGGATCCCTTCAACTTTCATCATTACCGGACCCAACATCGCTTCACAGGATCTTCTCTTTCAACAACTATCAGAGACACTTCAACAAACAACACAAAGCAAGTTTGTTGGCTTGAGGTCTTCCGAGGCATCAACCCTCAAGGCAGCGTTGAAGAAGATCATTCGGGATGTCACAGCCAAGGCTTCTGACGATGAAGACGATAATCTTCAAGTTGGAGACGGTCGTGAGGTAAGTCGCCTTTGATGGTATGTAATTCTCATACTCATGCGTCACAGGGCCGAAGGTATCTTGACTATGATCTTGAAGCATTGCACGCATTTATCAAATCTCAGAACTGCGAGCATGTTTTTGTCGCATTTCAAGACAGTGAGGGTTTTGACAGCAGTCTGTTGTCCGATTTGATCATTCTCTTCAAGTATGTTTTATATTCTAGATGCCACTTCTAGCCTACTAACTGTTGAAGCTCGTGGCGCCCACGTATCCCTTTTACTTTGCTCTTTGGTATCGCGACATCAGTCGAGCTCCTCCAAGCCAGGTTGCTCAAGGCTGCATGCCAGCAGATTTATGGAGCACAGTTTGACGTTGTCCAGACCTCAGCCATTCTTGAGACCGTCTTCAAAACAGCCGTGGCAGCGTCGGATGCCCCTGTGTTGATGGGAACGTCGCTTCTTTATAGCATGCTTGATCGTCAACATAATCAAGTCTCAGGTATCCAGACCTTTGCAATGTCATTAAAGGTACGTTTTGCAGAACAGAAACGAGCAAAAACTTTTACTAAGAGCAACAGTACGCTTATATGTGTCACTTCTACGCAAACCCTCTCAGTGTTCTTTCACATGTCCCATCGTTCCAAGCAGAGCACATCGAGGCAATCCGACACACAGACTCTTTCAAAGAAACTGTGGAAAGGGCAGTGGAAACTGGGGTCTTGGAGAACGTGCAGTATGCCAAAGGTTTACTCGAAGACAACGAGTTCCTGGCTTCGCAAGTTCAAAATAGCCTCACTGAACGCCAAGAGCGTATCGAAGATTTCCTTCGAGCATTGCTCATTGCCAAGGAGGCAGAAGCGCAAGATATTGAGTTTTCCAAAGCCTATGTTGATGCTTTGGAGGATGGTGTTTCAATAACAGATAACTCAAGGGCTATCGAATCGGTACGACGTATGGATGTCAATGAGCTGCTGGCTCTACTTGGCAAGATGGTAGCAATTCTGCGAGATGGAGACGTTGATCTGCTACTTGGCCCAGCAACCAAGCAAACAGATGTTGATTTCCGAAATGCGCTATCAAAACAACTTGCAAACCTGGAGCAGCTGCATTCAAAAGCACAAAAGGAGAGCATCACTCTGCGAAGCAAGTACAGTGGTCAGGGCAAAGTTGCGCGAACCACTGTTATTGCACAAAGAGTTCAACTGAGCCACGATTCAGCAGCACTTACAGATGAGGACAAGCAACTTACTCAAATCATTGATGATGTTACTGCGTTGCTCGTTAAGCACGTCCAGGCTTTGAGGCCTGGTTCCCTTTTGTCGTCGGAAAGCTGGCTGTACGATTCTCGGGCCCCATCGCAGGATGTGTCTGTGCCTCGACCGAGGGCAGTCCTAGAGCGCGGCCTTACAAGACCGCACGACTACCTGTCCTGCTCATGCTGCAAACCAGGTGACGGAGAACTCCCCGCAACGCTGCCGGCCACTGCACTCTTATATCGTCTATACACGGAGACGGGAAGTCTGATTAATGTGGCAGATCTATGGACTGCATTTTCTGCGCTGGTAGGCGACGAGGAAACGGACGAACGCAAGTCGCTGGTCATGTTTTACCGTGCTCTGGCTGAGCTGAGGGCTTTGGGATTTGTCAAAGCAAGCAAAAAGAAAGCGGATCATATTGCCAAGCTGAAGTGGCTCTAAGCATGTTTGCATTTGCAATTGGCCGACAGAGTTTGCAAAAAGAGAGACATGGCGATAAAGAGTGAGCACTTGGAGACTGCAACCGCACATAAAGGTGGTCCTTTGTGGACTCTTTTGAGGAGGGGGAGGGACGGAATTAATGATGTCTTGGGAGCAGGTTTTTCTGGGTTTGTTTTTATGTTACTAGCTAATGAAGACCGAGGTCGAGTTAATGGCCACGGAAGAAGAAAGTGTCGTCAGTCTAAGACACCAGGTGGCTGGGAGGGTTGCAATTGGAGACGTTTGGAGCACAGCCAGCGCAGCAGAATGCAAGACATGCAGGAGTAGAAAAGAATCAGACGCCGGGAGCGGAGCGGACTGCATGGAACAAAGCATCATGTGAGTGCACTAATTATGCTGTCTGTCTACCTTGCTGTAGTCTGTAAATATGTTAGTTATGTCATGTATTCTTTATCATCATGGTCTTAAGAATGGAGCATGAATCTTTGGGGAAAGAGAACAAAAGAGTGAATAATCGAATAAAAGGCGGTAAACTAGATTTATTTTGAACACATCATTGTTCGTTCTTGTTCCGAGACATCACTTTGAGTCATGACCACCAGTCACATTCCACGCCATCATTTGTTGGTGTTTTCTTGCTTCAATGAACCAAGCGCCTCCAGACCAACCCAATTGCGTCTGGTTCTGATGGGTTAAGTTAGTTAGTTAGCAGCAGTCCTTTAGGTGCGAATGCAATACAGTTGGTTCTCCAGTCTGTCTCTGTCTCAGTCTCAGTCTCAAGGCCACTAATAAACCCCGAGTCTTACCTGGAGCCGGGTCCGTCTGAGTTGGCAGGAAGCTTTTTATTAGTCTAACGTAGTTCCCATCCAACAAGCCGATCAAAGTGTGGCAGCCAGAGACCAGACTCATGAGCTCAAAGCGGTTCCAGGTTCAGTTCAGGCCTGAGCTGTCAAAGCCCGCTTTGCCCAGAACAGCTGCTGGGGTGTGCGTGAGTTTTTGTTTCCAAAAAGAGAAACAGAACAGAAGGGAACAAGAACAAGAACAAGAAACGAGTCCGGTTGGCGTTGGTCACAAAGACGGTTCGGCTGGCTGTTCGCGATCCTAGCTTCTCATGTCACTCAGTCTCTAAGTCTTAAGAGGGCGGGGTTTCGCTCATAAGACTAAAAGCAATAGCATCCAGTATCTTTCTGTCCATCCATCTATCTAAGTACAAGACATCTCTTTCTATTTCATCTCTTTCTATTTCATATTCCTCTTATCTCTTCACTCGTTCGCTTTTGCCTTGATCAGCCCTCTTGGTTCTCGCCTCAGTTCTATTCCAAGCCCTACGGAAAGTCCGAGAATACAGAATACCAGTGTAGGATTCGACTACAAAACTCAAAACTCCAGCCTGCGCTGTCATTCACTGCACTGCGGAGAAGACCGCTGTTGATAGCCACCCCGCCGAGGCCAATTCACCATCACTAGTCATCATTGATTGACTGTCAATCAAAATCAAGAACTATTCCTATTCAGAATTGTCAATCTTGGGAGGCAACAAGAGACCGGAACTCTTGATCTACAAAAAGAAAGCTTGAAGCTGCGAAGCTGCGAAGCTCAATTCAACTCTATTATACCATCATATCCTCTACCAACCTCTCCAGCAACGCAACAGCCAATCCGCCACTATGATGCGAGGCGAGATTCCTTCAAGGCATCGCCAGGCTTTTGCTCAGCGACGATTGGCCAAGAACCCAAACCTCCAACGAAAGTTGGAACAGATGGCTCTACCACTGGCACCTCTAGTTCAGCTCACTACAGGCGCTGTCCACCCATCGTTTCCCACTACCGTCCTCAACTTCTGGCTGCTCACCGATGAGCAGCTCGAGTCTCTCGCCCAGTTCTACCACCAGAGGACACCCAGCCCGTGGACAAACCAATACCCATGCCCAGTCACATGGCGATCTGATCTGCCTCTCGAGGAGAAACGGCGCAAGATGGGAAAGTTCATTGGCCTTCGAGGTTGCGAATCACCAATCTTGCTCAAGACAGAGGAGGAGATCCTGGCAGAGGCACGCAGAGCCAGACTCGCGGCCGAGGAGGACCTTTGGAGGCGAAAGCACTTTTCCTGATTGCATCAAGCGGAGGATAGCCGGCGTTGGTATGGTTAATTGAGGGTTAATAATCTGTATTTGTCAGTGGTTTACAGGAGTTTTGCATATGGTTTTGTCGTCTTTTCTTTGCTTTTCGTTTGCATCTAGGAGGTCGCATTGTTAGACATGGCCAACTAGCCAGCGCACATCATTGCATTTTCATTGGAGTACAGAGATAGGTGAAAGACAACCGATATATCAATAGAGAAGAAGCCCATGCTACTATTTTCAAAAACACCTTCAACGCCGATTGATGTTGGTACCCCTCTCTTCATCCCGATGCGCACCGAGTGTGCGCCTTGCCAGATATGTGGTATACTATACAAACCCGAACTGGGGAAACAGGTTCGTACTCTTGTGTATATAAAAGACGTCTCCTTTCTTGCGATCCGTCATTGAGGAGAATCTGCCTTTGCTTATTCCTGGGCGGCCTGCTTTGAAGGGCTGTCAATCATAACAGCATCCTCCTCACTGGTAGTCTTGGCAGAAGAGCTCTGCTCAGAGTCGAGCTCCTTCATGAACTCTGTCTGAATCTGTCCACGACGCTTCTCCCACCATTGCTTCTCTGACTCGGCTTGGGCAAGGATCTCCTCGAGTGAGCTGCGCATGGCAGCGTTGGCGGTCATCTCGTGGGCAGACTGGAAGATGGACTGGCCCCAGTTGGGGGCAAGAGCGTTGGCCTGTGTGGTGTAAGTAAAATGTACATAACATCAAATCAGAGCGCATGCGCCAGAACGAGCGAGCGGATATACCTCTGTAACAACATCTCTCAACTCCTCCTCCATCTCCTTCTCAGCGCGCTGGAATCGCTGCCACAGGTCATCGCCCACACTGCCTCGCGCCAACAGAGAACCACAGGCTTGCTTGGCTGACTTGATCTGGATCAGACGACGGATGTCCTCGACGGCGCGGCGCAACAGGGCAGCACGGAGGACGCTCTCGGGAACCTTGGGTCCCTTTTCGGTGCCGTCTTCGAGGTGCAGCAGGGAGAGGTAGACGTTGCGCTGGAGATGGGGGCCGAACCATGGAGCCAGGTTGGCGCTCTCGGCTGTTTCAAGAGTTAATGCCCATTCAATTTGTTTCCAAGGTTTGTCAGGGACATACCAGCTTGTCGTTTTCGGTAAATCGTCGAGAATGTCATGAGTGCGCTGCCGAGAACGATAACATAGGCAAAGGGAAGGGCAAGGCCCTTCCAATCGATGTCGAGCATGATGAATGGTGGTTATGAAAGAAAAAAACACGATTTGTCCGTGTGCTGTAATTAAAACGAGTGTCAAGAAAGAAGTCGAGCCGGCCGTGATTGAGGGATGTGGGATGGTCAATCGACAAGAATACAGATTGCAGATTAAGGTACGGATACAGTAGTAGTAATACAGCTAAAGTGGTAAGTGGTGGTGGTGTGGCGCATTATTCAACTTTAGGCCAGATAACGTTTCTGCTTTGTCTTGTGTGGCTGTTGAATCGTGGCTGTGTGTTATGGGCCCCTGGATTTGACTGCCGTGCGACGTCACTGAAGGATTAGATAAGCTCTTTCTCCACTCACTGTGTACCTAGGCAGGTAGGCACCGCTGGATGACGCTGTGCTTTCACTGAAGTGAGCAGTGTTAGGTAAGGTACGTACCCGCACAGACTCGAGCTTCAGGTACCTCCAGCACTTTCTTCTTCGATGCTGTTGCTTCATTGAGTTCCAACTTGACATACTATTAGGCTTTTCTACTTTTATAACCCTTTCGTCTTCGCGATTTCTTCTGAGGAACTTGTCGTTTACGTCTTTTACAGCACAAACACCGTGTGCAAAGGCGACAAAGATCACGCCGACAACCCCCACCAAAGACCGTACATCACCAGCAGCAAGTCAAGTCTTAAGAACAGTGCCCGCCATGTTGCTGCGACTCCGGGGCCCCGACGGTATGGCCCGTCTGACCGTCGAGCCTACAACTACCTTTGGAGATTTGGGAGAGCAGGTTAGTTGTGCTCCATGCTCAACCTGTCCTTGTCCCCGCTGACGTTGGCCATCTCTAGCTACTTGATCAACTTCCCAAGACTGTCGATCCCACGACCATAGCTCTATCCAACGCACCAAACGGAGGTGACTCGAAGCGACTGGGCGACATCATCAACTTCAAAGTTGGTCAGATCGGTCTCAAGTTAGTCTACACTCATAAGGTCTTCACGGTCAAGAAAGCTAACGTCACAGGCACGGCGACCTCATCTTTCTCACCTACCAACATACTGGTGCCGCCAACGGTGAAGCTCTCGAGACATCCAACACTTCCGCCAGGCTCAACGGAAAGCCGGTGCTACCAACCGAGGACCTGCCTATTAACCCCAAACCCGAGAGGATCTCTAGACCATGGGAGGTGGTACGTCAATCCGCTCTGGACGATCGATTAGACCGACAAGATGGCAAAATTCCTCGAGGAATCGATCGCATGTGTCGCCATGGCCCCAAGGGCATGTGTGACTACTGTCAACCTCTTGACCCCTTCAACCCTGGCTACCTAGCAGAAAAGAAGATCAAGTACTTGTCCTTCCATTCCTACCTACGAAAGATCAATGCCGCAACAAACAAGCCCGAACTCGGCGCTTCCTATATTCCTCCCTTGGTCGAGCCTTATTACCGAGTCAGGCACGAATGCCCTTCCGGTCACCCCCCATGGCCTGAAGGTATCTGCACAAAGTGTCAGCCCAGTGCCATCACTCTGCAGCCCCAACAATTCCGAATGGTTGATCACGTCGAGTTTTCTTCGCCTGCTATCATTGATACTTTTATTGATACATGGCGAAAGACTGGATCTCAGCGTCTGGGTTACCTCTACGGAAAGTATGTCGAGTATACTGAAGTTCCTCTCGGTGTTAAGGCTGTGGTTGAGGCCATCTACGAGCCTCCTCAGGTTGATGAGATTGATGGCATCACCATGAATGCATGGGAGTCCCAGAAGGAGATCGACAAGGTAGCCAAGCAGTGTGGTCTGGAACCGGTGGGTGTCATTTGGACTGATCTGCTCGATGCTGGCAACGGAGATGGTTCCGTGGTTTGTAAGCGTCATGCTGATTCTTACTTCCTATCCTCTCTTGAAATCTGCTTTTCTTCAAGATTGCAGGCTCAGTATCCCAAGGCTTCCAAGTGGAGCGACACTGGCAGTTTTGGCTCCAACTTTGTAACATGCATCATCACGGGTAACGAAGATGGTGAAATTTCCATCTCGTCTTACCAGATGTCTAACGAGTCAGTGGAGATGGTTCGCGCAGACATTGTCGAGCCATCTGCTGATCCCAATGTTATGCTCGTAAGAGATGAGGAGGAAGACGATGGCTCAGTCAGCCGCACACGATATATCCCTGAAGTCTTTTACCGAAGAGTCAACGAGTACGGTGCTAATGTCCAAGAGAACGCAAAGCCATCCTTCCCTGTCGAATATCTGTTTGTTACACTAACTCACGGTTTTCCCGCCGACCCTAAGCCTATGTTCACCCAGCAGGGCTTCCCCATCGAGAATCGAGAATATGTGGGAGAGAGCCAGGAGCATTCTGCTCTGTCCAAGTTTATTAAGCAGTCACCCAGTCAGAAGCCTACTGGGCAAGAAGTGTCTAACTTCCACCTTCTCTGCTTCATTCTGCAGATGGGTGTCCTCTCCAAGGTGCGCCCATGGATCTCAATACAATAAAATCTACTGACCCGTCATACAGGACGAAGAAGCCTTGCTCTGCCGTGTAGCAAGCCAACACGACCTTTCTGATACATTCCAGCTGCGTTCTACCGAGGGCTGGCAGACCCTCCAGGCTATCCTTCAATCGACTGGTGAGAGAATCCCCAAGCGTCAGCGGGAGGACGATGGTGTTTCCTCGCCCTCCTCTTCCTCTTCCTCTTCTCATAAAGATCCCACTCGCGACTCGGGTGAACCCCTTGCTAAGCGATTTGCTGCCTTCAGGCTAAACGAACGCATGACCAAATCCGCCAATCCGACGCCGCCCTAGTCAATAAGAGGTATTGGGTAAAAAGGGATGGGAGTTTGGGATTGGGATTGAGATTAAACAGAGGTCTAGATTCGCCGGAAATATCGAAAAGTTGCAAGGCTCGATTTTTTTGCTAGATATTTTACCTTCCATCAGTTGGAAGACGATATTGCATTTGTAGCTGGGGTGGCGTTTGGGAAAGGACTCACTGATAACAGGATCGGAGCACAAGGCAACATTCATGGGGTAGCATTACCAAAGTGTGTGAGCGTGTTTTGGTGTGTTTGATAGGCAGTGAGTGCGATTGATTGTCGTTACATAGCGTCTGTTGAGAGCATTGACTACTCAAGATCACGTAGAATCAACGTTTTAAACAAATCTCATCTTCACATACAGTTGATTGATTAGGCAGTGGCAAGTACAGTCCGTGCCACTGATATGACCTTACTGGAATGGAATTTCGTCTGATAGTTATGATAGTCGTATTCATAAATTTAGGACATCTTTAGAATGGATTCTCGTTTCTTAGACTAATTTATTAAACTCTAGACGTCATTATTCACATGTAGTCGAGATTCATATAGTAGGCACAAGTATATGATCATGATGAAACCTGATTCATTTCCCATCTACTCCATCTATAGGTACAAAGAGGGCGGGTATACTATAAGCCCATATCAATCATCACGCAAACTCCTTAAAATCCCCGCCCTCTTCAAACGAAAGATTTCATCCAGAACATCTCTTCTCGAGATACTGACTAATCCTTTTCCTTTCCATTAACAAAAACGCCAGATATGTTTTTACAGATGCTTGCCACCGATGAAGTTGGACCATCGGCGGACCTCAGCGGGAATACCCTCGGGGCGGGGAAGCTTCTCGCTCATGCACTGAGCAAAGAGGATAGCGGTCTAAATTTATGATTAGTTTATAGTCCTTTGGGGGTAAATTAGGGTGGATTTAGTAAAGACTTACCTGAGGCTCCATGAACAGAGGGACGCCAAAGTCGACGGCATTTCGGCGCATGACATAGTCGACGTCCAGAGTGGTCTTGCCTCGGGCCTGAGCAAGGTTGAAGCATCCACGGATGTCGTACTTCTTGAAGACCTCTCGGAGAGCTCGCTTATCCTCCTTGGGGAACTCAATGACCTCGACCTCGACCTTGGTCTTGGACTTGGCCTCGATGAACTCCTTAACCTCGGGGCTAGCAGCGTACAGCTTGTAGCCGAGAGGAGCGACGTAGTCAACAACCTGGGTCAACCAAGGCTTGCTGACGTTACCACCGAAAAGAAGACCCTCACCAGGCTCGGGCATGCGGAAGTTCATGGTGGACTGGAGAGAGGTCCAGTAGGCCTCAACAAGATCCTTACCGAAACAAGCAATCTCACCAGTGGAAGACATCTCGACACCCAGGAAGGGGTCGGCACCAGCAAGACGGGTCCAGGAGAACTGGGGAACCTTAGTGGCGACGTAGTCACGCTTCACAGCCATGAGATCGGTCGTAGGGGGGACATCTTTGCCAATGAGGGCCTTGGTAGCAACATCAATGAAGTTGGTTCCGAGGACCTTGCTGACGAAGGGGAAAGATCGAGAAGCACGGAGGTTGCACTCGATAACCTTGAGGAGAGGCTCACCACCCTCGGGGTTCTCGGCCTTGATGATCTGCATGTTGAAAGGACCGGTGATCTTCCAGGCCTGGGCGACCTTCTGGGCAATCTGCTTAACACGCTCCATGGTGGTGCTGTCGAGATTGGCAGGGGGGAGAACAAGGGTGGCGTCACCAGAGTGAACACCAGCCTGCTCAACGTGCTCGGAAACAGCGTGGAGGATAAGCTCTCCGTTGGAAGAGACACCATCGACGTCAATTTCCTCAGCTCCCTCGATGAACTTGGAAATGACAACGGGGTGGTCGGGGGAGACGTTGCTGGCAGCCTCGAGCTTGTCCTTGAGGTCTGCCTTGCTTGTGATCACAGTCATAGCAGCACCAGACAGGACGTAAGAGGGACGGACCAGGACGGGGTAGCCAACCTCGTCGGCGAAGTCCTCAGCAGCCTTGACGGAAGTAAGCTCCTTCCAGGCAGGCTGATCGATGCCAATGCTGTCAAGAATCTCAGAGAACTTTTGACGATCCTCAGCCTTGTCAATGTCCTTGGGATCAGTTCCAAGAACGTTGGCCCCACCTGTCTCCTGAAGCCTGAGAGCGACGTTCTGAGCCAGCTGACCACCAACGGACACAACGACACCCTTCGAGTTCTCAAGCTCATAGATATCCATGATACGCTCGTAGCTCAGCTCATCAAAGTAGAGCTTATCAGCTTCATCGTAATCAGTGGATACCGTTTCAGGATTATAATTGATCATAATTGTCTTCTCGCCCATCGCCCGAAGAGCCCTGGTAGCGCTGACAGCACACCAATCGAACTCGACGGAACTACCAATTCGGTAAACACCACTACCCAGAACCATAGTACCCTTGTCCTCGAAAGTAACATCGTGGGTAGAACCATTGTAGGTGGTGTAAAGGTAGTTGGTGTTGGCAGGGAACTCGGCGGCAAGAGTGTCAATCTTCTTGACCCAGGGGTGGATGTCAAAGGCCTTGCGAGCAGCCCGAACCTCATCCTCGGTGCTCTTGACAGCGTTGGCAATCTGTCGGTCAGAGAAACCCATCTTCTTGGCGCTGAGAATCTGATCTTTCTTCAGGTTCTGAAGGCCACCAGCCTGCTCAAGCTCACGGGTGCAGTCAACAATGTTCTGGAGCTTGTGGAGGAACCACTTGTCGATCTTGGTCAACTCGTGAACCTTGTCAACGGAGTAGTTCTCGTGGAGCATAGCTTGACCGACAGCGAGCCATCGGCGGTCGGTAGGGTTCTGGAGCTCGAAGTCAAGGTCCTCGAACTTGTCACCCTGGAATCCGACGAATCGGGGGTCAACCTGTCGAATAGCCTTCTGGAAAGACTCCTCAAAGGTTCGGCCAATAGCCATGACCTCACCAACTGACTTCATGGCACTGCCAATGTCACGCTTGACATGCTGGAACTTGGAAAGATCCCATCGAGGAATCTTGGTGACGATGTAGTCAAGAGATGGCTCGAAGTTGGCGGTGGTAGTCTTGGTGACAGCGTTGGGAAGCTCGGGAAGGGTGTGTCCGAGACCGATCTTGGCGGCAGTGTAAGCCAGAGGGTATCCGGTAGCCTTGGAGGCTAGAGCAGAGGATCGAGAGAGACGGGCGTTGACCTCGATAACACGGTAGTCGAGACCATCAGGCTGGAGAGCATACTGGACGTTACACTCGCCAACAACACCAAGATGTCGGACAATCTTGATGGCAGCGCTTCGGAGCATGTGGTACTCCTCGTCGCTCAGAGTCTGACTGGGGGCAACGACAATGGAGTCACCAGTGTGAATACCAAGAGGATCAAAGTTCTCCATGTTGCACACGGTAATACAGTTGTTGTTGGCGTCACGAACGACCTCATATTCGAGTTCCTTCCAGCCCTTGAGCGACTTCTCGACAAGGATCTGAGGGGAGAGGGTAAGAGATCGAGCGGCCATGTTGCGGAGCTCCTCCTCGTTGTTGGCGAAACCGGAGCCCAGACCACCGAGAGCATAGGCAGCTCGGACAATAATGGGATATCCGACGGTCTCGGCGGCCTCGAGAGCCTCCTCGACAGTACCGACGGCGATCGACTTGGCGATGGGGATGTTAATCTCTTCCAAAGCCCTAGCGAAGAGGTCACGATCCTCACTCAGCTCCAGAGTTCGGACACTGGTACCGAGGACCTTGACGCCGTACTTCTCGAAGAGTCCGAGTCGCTGCATCTCAACACCGAGGTTGAGGGCAGTCTGACCACCGAAAGAAAGGAAGATGCCGTCAGGCTTCTCCTTCTCGATGACATAGGAGACATACTCGGGGGTGACGGGGAGGTAGTAGACCTCGTCAGCCAAGCTGTGGTTGGTTTGAATGGTAGCGATGTTGGGGTTGATGAGCACAGAAGCAACGCCGGCTTCCTTGAGAGCCTTGAGGGCCTGGGCGCCTATAATTGTTGAGAGTCAGTTTTTGTATGCGTTTGTGGGATATGATATTTTTGGTGAGTCGCGGGGTAAGTCGGGTGAGATTTTGGCATGCACAGAGCTGTATACTAACCTGAGTAGTCGAACTCTCCAGCCTGTCCAATGGCAAGACCACCACTTCCAATGACAAGAACCTTCTTGACATCGACGGTCTGGTGAGGCTTGATAACTCCACTGTCGAGGTAGGCCTTGGGGTTAGGAGCGTCTTGAGCGGCGGAGCTGTATCCGCGCATAACCTTGAGGGTTCCGATGCGCTTTGAGTTGGCAGGTCGTGTAGCAGCAATTGAGACTCGGCAGGCATTGGCGAGAGGGCTCACCGAGGAGTATGAGCGAGAGGGCAAAGCTCGCGGGACCCTGCGTCCATGACGGAGCAGGGCCGGAGCTCGACCAGCGAGAGTGGTTGCCAGGTTGAGAGGCATTGCAGCGGATAATTTGCACGTATCAATGCAAGCTGAACCGTCCCGCTGGCGAGGTTGCCCTTCTTTGTCCCGAATTAAGGGTCGAGGATAGCGATGTTTGTGAAGGACACAAGAGACGGTGACTCTGTGGAATGATTTCCAGAAGGAGAGGGGAGAAAAGAGGCAGGGCGGCCACTCTTGAAGAAAAATGGCGGGCGGTTCGATGCCGCCTGATAAGATAAGAGGCTCCGAAAATTATTCTGTGTGACTCTAACAAAAAGATGTGACGCAGCCAATCCTTGGTCTGATCTAGTTTAGTCTGGTGCTCAGATACTGATACGGATACCTTAGAGACTGAGACAAGACTGCCCCAACATTTCGGCCGTAGTGAGAAAAAAATTAAACCAAGATTCGATAGAGATCGTCTGTCACTAGCGGCTCTCTCAAGGGTTCTTCGTGGAGTGTCCAAGGCCCATAGCTCCAAAGTTGCTAGATTGTTGTATTTTGTTGTCCCAATTGGGGTTTCTAGACATGAATCCCAGTAATTCATTGATCGTATCTGTCTATTTTTCTGTGTTTGTTTCTACATGAAGCTCAACCTACACACTATACAGTACCTGCAGGCCCTTGCTCATCCTTGCTCTGAGCTCCCCGGATCCAGCTAAGCTTATGGGTCCGGTTACGGCGACCGGCCAGGGCAGCTTCATTGAACCCTGGTACTGGAGGGGGAAAGCCAGAAACAGACCAGGACACGGCAGACAAACGGCTGTCAGCAACAAGGAAAATAATTCTACTGGTGCTAGCATACGTCTAGAATAATTGGCGACTTCTTTTCGACCCATTGAAAAAAAGACGAAGCGGCCAATGCCATGTTGGACATGTCAAGCTAAGATAGCTGTTCCCCGGCATCGGCGGCTTAGGCGGTATCTCTGTCCGCCTATTCCGCCGCTATTCGGCGCGTGAGCGGTAGCAGGAGCCGCTGGCGGATGTTTCTGAGTCATGAAAGAGATTCCGAATGTCGAGCCCATCTTTGCTTCAACTGCCGGGTCATGATAGGCAAAATTTTCCGACATGATAAGACTCTCGACTCTCGCGATGTTGTCATGATGCTTCAGTTTGTGGGCATATTGTTTCTTTCCCAAGTTGCAAAATATACACACAGCTACGTATACAAGACTGAGTTGATTGTGACAAACCTTGTGGTTTTCCCAGCGCACAGAAATTGAAAATGCTCACTACATTCAATCAACTTAAACATCCATACATAGCTTGACCAGCGTAGAAACGCCGAGACCCCGAGCCCATATTATCCTCCATCGGATATCATGATAGCAATCGAAGTTTCCATACATACAAAGTGGCCCAGCAACCAAAGCCGTCCCATCACCAAGAGGTTCCATACTACCCTGTAGCTCCATCAACGCACAAACCCCAAGCTTTCCCTTTACACGCCATTGGTCAGTCGAAAACAGCTTACTCATCTTTCATCTGAAATTCAACCTCACCACAATTACGCTGTCGGTGAATAGAACAAAGGACAAAGGATCACTTCAATATCAAAGTGAGGTAAAATACATAATGTGAATTGCCACTAATCGATGATTGCTATTCATAAACACAATGGCTGGTCGCCGTGGTTTGCATGAGTTGCTCATTGACCTCATACCACAAGCAGAGGCTGATACAACAACCATTCTATGGCATCATGTTTGGAAAACCGCCGAAGCAAAGACTCCTAAAAATGCCTCAAAGCTGATGTGAATACAAGGGAGGCTATTCAGCTATTAGGTTCGGCCCCCTCTTTCTGGGATCATCTGTCTCTGCCACCCTCGTCAAGAACAGCTCACCCAAACTATATATATGCTCGCTCATAATGCTAAGTTTAATCGCCGGATCCAGATTGGCAACCTAAGAGCTACTCAGCCATTTATTGGCTTGGAAGTCTCGGGAAGAGAAGTCTGAAGAGTTTCCATGAGGGGGTATGCTTAAACAGAATAGTTGCTCAAGTCCATTCGAAAGGAAACGCCAAACAAAATAGCAATAAAGCATATGCTGGATTTCCAGAAAAACAACAAATGGAATAGCTAGCCACAATTACCCAACAAGAATATCGACTTCATGGATATTTGTTATGCAATAGTGACCATAACTGGCTTTCCGTGGATTGGCTAAATGGTAAACACAGCTTATTCTCAAACTTACTTGAATCACAATTTACATCCTGGCTGAGTATTATACCCCCAAAAATCCAATACTGAAATACTAAAACCCACAAGTATAAGAATACTGCTGATTACCCCCTCCGTTGTTGATAATTTCCTATCACCAGACATCATCACCAGACATCACCACAAGATACCACCATCACGAGATACCCACGCAGCCAGCGTTAGAACCGACATCATGGAAATCTTGACGGGTATTCTACTCTTACTATTTACTACCAAGTTAGTTGTTAGTTTCTACTGGGTATTCGCCCCGACCTCCGTTCTTCCCTCATGGGCCCGTCCCTCCGAGGAGGACTCTTCGCCTGAGCCCTGGAGCCTACATCTGGTCCCAGAACTCCTGTACATCGTTTTTGCAAATCAAGAAAAGCCCGTGGTGTCCACAAAAACCGACGAACCCAACGCTTTCCCTGTCAGCAGCCGCACCAGCACGGGCGACTTGGTTGACGACCCCTTCGCCAAATTTGGTATCCCCTCGTACTTCAACTATATTGAAAGTGTGAGACACGGGGGTGTCATCATGGAGGAGAAGCCAGCGGGATTTACCCTGCTGGAAACGAAGCCTTGGGTGCCGGCGGATCTCAACTGCAGAGATGGCCACTCGCAGCGGTACATTGGATACCGGTGCTAAGGCAAGGCCGGAGTCAAACGAGTGATGATGCACTCGAGTATATTGCTTGTAGGTCCCCCTTGAACTACCAAAAACTCAGCAACCATACTGATGAATGTTGTCCAGATTGAAATGTACATACGAACAAGTGTCTCTGGCGGTTTTACTTGGAGTGACAAGAGGAAGCCCCAAAGAATGACATACAAGGTAAAGCATCACAATAACAACTAAACTTGAAAGAACATGTACTGAAGAACATAACCCAGAATGAAACGAACGCACACGAAAGCCAAGAGAACAGCCATTTTGCTTTTTGCCAACCTAGATTGGAACAGAGTTGGACGAGTCCTTTGAGAGTTAGAATTAGAAACCCGTCGTATCCCAGATTGAATAGCATAAACAGCAACCACTACGGGTTTCTAATAAAACAACTTTTGCAATCACCTGTTCATCCATCGTGATCACCTGGAAGATTTTTATTGTTACATGCAGCGTGTTCACCATGACTCTGACCCGAGATCTATATCTGTGCCCTTTAGTGATTGAATGGACTTATATTTAGACAAAGGACAAAGCGAGTCTCTAAAGATACCAGAGGCAACAATAAACCGAGTAGTGTCTGTCCTTGGAACAAAGGATATGTCCATACGACAACTGCCTGGTCTTTGCACATCAGACGTCAGATATAAAGCTATTGAACCCCCTGGTCGTTGCCGAGAAATGTTTATGTCAAAGTCAACGAACAAACTACTTTCTAACAGAGAAGTTCAAAGTATTCAACCCTTACTCAATACTCATAACTATTCGCCAAAGAAACCAGCCAGCATTTTCACCATGTGCTATCAGGTATGTAATTACGATTGTCCACACATCCGTCGAGTCCAGGTCGAGTGTCGAAGGTTCGACGAACGCCGCGAGGCATGTCTACGACCCCTCCTCAACTGGCTATGCCCAGTCAAAATCTGTCAGGAGACGATAGAGGGCGTGCGACGACCTGGCAAACCCTGTAACCCTTGCAGAGCCAAGCTTTTTGAGCAAAGACTTGAGCCCCAAGCCCCCTCTGATATCTTACGGGAGGTCTAGAAGACCTCTCCGACATCATCGGAGAAACAGGAGCAAAGACAGATTGCCCCCTCTAACCCCCCTCTCACGCTGTGAGAGGGCGGGAACTCAAAAAGACGACGACAGCTAAGTGGCAATTCTGGCCCTCAGCCACACCGAAATCGTCCGAACCTTAGACGCCCACGTCCGGCTCGGCCCCTCGGTCGCTATTCTTCAACACGCCGAACAAGGCGAAAGCAATTGAGCTTGAACTGTGTACGCCCCGTCACAAGCATGGACAAGGTCTACCGAGTGCCACAGCCAGAGAGTCCCGCCAGGACCTGCATCTCTAATGGCATTCCGCGTGAGCCTGACGGAGAGGGAGAGCCTTGCACTAACAAGAGTATGTCGTAGGTTCGACGGGGACACCTTCAATACCATTCTGCGAAGCGTCGCAGTTCGCTCGAGATACAGGTTTGTCATGTATGACAACGAGCCTTGATTCAAAGAGCAGACCAAGATCCTGTTCCGTCAGTGATCAGGCATCATTTAACCATGGAGCAGCAGATACATAGTACCAAGTAGCAACACAAAAATAAACTGTTTACTCCTGAATCCATAAGCCCCATTGACTTGTGATGTGAATGACGATGTTGCTACATGCTTGACCGATAACTGCTAATTTAAATTGCAAACAACACAACTCCATACACCTCGTACAATGTTGGGCTGGCCAACACGGCCAGACCATCTTCAGACCCTCTTTTCTAAACATGCATGCTAGTTTTGATATAAATCTCGAAGCAGCCTGACGGCCGTATAAGCAAAGAAGACTGCTATTAGGAACGTCAAGTGCTTGAGTGAATATAGGGGATGAGATCACCAATACCACCTTCTCTCTGGTAGCGGGATGCCCACGATTTCATTACATCCACCGGCTTCACGACCGCTTCATTTGGACATCCCCGTGTTAGTCATCGATCGACCACGTCTGGCATGTTCCTACAAGTCAGAACGTGGGTCGTCTCGATGTTGAAAATGGTCCTATGCACCGACTCCTAACGGGTCGCTTGTCAGAAACACCGTATTGTTTAGCGCCGGCACCATAGTCCACAGTAAGGCAACAGCTCTATTGAGCCTTGCCATTCTTAGCCCTGAACTTCTCAATCTCGATCTGGACCTTCTTGCTGACACGAGCTCGGAGCTCAGGTCGATATCCGAACTTGAACAGAATTTCAAGCCACACAAACATGGGAGCCAGAAAGACGGCCTGGATAAGGTTGTCGAGCAGAGCGGGAGCACGGCCCTCATACTTTCCATGGCCGATGAACTGGAAGATCCAGCAGACGATGTGCACAGCCAGAGCACCCTGGAAGGTTGAGTCGGGGTTCTGTTGGCGCAAGTAGTTGACGAAAGCTGCTCCACCCATGCAGAAGATGGCCAAAAGAAAGCCAGCAAAAGGCTCCAACAGCAGATAAAGCAGGGAGTAAAGACTAGCAGCAATGATGCCAAGGTTAAGCTCCAAGTAAGGAACAGTGAGCCACTCCGGTGTGTGGATGAGAGTGCCGCTGTATGTGGCCTGTAAAGTGGTAAGCTGGTGTACTGAGTTCAAGTTGACAAGCCAACACTCATATGACCCAGCAACGAGGTGGGGAGACGAACCAGAGAGAACCCCGAGATGAGAATGAGGGGAACGCAGACCATGTGAATGGCAATATTGACAGAATTATGGTGGTAAGCACCATACTGAAAAATGTTAGCGAGTGTTTTGACATATGGTGAGAAGATGTAGACTTGAGCCAGACTTACAAAGGTGAGATGATGTTCAAGATCCAGAGACATATTGGCTAAAACTTTAGCAGAGCAAACGAGACGAGATGAGACGACAGCTGTAGTAAACTGAAGGTGGAAGAGTGACGCGAATAAAAGTTTATCGAGTCGCGATCAACCAGACAAGCGACTCGACTCAATGTAGTCCGTGAGTTGAATTATGCAGTGCTTGACGATCTGAGACTGCGGTTGTGGATCTGAGGTCAAGGTTGAGAAATAGCCAAGGCGACTGGAGAGATATTAAAAGAAGCTTGGTAGCCGTAGCTTGACAAATAACGTTGATGCCTGCTCGTGGTGCGATGTTGAAGTCGACTACAATTAAGGTATATATGACCAGGTTACCTCAACTTTAACGTCGAGTAGCGCGAAGTAGCACAATCCAAGACAGTCAGAGAAGGTGAATGGAACCCCTTCTTTGAGAAACCGAGGCTTGTAATGCAGACTAGTCAGGGGATGCGCGTTTGGTGCGGGAGCGATGCAGGTGGAAGAAGCAATAAAGAATGAGTGGCAGTGAACGAGCCAAGAGATGAGAAGTAGAGAAAAAGGAACTTATCCAAAAAAGACGAAATAAGGCGAGGCGAGTCGAGGTAGAGATGAGACGGGGGAGAAGGTGGGCGGCTTAGTACGATAAAGCGAATGAGAGTGGTTGTGAGGTGGCTTTGACTTTGGCGTTGGCTTTGGCTTTGGCTTTGCTGAGCTGTTCATTCTTCATGTGCTTTCCATTTTTGCGAAACTTCTCTTGCCCTCCACTGCAATTGACCCGCTTGAATTGCACCGCCGCACCTGCCTCTGTGGGGCAGAGTCCTGTAACTTGGAGCCTCCTTTTCCTTCGAGCCCCTGACCCATGTCAGTAGTTCCTTCCAGCTCGTGTGCTCATCTCCTTAACCTGGACAAGGACCCAGACCTGCCGGGACCCTTTAGTTTATGATTACCGCCAAGCGGAAGGTACGAACCGTAGAAATAGTCTACTGTACGCCTTCTTTGTCATTGCATTGGTTGAAGATGCTTAAGAAAGCACTTTCCCCTTGCAACTTCCCCAGATTTTGCTTGTATGCCGGATTTGTACTTTGGTATCAACAAGGTTTCACAGAGGCTTCCATTCGCTTCCTGCCACCCATCTGTCTTATTGTACTGTTCCATTGTGATCATACCACAATGGATCCTAGTTCTTCTGGAAGACACGACTGCGAACGGCCGAGACCTCCACTACCAAGCTTCGTTTATTGACTTGCAGTAATTATCGAGCTGTTTGCGCGCCGATTATTTTAGCGACGTCGCTTTCGTTAGACTTCTTAGGTCGATAATTAAGCTGCAAGTCCAATAGCCCATTTGTTTGTTTCCATCCGATCTTTATTGGCTTACACCTTCAAGATCACCCCTTCATGCCATAATAAGGAGCTTCAATGTTAACTCCTTGAAACTGGAGTTGCCGAAGAAGCACCAAGTGCTTTATTATACATGCATCAAGTTGTATTTTTCACCATGTTGCACGAATATTAGAAGGCAACCTGCTCTCGTACGCCACACATGTGGCTGAACCGTAATCAAGCTCTGATTGGATAGAGTTCATTCGCAGGCATAGGCCAGCTCAGCCTCGTCCAGAATGTCCAAACTTGCACCTCACTTCGCATTCTTTGTTACCACGAACCCTTAACCTCTTTGCGCTCGCGTCAACAAGGTCAGCAGTCAGAATCTGACTCGACACGCAAAGGTCTTTTCTCTTCCGCATCATTTCCTTTTCAGCTTCCTTCAGCGAAAGACGCGCCCTCAAAGCTACGCCGACCTGTCGCTACTCCCCGTAATCCGTCGCACGCGCTATCCCAGCATCTGCTTCTCCATCGATCGCATTAAACCTCTGCCCAGCGGTACTTATTAGCTTAAGCTTCGCTGTATTGGATCTAGATTTGTTCCCGCTTGCAGATCACCGACCGTGACACGACGCCCAAACGATCCTGTTCAAATAATCCGATTATCTGTCTACTATCAACATCTTCGTTTCTTCTAAATAAATTGCATCATGTTCTTTCTCTACAACCTGGAACGCAAGGTCACCTTGCACCCTTCTTTCATGGGTCGCAACATGCATGAGCTGGTTACAGGCAAGCTCCTGAAGGATGTCGAAGGCACATGCGCTGGCAGCTACTTCATCATCTCCATCATGGATGCTTTCGAAATCTCCGAAGGCCGAATCCTTCCTGGTCTCGGTATGGCTGAGTTTACCGTGGGATATCGCGCTGTGGTATGGCGGCCATTCAAGGGCGAGACGGTAAGGCTATCACTACTCAGGATTGATGATCCAGGAGTCTGACTTGACTCAGGTTGATGCTGTTGTCCATTCTATAAACCCCCAAGGTTTCTTTGCACATGCAGGACCTCTGCAGCTCTTTGTGTCGGCTCATGTAGGTTTCTCTCGACTGTCACAATACGACCCTTCTAACGCATAGCGCAGTTGATTCCCAATGATGTCAAGTGGGATCCTAATGCGACACCACCTCAATTCACCAACAACGAGGATACCGTCATCGAGCCACAAACGCACGTGCGTGTGAAGATCATCGGTACCAGAACAGAGGTCGGCGAGATGTGGGCTATTGGTAGCATTAAGGAAGATTACCTGGGGTATGTTTATTCCAGTCAATGTTATTGGGTTCTGTTTACTAACTGCTCTTTCTAGATGCCTTCAGGCCTCTTAATCTCGATGCGATATGGAGAGAAGTTGGACTCGAAAATGAAAAAGGGGTTTATCAAGCACCAAGCATGATCAGCTACCCGACAATAGATGCCACCAAACCACAGGCCATCACAACAAAAGCTTTTATTTTTTGCGGCAAATTTATGAACTGCTTTACCAAGCAAGGGTACCATTGCATGCTGCAGCTTGAATAAGAGACTCATCAGCAAGACGAGTCGGCTGTTCAAGCCAAGCAGTGCCACCACACCTGGGCCCACCGCACAGTTCTTTGTAATGGATATATAGGGTGTTTAGATAGCCCAAGGTTGAATGTGATGGGCGCAGTTTGCTATACAGGAAATGGGCGTCGGTTCTGGCTTATTTCGACAGCGAACGATTAGACAATTACACGCAAGATGTTGCACTTTGCAAAACATATAATAAAAATACAGATACCCGATCACGCTCGAGCTTCTGCGCCCTATGAGTGACTACTGTCCGCCCTGCAACAAAATTTCTTAGGATGGCCAATTGCATGTCACGAAGATAGGTCTTGATTTCCTGAAGCAGGTTGATCTCCCCCACGAAACCCCGCAATCTTGGATGTCTCCCCGCTTGGAAACTTGGGATGGGACCGGGGAGCTCCGGGGAAGTGCATGATATTCGTTCTTATAAATTGGGCTCTCGGGGCTTGCTTCTCCGAGAAAATTGACTTTGTGCATTGCTTATCGATTGCCCTTACAAGAGCTCAAACATAGACAATATGAGTAGAGTATGGACTTCAGCAACATTGCGAATACGACCAGCTTTCAAAACTAATACACTACGACTACGGAGTATGACCAGAAACATGTCCGCCATGCAAGCGTCCAATAGACTACGAACATCACTGCTGGAGGGAAAGAAGGCATTCGGTGCCTGGCAGATGCTTCCTGGGGCGAACGTGTCACGGGTACTGGCGAGATCAGGAGTTGACTGGGTGCTAATAGACTGTGAACACGGCAACATAGATGGTAAAGGCTCCTTCACTGTCACTACCGACAAGGCCTGACGTTTGTTTAGATGGCGCAATGCACGACGCCGTGCCAGCTATTGCGGCACTAGGGGTTTCGCCTATCGTGAGATTGCCTGATATGCAAGGATGGATGGTAAAACGTAAGATTTACACAGACATCTCGAATTGAAAGAGCAGCATTGACATTCCCTAGGTGCACTTGACAGCGGAGCTCACGGTGTAAGCATTGATGATTGAAAGATCGTAGTATCAAGACTGACTCTCACAAGATCGTTGTTCCGTTGCTGAGAACACCCGAAGAGGCGAGACAGCTCGTCCAATCTGCCAAATTCCCCCCTCAAGGCAGACGAGGCTTTGGATCTCCAATTGCTCCCGAGCGATTTCATCCTGAGCCAACCTTCACGCAGTACCTTCAGCAAGCGAACGATTCTCTTCTAACCATCGTTCAGATCGAAACCAGGGAGGCACTTGAGTCAATTGATGAGATTGCTGCTGTGGACGGGATTGATGTGTTGTTCATTGGACCCTTTGACCTAGGTAAGGCAATTGAGTATCCTGGGAAGCCCAAAAGTATTAATACACGACAGGAAACGCCATTGGCCACCCTATCATCGAAGGAGTTATGGCCTCGGAACTGAAAGATGCCATTGCCAAGATTCTTGCTGCTAGTCAAAAGGCGGGCAAGAAGACAGGAGTATACTGTACAGGAGGAGAACAAGCGAAGGTATATGCCGATCTTGGATTCGATATGATGAATGTGGTGACAGATTACACGTCTCTGGGGCTTGTAGTCAAAGAGCAGCTCAGTTTTGCTGATGGAAGCGTGGCGCCGGTCAGAGGACAGGGTTACTAAGAGTGCTTCAAACTTGAACTTCAGTCCTTCTCTGCCTTGTCCATTTGAGCTTCGACTTGCTCGACTGTGAATCGGTGCATGAGTTTAATAGCCTTGCCCACACTCTTAACATTCTCCTCTGGGGCTGTAGACTTGCTGATGTGTATCTAGAATTTCATGTGAATACTAGAAAACTCCGGATTTGTTGTTATACTTACTACAGGCACGTCGAAGTCATAAATGTCTCTCCATTGCTTGCTCTCGGGTTTTGGAAGGTCAACATCAACTTCCGTATAGTCGAACGGCCTTTTATCCCAGACATCAGATAGAACATGCTTGGCTTGACTACAAAGGCCACATGTTTCGCGAGTAAAGAATGTTATCCTCGTTGAGAATAGAAGACGACGAGTAGCAAACATGATGAGATGAGAAAGATTGATTTATAGAGATTAATGGTTACAAATGGCCATATAAACAAAATGTATAATAAGAATGGCCTGAGATTATAGATAGATGAGATGATATAACGGTCTAGTCCTAACACGCATAACAACCCCGCATCGAAAAGGGAAAGCGGTCAAGCCATAGCTGGGCTGTTTCCAGTGGACATCGTCATCGCCTCCATGGGTGTCAGAGCTTGAATTCTAGAAGCTCCCACCCCACCAGAGTCGGTGATAACCAAATTCCCCTTCTTCTCTCTTATTTATACTTTGAAAATCTTCAATTCAAGCTTGTGGAGCACGAATCTAAAACTGCTAGCGAAATGGCCCAAAAGTGTGTCCATCAAGGTTGTGGAAAGGAGTTTACGGACCCTGATGAGAAGTGCGAGTACCACCCCGGTCCGCCTGTTTTCCACGAGGGGCAGAAAGGTAAGCTTGATCAAGAAACACCATACAATGTTCTGTATACTGATTTGCTGCATAAAGGATGGAAGTGCTGCAAGCCTCGAGTTTTGACCTTTGATGAGTTTATGGAGATTCCGCCCTGCACGACAGGCACTCATTCCACCACCGACAAGCCGCCGCAACTGGAGGAGAAACCTCAGCAGGACGATGCTGATCTCGTCAAGAAGATCGATGCGCTAAACGCTGCGACTCCCTCGCGTGCACCAGTTCCGACTGCTCAGCATGCTCCCACCCCGCCTCCCCCAGCTCCCGAGTCGGAAGACGACGACCCCAGTCTCGAGATTGCCGACGGCGTTGGCTGCAAGAGAAGAGCCTGCGGCGCAACTTATAAGAAGGGTAGCTCGAGAGACGAAGAGGAGTGTGTTCACCACCCAGGTGTCCCGATCTTCCATGAGGGAAGCAAGGGCTACTCCTGCTGCAAGAGGAGAGTGCTGGAGTTTGACCAGTTCATGAAGATCGAGGGATGCAAAACTAAGAACAAACACTTGTTTGTGGGCAGCGGAAAGAAGGATGGCGCTGATAGCGAGGAGATTGTTTCTAACGTCAGGTGAGTTTATGTCTCCTGTCTAAGATTGCTTGTGTTAATGCTGACGAACCTAGACATGACTTCTATCAGACCCCCGTCAACGTTATCGCATCTTTCTTCTTGAAAAAGATCGACAAGGGCACGGCCAAGATCGAGCTCCAGCCCAAGCAGCTGAAGCTTGACCTCGCAACATCCGACTCGCCTCCCAAGCGCTATACCGCCGACATCCCCTTATACGGTTCGATTGACCCAGAGAAGTCAAGCTACAGAGTGCTCGGCACGAAGTTGGAGTTTGTCCTGGCTAAATCTGACGGCGCCTCGTGGCCAGTGTTTCGAGGCGACGAAGCCCTGACAGGTGAGATCCTGCAGATTGGTCGTGCTGGAAGGGCTTGATAGCAGCAGCTATCAACAACGAGAACATTTGAGAAATACCATCATTGGGAGTTTATGTGATTGATATGGCGTTGATGAAATTTTAGATGAAAGCATTCCTCAATGGAGATGTTGAGGACCCAAAGAATGGACTAACCAGAGAGATGAGCGAGAAAATAGAATAAGAAGAACATTTACCACGGTCTATTGTTTCAAGCCCCCAGTTCGCTATGGGAAAGCAGAGGCCGCATCTCTTTGTTTTAACATTTACATGGACAAGTAATTTATGAGGCTGTGCGATAGAGGATTTGATTGACTTTCGATCACGCAGAAGCGGCAGAACCAACAACATTCATGCAACCGGTCTGAGTGACAGTCGCATGTGCGTGATTTAACATTAGTGAACTGCAGGAGAACATCGTGAACCTTGCATTGGAATGTTTCATCATGGATCAGCACTCGAAGGATGTGGAACCCTGGGTATTTTGCTGACAATTAGACCGACAACAACCAACAGCAAAGAATCGACAGCGATCTTCTCACTGCAACTTTAAATATGTGGTCTGATACCCAGAGAAAGACGCTCTGAGCCGTCCTTTCTTGGTAGAATACTGGTATTTTCTGATAGCAACATGTGGTACACCTTTTTGTTCTGTCTTATAAGTACAACTCAAGCTGGAGACATCTTACTACGACAGGACACTCCTCAGATAGCTAGAAACATTTCTGGTTACACAGCTTATGATGTGTTAAACTACACCAGTGCTAACCTTGACGATTTGCCGAAAATAGAAGTTCCATTGCGTATTCTTTGTGTTGGAGATTCGATTACTGAAGGATGGGGCAGTGATTCCAATGGCGGTGACGGAAATGGCTATCGACTTTCTCTTGCAGGGCATCTATCTCGTGAGTCTTATTGGACAAGGAGGTGGCTCCTAGAGACTTGTATTGACTCGTATATAGGTGAAGATGTTGTCTTTGCTGGTACAAGGCACCGAGGATCAATGGATGATAGGTACCATGTAAGCCTCGAGCTCAGAAGCAAAGACGTCATACTTATACCAATTCCTAGGCAGCATGGTCCGGAAAGACTATCCAGTACATAAACGATCATGTCACAGAATCATTGGAGCAGAGACCAAATGTTGTTCTTCTACATGCTGGGACAAACGATATGGACAGGCGATCTTCGATCTCGAAAGAAGGCAGCGATCCGAAAGGTGTAGCAAAGCGTCTAGGTCAACTTATCGATAAAATCATCGAATACTGTCCTGATGCAGTGATTCTAGTCGCGATACCTCTATCATCCTGTGATGGATTCAAGTCCAGATCTCCGGAATACAGAGCCATGATCCCCGAGGTCGTGCGGAAGCGGCGACAAGAGGGAAACCATGTTGTTGCCGTGGACTTTAGCACTTTCGATTTGAAGGATTTAAGAGACTGCTTGCACCCTACAAATGAAGGTTATGGAATTATGGGCGATTACTGGTATGACTTTTTGACACAAGTACCGGAGGGATGGATTAAGGAGCCTGTTGGGGATGATCCAGAGAGAGGGGATGACAATGGAGTTGGTATGAGAGCAGGGATAGATATGAGGTATACTTGGGGAGTCGGTTTAAGTTGGATATTGTATTTCTATGCCATAGAGTGGTTGAACTGATATATACATTTGATGCTTGGAAGTTGTGAGTCAGTCAATACTTACCTAGAGTCAATATGAATGAAGCTTCGTATCCTGGATAAAGATGAGTGATGTTAAATAGATGCTATTGTCAGATCAAAGTTGCAATACCATTGGGAAAGCACATCAGCATGAAAAGGCAGGTATGTAAATATCACACGAGCCAACAAACATGCGAATCCACGAAATGTCGACCAAGACCCAATCCCACTCTTGTCCGCGGATACTAATGCAAGGTTCCTGATAAGAGGTGATTCTTCCACCCGTGGCCGTGGAAATGAAAGGCATTGGAGAATCGATAAGTTGAGTCCCCCACATTAAATTACCAAAGCTGAACAAATTCGGATACGTAACCAGAGACTGAAAGACGGCTTCTAACTGGCTGCGGTCATTTCTGCCATCATCACACCCTCCTGCCTCTGCTGTCACCCGTCGCACGTGCTTGGCGCTTTTGATCTCGGAATGCGCTGTAGAACCTGCATTTAGTGACCTTTGATCACTGTTTTAGTAGGGTCTAGTGGGTTTTCTGGGCGATCTTGGCGGTTGTCTTGGGGCTTCTTGTGTAAACTGATAAGAGAATCCATTTAAGTGATAGTCGCCCAATTGATATCGCTCAGTATCAGATAGAGATAACGGCTGTCTTCGTACATTGTACCTGTACCTGTACTTGTACCTGATCATGATGCCATGGTAATCACTACCTGTTCCTTGTTCCTTATCAGAGATGGTCTCAGGCATGGAAGCAAACAAGCTTAACTTGATGGCTGTGCTGTGTTGTGCTGTGTTGTGCTGCGTTGCCCTTCCGCCCGGTGACGACTGCTATAAGTTGTAGTCATACCCTGGGATTCAGCTGACGCCTGAACGGCCGACTTTTATATTACAACCAGATTTATAACCTCGACAACAACCTGACCTTCTAAAAACCTCTTTAATCAGACCGTTCAAATACACGCATTTCAAATAATCAACAACAATGTCGGCTGAAGTCTCTCATGGTCGCGGTGGTGCTGGCAACTTCAAGCCTGACGATACAGAGTACGTCGATGGAGAAGTCGTTCGTACTGGCGTTGTTGGAAGCCACGGTGATGGCGCATACAGTGCAGGACGTGGAGGTAAGTAACTATCGATATTCTGTTCTGGTCATATGTTGCTACGGCAGCGTTGTCTTTCGCAAAAACCTACCCTACGTCTACCCATCATAGGCGAAACCAGTCTTCTAACAGACCTTGTTCAACAATAGGTGCTGGAAACATTGGCGATATAGGCACACCTACCACCGAGCGAAAGGATCAAGACATCATCCCCGAGATTGCGATCCGGCCGAGCCAGGACGGCCGAGACTTCCACACTGGCCGCGGAGGTGCTGGCAATGCTCAAGTTGGTACTCCGGAGCGAAAGTCTGAGGAGGAAGAGAAGACCACTGCCAAGACCCCCGTTGGTCTGGCTGACAAGCTCAAGTCCAAGCTCTTTGGCCACAAGAAGTAGATGGATGAAGTTGGGTACGATGGAGGAGGATATGTCGTTTTCGGGCAGTGCTGTTGTTGATATTGGTTCTTTCAGAAATACCCCCGATGTCATTGCTGCTCTCGTGAATGTCTGTAGATGAGTTTTCAATATTCACCGTTTTATTGCGCATGGTCCTAAATGATGACCTTGAAGCCAAACGTGCCCAGTGACATGAGAGAAACGTCCCCCGCATCTTACTGTGAGCATGTCTGTCTGACCTGCATAATAAAGATCTGACAGCTTCTGATCAAAAGGCTACTGAAGAAAGGCTCTGTAGTAAGCCGTAATAAGAACTTGTCGGTATGCAGGTGTCAAAGGTACGGTACGTTGGGCTGCCATGGATGACGCTGATTTCCATTATCTAGTGGAGATTCAATTATCAAGGATCATCCCTTGTTATTACAGTATCTCCAGACTCCCGAGATCCAAGTCTCCACTTCCCCTCATTTCTTGACTTCTCGTGAGTCAAGTTCAACTCGAAGAGCGGAGTGTCTGTGTCTCCAGACTCCGCTTCAAAATTCAAGGTGCTGTAAAGAGAAAGTCGATATTCCAGGATCGGCTCTACTCTGTGGGTTTCCTCAATCCCAAGCCCGAAGCTAAACCAATTCGGCATTAAACAGCTGCATCTCTGAACTAAGAGAAACTGCAAGCACCTTGTTAGTGCTGAACTGATCATTAAAGACCCTGATAAGAGCCCAAATAGTTCAGGGATCGTCCAAGGTGGCCTTGATTATGCTGGCTTACAGCGATTCCGTAGACGACAAGACCCAAAGGTAGCGAATAGGCATTGCGATAAACACACATTGCCGAGTGATTATTGTCTCGTTAGTCTTGGTTTCTAGCATGGGAAGGATCTTTTGTTGGTTAGAAGGTGCTATTAGAGGATGCGACGGTGATATCCGTCCTGACCTGATTTGGTTTTCTGGTGCTGGCCAACTTTAAGAATACAACTAAGTGCCGTTCATTCAATATTCATTGTGACCCCTTTCCTGCTCTTTCTCACTTGATCTCGGCATCATCAGGATTCGTTGTGCGCGCGATTGCTTCAACAATATCCAGGCTCTAGATTCTTCCTATATCCGTTTACTTCCCGCATACCGACAGAGTACATGGAGTACTTTACAGCTTACCAAGAGCAAAGAAAGCTCTACATTTACTGGAAACCGTTCCAATCGCATCAAATAACGGCCTGGCGTTGAATCTTATCTCACTGTACTTTACACTCACTCACCTGTCTCGGCCGTGTGACGACAATCACGTGGGTCTGGTGAGATCACGAGTGCGACATACATACCAGGTACCGAAGCTCACTGCAGGCAGCTATGGCGCCAAACCTTCAACCTCAACCTCAGACTCAAACTCACCTTCAGCGTCCGCAACTCAAAGATCATAGACCGTGGTCAGGACTCTCCAATATCTCTAAACGGTCCTTTAGATCCTGCGCCACTTCTGCTTTTGAGGCTGACGACGAGCGTTCCTCCAGCGACGGCGATATGAGCCCTCGCAATAGCCAGTCTGGCTTGCGACGCCCAATCGTGCCGCGTCATTCTGGTCATGACGCTCGCCCGACGAGTCGAAAGGAACTTCTGGGATGGTACGCTTATGCGTTCGCTGCTGAGACGTACGTGATTTGTGGCATCGGTAAGTTCGATTATAGAGCTTCTGTAGATGCGACCCACCACTAATACTCATGCTCCAGCTTCATTCATCCCTATTCTGCTTGAAACCCTCGCTAGAGAGAACGGTGTGCTGCTTTCAGACCGAAAAACACCATGCGGATCAAGTGATAGCAAAAATGAAGGCGATGGCCAGTGTATTGTCTGGGTGTTTGGAATGGAGATCAACACCGCCAGTTTCGCAATGTACACCTTTTCAGTGAGCGTCTTAGTCCAAGCCCTGCTCGTTGTCAGTATCAGCTGCGCCGCCGACCATGGAAACTACCGCAAGAAGCTCCTCCTCAGTTTCGCTTGGATTGGAAGCTTCGCGGTCATGTCCTACATCTTCATCACCAAAGACAACTATATTCTCGGCGCTCTCTTGACCGTTATATCCAACACATCGTTTGGCGCATCATTCGTATTACTAAACTCTTTCCTCCCCCTACTTGTGCGATACCATCCCGATGTTATCGAGGCCAATATCACTACTACGCCGGATTTGGGCAACTCGGACTATGAGTCGCGTCCTCTGAACGAGTCGGTAGGTGAACCCGAGGCACCAGCAGTTACAACAACCTCGCCTTTGTTGCTTCCCGAGGACGGCGAACGGTTAAAACCCACGGCAAGCCATGCAGAGATAACGTCCAAGGAGCTGCAACTGTCAACGCGCATATCAGCGATCGGAATTGGTACTGGATATATCGCAGCACTGTTTTTGCAATGTGTTTGTATCGGTGTTCTCATCTCAATGCATAATACTACATGGGGCCAGCGAGTCGTATTATTCATGGTTGGCGTCTGGTGGACCGTTTTTACTATTCCTGCGGCAATGTGGTTGCGACCCCGTCCCGGACCTCCCCTAGCAGACAATGGCCGAAAAGGCATCATGGCGGGACTCGCATACATTCTATATGCTTGGAAGAGCCTGTTCAGGACAGTCCAGCAGGCCAGACGTCTGTTGGATATTGTTCTGTTCCTCGCCGGATGGTTTCTTTTGTCAGACGCCATCGCAACCACGTCATCGACTGCCATCCTATTCGCCAAGACCCAACTCCACATGAAACCGTGGGCGCTCGGTATGATCAATGTCATTTCAACTCTTGCAGGGGTGTTCGGTGCGTTCGGATGGTCGTGGATATCGCGACTTTTCAATCTCCAAGCCCATCAGACCATTCTTGTCTGCATCGCGCTGTTCGAACTGATTCCCCTTTACGGCTTATTGGGCTATCTTCCATTTGTCAAAAATTGGGGTGTTTTTGGACTCCAGCAACCATGGGAAATGTATCCCTTGGCCGCTGTCTACGGAGTTGTCCTTGGAGGTCTGAGCGGTTACTGTCGTTCCCTATACGGCGAACTTATCCCCCCCGGATCCGAGGCAGCTTTCTATGCACTCTACGCAATTACCGACAAAGGCTCCAGTGTTTTTGGACCGACGATTGTGGGAGCAATCATTGACAGGACTGGTACAATACGTCCTGCTTTTTGGTTTCTCGCAGTTTTGGTTGGCTTCCCTGCACCCCTGATATGGTTCATTGACGTTGAACGCGGAAGACGAGAGGGCGCCAAACTCGCAAACTCAATAACAGAGTCAACTGAGCAAGAAGAGGATGAGGGTGATGATGAAGCTGAGCGTCGTGGAATGCTGGCGGATTATGAGCGAGAACAGGAACACTATGAGCGTGCAGGTCGTTAATTTCGCGGGCTGTTATTGGATAGCATAGCGACGGCGTTTTGCTGGATGATCAGTTATGTCATTTTAGTACTACTGTATCCGTAAATGGATGTAGATCATGTTCGGACAATAACTACATACCGTTCCTGGATGTTAATATAGTAAGCACATGTCGCAATAAAAAGATGAATAATCTTTCAAACCTCATTGCACATTAAACATACCGCAGCACTTACATCCATGGCATGTTACTGGTGATGGTCAGCTCCCGGCCCCCGTTTGATCGGAGTTTCTAGAAGGGCGCTTCCTTGTACGGTTCTATATCCGGGGGAAGTTAGCATTGGATGCAAACACGGCGACCCTGCCCTTTCCTGCCTTTACCAGGTCGGCTACTGGCTGACCTGCAGCCCTCCTTCCGTCTTGAAACGGCAAACGGCGCTTACCCAATGCTATGTATACCGAAGATATCGCGTCACTTTATCGCGTCTGCTCTATTATCCACTTTCCACTTTCCCCTACGGATACCTTAGTACCTTAGTAACTTCCAACGTCCAACCACCTCGAACCCAATTTTCCCTCGACCTCCTACAGACGACGGAAAGGCGCCAAGTCTCGCATCGCATCGGATAATAGGCTATAGGTAGCCAAGACTCACCTTGACGCGTTGAGCAGGCCTGGTGTAACTCCCTCAGCTTAGGTGGCCCCATTGCCAGGTTAATCACGTGACGCTAGTCTCTTTGTGCTTTTGGCCCGATTCTTAACGTTAGTTCTTCCGCAGATTGCGACGTTGCTCACCTAGACAAATCGAGCCTTACGTGCACAGGACATCGCACGCCGCGATCTGTCGCTCACAGACAGACAGCTTGGGCTCGGCTTCACATACAACGCGCCATCAAAAATTGGCTACGCCACATCCAAACAATCATTTCTCCATCTTCCTCATATCCGTCTCGTCGTTTTCATCGCCCTTTCATCGCGCTATTCGCTCTCTGTCGCCCGAAACCCCTCCTTCTCTCTCCACCTCCGACGCGGTCATACCCAACCGCATCAAAACGCCACAATGAGCAATCGCAAACGATCGCGATCTGTTGGGGAGGAGAATCGCGCAGAATGTCCCTTCTCAATTAATTACGCGAATAATCCATCGCGCGCAGAACAAGAACGTCATAAAAACAAGAAGCGGAAGCGCGACGGCCAAGATGACGATAAGCGAGTTCAAATCCAAATTTCACCCTTCTCTCCAACGGGAAGCTTCAAGACCCATGACACGATGGACTTGTATTACACAGTTGAGCCTGGCAAGCGATGGCAAGATATGACGCGCTACAATAGCTTCGTCCGTAAGTACTCAATGGAATCCAGACAGCACGATATTTGAGGGGCTTACGGCTAATGTCTGCTAGTTAATAGCATTAAATACTACAGTGAGGGTTTCGTGTATGTCGCGAACGAAACAACGGTTGAGCATCAGAAGGCCCAGAACGAACATGGCGACTATGAGAAGAGAGATAACAGAGAAGAATGGGTAGCGCGCATCCTCGAGATTCGAGCCTCCGACGAGCACCATGTCTATGCCCGTGTCTACTGGATGTACTGGCCTGACGAGCTACCTCAGGGTACTATCGATGGCAAGAAGACTGTTCAGGGCCGCCAACCATACCATGGCCGCAACGAACTGATCGCGTCCAACCACAGTATGTTCCAGAATGCTGACTGACATCCTTACCGCAACGCAACTGACCAATGATTTAAGTGGATATCATCAACGTCGTCAGTGTAACGGCGCCCGCTTCCGTCAACCAATGGATAGAGTCAGACGACGAGGAGATCCAGGACGCTCTATATTGGCGCCAAGCATACGACTGTCGTAACTCGCAGCTCTCGGTATGTTGCGAGGTAGCCTGCTTTCCATTGACTTAAACTAACGTTCACACAGTCGGTTGATATCATGTGCAAATGCCAAACCCCTGCAAACCCGGATAAAACACTTATAGGATGTACGAGTTCGGAATGTGGGAAATGGATGCACCGCGAATGCATGGTCCATGACGTACTCATGAAGGTTTTCGAACGATTGGGCACCGACAAACCTCACCGGACCGAGGGAGCGACTGTCAAAGAAGAAAAACCCGAAGAAGCAACACGTCCCCTTTCGCCCACCGATGCCGAAGAAAAAGAGACACAGCCAACGATCGACGTGCGCTCTGGCGAGACACAAGATAATGTTCACGTGAAGAAGGGCATGCGTGAAACGCCCAGAGACACCGAAACTCCCACACCTGGACCGACACCAGCAAGATCTATCGCTGCAGCATCAGCCAAAGGGGCGAACAAGAAGGGTCGCAAGAAGAAGACTGTAGAGAAGCCTTACGCAGGGCTCTTTGAGGCTACTCTCAAGATGCAAGAAGGTCCTACGGCTTGGGAGATCCGTGATCTACGCCCAAATGTAACAGGTGGCGACAAGACCTGGACTGAGAAAGCCCATTGTCTTTTGTGCGATAGCAGCATCGAATGAACATTCAACACCGAGACCTTATAACCGTAAAGAGCCTGCTCCGGTCAGCAGGTTCTCACGTCTTGAGAAGCGCAATTCCATATTGCGCAGATCAACGAGTCAGCTATCAGCGGCTTGTGGGCAGCTGCGGCCTGCTTGAAACAAGGCTTATTGGAACGACGAATGTCATCGGTTTCTTTTATCAAAATTTCGAGGTCACTTTGGCGATTCGCCCACTGGTGGATTTTCCGGGCGCGGCGTTGGAGGCGAAACTGGCTGTATTGTGAGTTGGGAAAGTGGTGCGAACTGGAACTTGCGAGCAGTGAGGGAGATACGCACTTTGTTTTGCTATTTTATGAGATTCTTGAAGCGACGCGAGAGGAGTTGTCCACATGGGCCACAACACGAACTACTGGAGAGGACCAGGTCGACGTTAAGGCGGTGGATGGACGTATTCTGGGTACTGGATCAGAGAGAGGTTGAGCATGCGACTAGTTGGCCTTTTCGTTGATTATTAACCTTCTGACATGGTACTATTTGCCTGACAAAGGTGTTGTCGACGGCTTGACTTTATCTTTCTTAAGAATGAGGCTTTATTTTGATTTAATCGAATTCTATTTCCTTATACCCTGATACTTTGTTGTCTGACTACCTTATATATGATACTATCGCTAGTCCCATTTCACGTTGTTACAAAAGCCTGAACGCTTTTAGATTCTGAGAAGCTAACCCGTCAGTTACATGCTGTGGTTAGTATATGCCTCCGAAATATGTTTGTTTTGAGTCCCTAACGTTAGTATGAAGGTAGTCGGGAATAACCATGGATCTTGAGCTTACATTGAAGGTCAAGTACGTACTCCACACGGAGCTCCAGGCGACCCCGCTACTCCATAATGTCGCAGAGCTTCACCTCGACACAGTGCATTACCTGCAAACCACTGGACCCTTCGTAACCGACAATAACAAGAAATCAACAACTTCTGGACGGCCATAGCAAAACGACACAACAACCCGCTACAATGGCTGTCGACCCCTTTGACTCAGCTCTGTAAGCCTCTGCCTCTCTCTGCCTTTCGCGCAATGACGTTTTCCCCTTATAGCTGACCGTTTCATCCGTAGCGACCTCCTGCGCCGTCTCAATCCCAAGCAGACAACCGACCATCTCAACGCCATCATCTCCATCGCCCCTGACCTGACCGAAGATCTCCTCTCGTCCGTCGACCAGCCCCTTACCGTGCGCCGCTGCAAGCAGACTGGCCGAGACTACCTCCTTTGCGACTACAATCGCGATGGCGACAGCTACCGCTCTCCATGGTCCAACCAGTTTGACCCGCCCCTGGATGAGGCTGGCTCTGGTGGTGTAGGCGCAGGTGGAAACGAGGGCGCAGGCGAGGGTGCGATCCCAAGCGAGCGTGTTCGCAAGATGGAAGTTAAGGCGAACGAGGCCTTCGATGTCTATCGCGACCTGTATTACGAAGGCGGCGTGAGCAGTGTTTACTTCTGGAATCTCGACGATGGATTTGCAGGCGTTGTCCTTCTTAAGAAAGGTGAGAGACTCTCCTGTTATAACTGCATGTCTGTTTTTTGAACCGCGAACGCTAACTGGGCATCTAATTGCAGCTTCTCCCCAAGGTGGCAATTCCGAGGGTGTCTGGGACTCCATTCATGTTTTCGAAGCTATCGAGCGAGGACGAAGCACTCACTACAAGCTCACATCTACCGTGATCCTGACGCTGTCGACTGGTGGTGGTAATCTGGGCGAGATGGACCTCAGCGGCAACATGACACGCCAGGTCGAGCAGGATCTCCCTGTCGAGAACGACGATAGCCACATTGCCAACGTCGGACGGTTGGTTGAGGATATGGAGCTCAAGATGCGCAATCTCCTGCAAGAGGTTTACTTTGGCAAGGCCAAGGACGTCGTGGGTGACTTGAGGAGTATTGGAAGCTTGAGCGAAGGGGCACGGGATCGCGAAGCACAGCGAGAGCTTATTGGAAGCATGAGGAGATGATTGGTGTACAAAACCTCCTGCTCGTCTTATGTGGCGTTTTCTAAGAGCAATACGTTCGATAGACTGTTTACAACCTTTGTGGCATTGCAAATAAACACCATCTGTTCTGGAGTGAGTAGAGCAGACCTGGCAGGCAAGTTCCCTTTGATAGCCTCTTTACACTTTACAGCGAACTGCTTGCCTTGCAGGACTTGGAGGCATGGATATGATATACATGCTCTGACATCACTGTTACGAACTCTATCTACTGTGAACAAACCGGGGAAAATTTCATGTTCAAAGCACATGGCAAAACTCTCTAATCCCATTGTAAGTCGAGATCGATTAACCTGCGCATCGCTGGACCGGCCCGTTTTCCCGTAGAGAATAGTACATAGAGTAACACGTATATGGAGGTGAAGTGGTTACTTAGATTAGTATAGCATTAGCATTAGCTTCAACGCGTCCTGAGCGTCTTTGCAGGGGCTAGCGGGACCATTGGCTAAGTTCGATCCTGGACGTCGATCAGGTTCTATCATCAAAGCGAAGGTCGTGTTGTAAATTGGCAATGAGTGCAAAAATACACACAGTTGATCGGGTGAAGCATCCATAAACACTTCCAGCTACATAGAATTTTGGACGTTTGAGAACAACAACTCGAGCCATCACCCTCCGCTATGGCTGGCCGCGGCTCCTTGTTACAGTCAACATCGAGCTCATACGTAGTAAGGCTCTACTTCTACTGTACAGTACTGGCCAACAGATGGCGGCTAGCATGGTTATTCGCGTAGTGCGCCAGGCCACGCTAAAGAACATGGACTCAGTTCCTTCTGAGTCAGAGACATCACACGTTCTGCAGAAATGCATGAACACGACTTTGCGAGATTAGTGAAAGGCAGTAGCCTTTTGCACAAGGCACCGATGCTGCCATATGATGTTCTCTGAAGGATCTTAGCGATGAAGGGGGTCCCACCCTTGATCAGGGGTGGGCGCGAGCTTGAGGCCGGGCTGAAGACGGGGAAGTGGTTACAGATGCAGCAGCTAGACAGCCCTGTCTCGTCAGATATGACAGAGGACAGCGTCAAAGAACAGTGAGACCTTGGCACCCAGACACCATCAGTGATGGTATGGGGCTGGAGAAGTCGTGTAGGAAAGATCAAGGAACTCGGCTTGGTGAAACGGGTTTCGGAGGTGGAATGTGAGGCAGAGAGCCGGCGATAAAATTCGTAGCGATGTTCAACAGTGATCCGAGGACGACACGGATCGCGTTACGGATACGTAGTTCTCGATTGCTCGCTCGCTTTGCTTGCTCCATAGCCGCATTGAGGTCTGTGTTGCGCATGTCATGCAGACAAGGCCTTGCGGATCCCGGAGTTTTGGTGCATGTTAGTCGGATCTAAATATTAACCTCGTCCTCAATGGTCCAAAGACCTGTTGTATGCGTGCACGTACGCTGTTAAATGTCTTAGGCGCCTGGACTTATTGATGTTGGTACTGTACTTTACCCGTTAGCTAGGCGTGGCGTCGACGAAGGCGCCGTATAGTGCTGAACTGTATGCTAAGATAGGGGCTAAATCCATTGAGTTTTTGAAAGGTCGCTAGGGACGATAGTGAGATGACATGTAATTTCTTGACCATGGTATTGGATCTCACAGCGAGTAGATCGCTGGGTTAGATGGTTTAGCTTTCGTTTGTTATCCCGAGGGTGGATGTGAATGGTAGGAGTGCTTTGGCCGACTTGGGAAGTACAGGGCTATAGTAGGTAACTGGCTCCTTCCCTCAGCTAGGCCAAGACCTGGGCGGGATATTGACAACAGTTAGTCCAGGCCTGGGAGGGTAGGAAGGAAGGGGTTGACTGCCGCTTGAAACTTGACATACATCGATGTGAGACTTCCATGTGTTGATTCCGTTTGCTTCAACCACTACTCCAATTTTTGTTACCTTTCATTCCTCAGTTTTTCTAGAACTGTCACAACATTCAATTTCCCACCATTGGTAGACAGACAAGCGAATGGAAGAATTCTAGAAAAACAGAACCCCGCATCGTGCCGTTCCTGTTCCTGCCGCTTGCCACATGCCCACTTGACAGACGCAGCCGCCTGCCGTGTCCCCTGATCGAACCCCCAGCCTCCTCAGCCTTCGCTTCAGGCACACAGCAAAATCACAAACAAGCTGGATGGACGTCGGATATCGAACGCCAAAGCTCAGCGTGGCTTGGCCTGTTGACTATTTGGCCCGGTTGCGTTCAGCACCTACCACTTTTCTGAAAGTAAAAAGATCAAGATGGCCCTGTGGCGGCCCGAACGGGATCTTAGGATCGACAGGCATGCCAGTATTCAGCGCTAAGCTCTTGCAAGACCTCAAAGTACAGTACATCGACAGTTCATTACCCCTCACACGGCAACCATTGCTTGGTCTCTCAACCCAACTGAGAAAGTATGTCAGAAGATTGGCATGTAGGCCAGCGCAAGCTCATCATGCCAATCTCTATCAGAGACCACGAATTTCGCCATAACAATTGGATGAAGGCAACATGGCATTCTTAGCCTGGTCTCGCGGCGCAACAAATCAGACACGCTTCGCTAGCTTAAGTGTATCCCATGCAGAGATGATCCTGAACCAAGGACGTGTTCTTTAGCATGCCGTACGTCGAGAATGCGTGATCCAGAAATAAGTATCGTGTCCAACCAAGTACTAGGAATTGGATATTTGACCGCCCGTGTGGATGGTGTTGACTTATATTTCCATCAACCTGTACTTGCCCCCAAGACGATCAGCGAACGGGTGTTGTCCAAATGCGCCCAGACTCTTGTAGTCAGTCGCCCAGATTTATATATCGCCAGTCTATGCAACGGGACAAGACTGTTTACAATTTTCAGAAGTGTACGTAGGAGGTACGCATACGTCGTCTCAGGCAAGGACGGCGATTGTCATGCTTCTCAATCCCTGTCATGCCGGCATGTCCCTTGTCACAATGGCAATGACGAACATGGAGGCCCACTGCATGTTCGGTAGCTAGGTGCTAGCCCAGCGATATGATGAACGGGGCATCTTGCAAATCCATCCTGCAGCTCTGGTCGTCCAGCCGCATGACCGCCAATTTGTATCTCCGCCAGCCAAGTTAGGGGACTGTTACCCCCACTGGTCTAATACAGTTTGGATCTTTGCACCTTTTTGCAGCCCATTTCCTTTAGCAAGACTCCCAACTGTTTCTGTCTTGACTCGCATCTGAGACGCACTTATTAGACTCTTGCCAAGATTGACTGCCGAGAGACTGCTGAAATAATGGCAAAAGCAGCGAAGATGATAGGAACGGCTTCGATCCCACGATATCGAACTGAAGATCAAGCCAAGCAAAGAGCTATGCTTCGACGAGAGCCTTGATCTTGGACTAGGAATGGACTACATACATAGTCGAGCGGACTATGGATCTCTCAACAGTACAGGGTCATGTACACTGCATGTACTGTACATGAGTTGAAAGGACCCCTCCACAGGCCACCCACTTGCTTTCTTAACTCATCTTTCAGGCCAGCATTTCCTTCGGCCTATTGTACTTGTTCTACAAATGCATGCCGCCATCGAGTCTGCTAGAGACTTCATATATACATGCTCAGAGTCAATACAAGGTAGCCTTGTTAAGGCACGAGACTCCGAGGTCGACAGGTATCATGAAACAAGAGTCTCAGTCTCGTAAGCGACTGATGGAAGAACAGCTTGGTGCCTGACATCGGTAGGGCATAAAGGTTAACCCTTTGACAGGGCCTTTTACGTCCATAAACCCACATTGCGCCCCTCATTAAACTAGAGACCAGCCAGCATCAAAACCTGGGCCCCTTTTGCTGGGAAAGGAGTCCACATTACATCCCACTCACTCTTACACTGGCCGATTCTTCCCCTCGTCTCTTCCACCGAGATCCACCCTCTCCCTCATCAACGCAGTTTCGAGGACCGAATAAGGACATTGCTATTTCTTGCCTGCTTTCAGTACTCTGGTGCATATTCTTGCTCGGCTTGGTGATTTTGTTTCGATCGTTCAAGAGAAAAGCAAGAGGTTTCGGAGGATTCGAATACATATTTCAACGTTAGTTCAAGCCCCTGGTCACCCATCGCTCGTCCCAGAAAGCGGTTGGTGCGTCGCCTCGTGCCCTCGCAAAAGTTGAAATTGCTACCGGCCTTCATACTACACTACATCTGTTGATCGTGTTTCCCTCCACTCCTCCCACCGCGCATCCCGCCCATCTGGTTCCGTCTTCCGTCCGTCCTCCCGTTACCTTCCCGCCTTGGATCAAACTTGTTCCCCTTTGCTCCCGCACATCGCCTTTACGCCGTCGTCACACCAGCACTTTTGGGGCTCAATATTAAGTACAGCACTAGACCTGTGCTATTGCATGTCCTAGCACTTCTTTCTCCTTGATGTCCTAATAAATACCTACGTACTTACGTGCCTGACTCCCCTGCCAGGTTGCGGCCCTTCTTCTCACAATCAAACTACTGAGCTAGGTCATTGCCCAGCCCACTCTACCACCAGAGACCCGAACGACCTCGCTTCGACCAACGCTAAATCACACCGATTCTCGCATATCCGTCCAACGTTGGCACCCGTGGGACCTCTTGGCTGGCGTACCTTTACTCAACTGGAACCCTCTCTACCCCCTGAGGCCGAATAATCTCGTTCCAGTACTGTACCCAGGCTCGATATTCCTCACACAGCAGCCATTTGCCGTCTTGGTTCAGCATCCTGTTAAACTAAACATTAGACGTCGAGGCGTATTTTGTCTGTTTTACTTTTTTCTCTTGGATCTTCGCCCTCCAATTGCTCGCTTCTGCGCCGCCGACGTCGAGACATCTGCACTCTCATCTCGACCCCACGTTCGCGCACGATTATAATATTACGATTCGACCGCCACAACTCTCACGACTATGGCCGAGAAGCCTTCGGTCTTGATCATTGGAGGGCTTGGCTATATCGGCCGCTTCCTGGCCCTCCATATACACCAGAATGAACTCGCTTCCGACGTAAGACTTGTCGACAAAGTTCTGCCTCAATTGGCATGGCTGGCTCCTGAGTTCTCCGAAGCTTGTTCGCAGGACAAGTTCATGCAAGCTGATGCCAGCCGACCCGGTAAGATTTCGTGCTGCTTACTCGTATTACCTTGATTAGTTTGCTAACCATTCGTTTCCCCTCTTCTAGAAGGATTAGCAAGAATCTTTGACCGACCTGACGGAAAGCAATGGGATTATGTTTTTAACTGTGGTGGCGAGACGAGATATTCGCAAGAGGATGAAGTTTACAAGCTGAGGTCTTTGAATCTTTCAATTGCCGTGGGTCAAGAGGCAGCGAAACGAGGTGTAAAGGCCTTTGTCGAGCTCAGCACAGGAATGGTGTACAAATCGGACTCGTCTCCAAGCAAAGAAGGCGATAAGCTGAAGCCATGGAACCGCATTGCTGTCTTTAAGCTGCAAGCCGAGGAGGAACTCTCCAAAATCGAAGGGTATGGTGGGACCAGAACTTCTCAACGTCTTGTGTACTAATGTGGCTTCCCAGACTCAACCTTATAATTGTGCGCCTACCACATGTATACGGGCCTTATGCTTCTCAGTGGGTTGCGACAGCACTGTGCATGGCTCGTACCTACCAGCATCTGGAGGACGAAATGAAGTGGCTTTGGACTAAAGATCTCCGAACTAACACAGCACACATCGACGATGTCACACGCGCCCTGTGGGATATCGCAGCTTGGTACGACGCCGGCAAGGCGAAGTGGGATGAAGCCAGCATGGGCAAGATTCCCATTCTTAACATAGTGGACGAAGGCGCGACAAGTCAAGGCACCATAGCGACCATCATTGGCGACATCTTCAAGATTGAGACAGGTTTCCAGGGCCAGCTCATCAGCACCTTTGCGCGTCTTAACCTCGACAGTGTTGTAGACGATGTCAACGACGAACTTCTGGGACCATGGGCGGATCTTCTGGCCGATGCGGGCATCACGCGACCAGGACCATTGACCCCATTCATGGAGAAGGAGCTGCTCAAAGATACGGATCTCAGCATGGATGGAACGCGTCTGAAGACGCTATTAGGCTTTGAGTACAAGAAGCCAACACTTACCAAGGAGCTGATCGAGGAGGTGATTGAAAGCTACAAGAGGATGAAGTGGTGGCCTTGAGAGGATGACGAAGAAGAAAAAGAATACAGATGCGGCATGGCATAACATGATGTGCATGGCATGTACGGATATCCAGATTTTGACTTGTTTCTTGCATGAACTCGACTTAGCGAAGATTCCGCTTGTTGCTGGAAAGAGACGATACCCGGGGCAATGGAAAGCCACAGGAATGAAGAGCGGCGGTGAGAAGATCCGGCAGAATCGAGCTGCAGCAGATTTAGTGTCTGTCAAACGAGAACTGCCAGCAGATGATGATGATGATGCCTGGGGAGGTAGACAAAGAAGTTATAAGCACGACCTGTACATTGGAGTTGCGGGAGGCGAAAGTCGTGGGATGACGAGTGTACCCAGTAGAGGGTAGACTAATAATACAGCCAAATACATTGCATATTCAAGATGGATTTTGCATACGATTCTCGTTCTTGGCTGTAAGGCTGCTGTGTAACAACACTGCGTACGCATGTTCTTACGGATTCTGGGGGGTTTCAAAGCAGGGCTCAGCCTAGTTATTGATGAAGAGGCTGAGAGATTCATGATTGAGCCGAGGTTTACGAAGGAGGCATGTGGGAGAAAAAAACAAAAATGGTTCTAGTTGAGTTGTACTCAGTGGTGGAGATTAAGGATTGACGATGCGGGGATGTGATCCTGGTTGAGATTTCTTGGTCGACGTCGTGAACATTGGCAATGAGAGTTGACCTGGCCTGGTTCGATTGAATTCGATTCATATCAATTCAATTTTGGGGGCATCAATCATCCTGCAAGGGGTAGTCAACAAGATGACTTTAAGTGCTGACATTATCTTTATCATTGGGTGCTTCGTTTTAAACGAGTATTACTTCGCATACATATTATTATATTTCTACTATTATATTAGCAACTTGCCTTTATACATTGATAGTACTGCTTTTCAGCCTTGAGCATTTGGTCGCACCAGAGACATGATGAAGCTTGGCAATGGGAGACATGTATTTATCCCCATAGTCTATACCTTGGACTACCTTAGGCACGGACACAACTTCCATATCTGAACTGCATGACCCTTGTAGCTCCAAGTTGGACATCCCTCTTGTGCATCATATGAGTATGCGGATAGGTAGTAAATAATTGCTCAGCCTCTATTTTGATTTAACCCCGCACTGAGAGGATCCTACATCGACGTACGTAGTACCCCTATCATGTGCTTCCATTCACCTACCACTTTTGTATAGGTACCTAGTAGCTTGAGGTTACCTAAAGCTCAAACAGAATCAAGAGGCATTGCCCGTAGAAGAGAACAAACATAACCCTGCCATTGGCTGTTTCATTGACCTCGGCGTTTTGTGTCATTGCTCGGTGTTGCTTGTGATTGACATAGAATGCTTGGCCTCACCGGAAGGAAGCATATAAATTGTAGCGAATGTCCAACCAAGAAGGCGCGGTTCTAGCATGCCATTGGTACTTTCCCCATTCATTTTGAACCTTGAACTGGAAGTTGCTTGTACCACATAGACTATTTATACCTGAGGAAAGCGCATCTGCAGTTTGATAGCGTCATTTCGATCCACAACCCGCCAGCTCAGCTCAGCCCAGCCTTACCAAACAACATCCGACCTCAATCGCTAGTCGACTATACAATATTCACTTCTCCCAACAAAAAGTCATTGCTCTTTCAATCTCCCTACCTACACCAAAGACATATCTTCTTTGACTTGAACTCAACATACCCAACAATGGCTGCCCCCGCTGAAAAGACCATCACTGACTTCAGTGGTAAATGGCTCCTCGTATGTTTATACCCTTCCACTCAATACATAATAATGCTATAGATGAACCATGAGACTGACAGCAACGCGCATTAGAACAAGAATCTGTCCGATAGTTCAGAGCCTATTCTCGCTCTGCAGGGCATCGGCTACCTTACTCGCAAGGGCATCGGCTTGGCTTCAATTACTATCGATGTCAACCAGTACAATGCCCCTCCTAAGCCACCAAACACTTCCACAGACGTGTTCACTCACGTCGACATCACCCAGACCGCTTCTGGCTTGTCAAGCACCCAGGAGAACCGGTGTCTTGACTTTGAGGAGCGTGAGCACTCTGACTGGCTTTTCGGTGCCGTCAAGGGCCGTTCCCGTTTCATTACTCTTGATGAGGTTGAGGACGACTTTCTCAAGGAGGGCTGGCTTGTTGAGGGCGAGGGCAAGTTCATCCAGAGTATCGCCGAGAGCGTCGACAATGGCTGGGTCGCTACTCAGATCTGGGGATTTGAGGAGATCAAGGGCGAGAGGAGATATGTCAGGCACATTGTGGTGACCAAGGGTGACAAGAGAGTCACCGCCAAGCTCATCTACGACTACCAGGGTTAGATATGGAGAATTCAAGTTACCTGGCCGGCACGGATAGATGATTAACGACATGAAGACCACGCTCTCCCTCAAGTACCTAGATAACACTGTCAAGAAATAAATATACTTGATTGATGAAGATGTGGCCTGCAGAAATGGCCAGCATTCGGTATTTAAAAGTAATGTCCATCAAGGTTCATTGTCCCCAGGGCATTGCGCTATGTTGAAAGCAGCTTTCCTGCTTGACAGGCTGCGACAAGCCTACCACAGCCTTCATGATGTTTAGATCATTATTCCCCAACGCCAATTCAAGGTGCCCATGTCTTTTCTTTTTGTCGTCTTCCATCCAACCTATACTATAAGCCCTTATTCCCCTTGCAGGAAGATGGCACCGTTTACTCGGGTCTTCGCTTCACAAACTCCTCAAGATCCTGCACCGTCGCAACGCCAAGGACAAACCTTCTCTTTTCGTCCGTAACAACAGCAAATTCCTCCTTCCAAGGCCCATCGGTCACACCTCCACGGTAGAAGTCCTCGAGCTCTTCAAGGGTGGTCTCCATGGTGATGACCTTGTAGCTGCGGCCCTTGCGCTGGAAACGTGTCATGGCGGTCGAAAGAGGGTCGTTGGGCTTGACCTTGCCTGAGTCGAGTAACGACTGCAAGTGTGGGATAGAGATGTAACCCAGGAGAGCACGTGTCTCGGAGTCAACGATGGTCAAGTGGGTGTAATCGCGCTCGAAGGCGGAGAGGAGTGCTAGAGAAATGGCATCGGAGGGATTGAGAGACAGCGCGGCTGGGGGGTCAAGGTCTTCGACGGTAGCCTGCAGCGCATCAGTTATGCTTGATTATCGATAGACACCCCATAGATGCAATGAGCTCTATTTGGATATTGTATCCCTGAAGCTCTCGGTATAAAGGGGTATCATGAGCGAGTTCGGACAAAGAAACATACCCCACGATATCTCGAAGACCACTTTGTAACGAGGGGACGTGTCGCGTCAGACATTGTAGTGGTGGCAGTAGCAGTAGCCATAATGAAGAAATTGATGACAGAAAAATGTATCGAAAGTTCAACGAGAGAGTAGAAGGGATTTTGTCATTCGGGTTGGGTCTGATTGAAATGTCGGGGTGTTGAAGGGTCGCGGGGCAGGTCTAAGTCACAGTCACGCAAAAGACTCGACAGATGGTGGGGCACAGCTTTTTTTTCGTTAGGTTATCATGACACAGATGGGATGATGAGCTAAACCACTAACAGTATAAGAGTCGATGTTCTTTTAAATGATTGTGACTAACGAATCTAATACTTTATCGTGTATTTTGATCAATATTCCACTGGGCAACGACTTGTTTAAAATCAACGAATTGTCTGGGTAAACCACGTACTTGATGGTACTTGATTGTGTCGCTTATTCTGTCATTGTGGCTACTAGAAGCCGAGCTACAGAAATAAAGCATGCAATAGCTTTCCCCAAGGCAGCAAACCTTCAGCTGACCCCACTAACTTAAAATCATGAACGGGCCCCATCTGCAATCTGTGGATCGTCCCGCTACGGAGTTTCTTTCATTAGCGTCCTGAGATAGGATCCGGTGTAAGTGGAACCAACTTATCGACGGTAGAAGGATATTCACTGCGGTAAGGACATGGATAGAACATCAAGGCATACGACCATACAGGGGATACTCCTTCATCATGGCAACAGCGAATCAAAGAACTGACAATCGTGAAGCGTGATGTCACCGTCCACTCCATCGTACCTGCCACAAGCGTCATACCTCTTACTTTCATGGGCGGGACGGAATTGGCATGCATCACCTTAACTCCGTGAGATAGGTAGGCGCGACCAACCTGCCCTTGATGATTGCTGGTTCCCTTCTCCCGTCTCACTGAGCGATTTCCTCTTCTCTGTCTACCGTTCTTCATAAGACGCTGCAACTGGACATCTCGGTTCGCTCATTGCTGTAGCTGAAACATCGTAACGGGTAAGGCAAGCTCAATCCGCACAGCCGATTCATCCGTGTCACATCAGAGAACAGCAGTCGACTCAATAGGGAAACCTCCTCATCTGTTCCTTATCTTTGTTTCCTGTCTCTCCTCCATCCTCCCATCTCGACATCTTACGTTTCTATAGACAGCCAATTGGACATCTTCACCCCGATTGAACAAAGTATCACTAATAGACCGCATCTCAGTTTGTATCGGACAGATGAAATGTCCCCGTTGCATCCGTCAAAGGACGCCCTCCAAGGGGCGTTCTACAGCCCCCTCTCGGCAACAAACCGCACTCGTTATCAGGCTCGCGCCGAACTCTTCCCCGTGCACTCTTCCGTTGTTGAAAATGCCAAGGGTAAGGCAAAGCAACTGAGCGCCGAAGCAACAGCCGAATTTGAAAAGGCGAGCGCAAAGGCTCAGGCCAAAGCTGGAAAGATCGAGTTGTACTCTGGCAAATACTATGCTGCTTGTACCTTTGGCGGTTTGATGGCTTGTGTAAGTGCTCAGTTCAGGTCTAGGCTTTAACGAGAATGGACAATACCATCGTCCAAGTCTCTTCCTTCATATATATCCTATACTGATATACCTAATCCAGGGCCTTACTCATGCTGCTGTTACTCCTCTTGATCTTGTGAAAACCCGACGTCAAGTTGATTCCAAGCTCTACACCAGCAACTTTCAGGCCTGGGGCAAGATCTACCGTGCCGAGGGTATCCGTGGTATCTTTACTGGATGGAGTCCTACACTCTTTGGCTATTCTGCTCAAGGTGCTTTCAAGTATGGTTGGTATGAGTACTTCAAGAAGACATACTCTGATATGGCTGGCCCCGAGGCTGCCACCAAGTACAAGACCGGCCTTTATCTTGCCGCCTCCGCCTCCGCTGAATTTCTCGCCGACCTCGCTCTCTGTCCCTTCGAAGCCGTCAAGGTCCGTATGCAAGGCTCAATTCCAAACCCCTACACTGGAACTATCCAGGGCATCAGTGCTGTCACAGGCAAGGAGGGTGTTGCTGGTCTGTACAAGGGTCTGTATCCGCTCTGGGGTCGTCAGATTCCTTACACAATGATGAAGTTTGCCTCCTTTGAAACTATTGTTGAGATGATCTATGATCGTCTTCCCGGTCAGAAGAGCGATTATAGCAAGGCTGCTCAAACTGGTGTATCCTTCACCGGTGGTTACCTCGCTGGAATTCTCTGTGCTATTGTTTCCCATCCCGCCGATGTCATGGTCAGCAAGTTGAACTCAAACCGTCAACCCGGAGAAGCTTTCGGTAGCGCCATGGGTAGGATCTACAAGGACATTGGTTTTAGTGGTCTCTGGAACGGTCTCCCCGTACGAATTGTCATGATCGGTACTCTGACTGGACTCCAGTGGATGATTTATGTAAGTGTTACAAAACGACCCCCTCGGTTTCTCTGACGTTGTTTGCTGATGCGAGTCACAGGACTATTTCAAGATCTTCATGGGTCTCCCAACTACTGGTGGCGGTCCACCACCAGCCAAGAAGCAGGAGTAAGCCGTAATTATGCGTCTAATGAGAGAGTTTTCTTTGTATGTTCTGCGAAGCGCGTGTGCTATGTCTGTTGAACACATTCCGGTTCTGTTCGGTTGTGGTGGACTAGACCAAGGACCACTCGGATAGTCGGACGAAACAATCAATTCCTATGAAACATTCGAATTCCTGAGATAACGCAATACGTTTCGATAGTGACATGCTTCGGAACGATCGGGTATAGGTGGAACGGCCCATTCGCTTTGTGGAACTCCAAGCTTATCGTGGTCCATCCTGGTCAGAAGATAACTTGGCCGGATAACGATACTGCAGGGGTAAATAAGTCACAGTCCCTACCGTCCTCGAAGTATCAGAAGAATTGACCCCAAAATGCATAAGAGATGAAATAACTTGGCCACTTCATGTCAGTTCAGGCCAACACTTGGGCTACTTTATTATAGTAGCCCAAGCTTTAGAAGACAATCCTTATGTTTTCCATCTACCTGTCAACTACTGAATGGTAGGGTGTGTGCTTCTTGGTGTTTATTTCGTGCATGAGCAATCGGATATAATATCGATGCCTGCGGGACCATGCAGAGCTTGACGGACTGGGAAGGTCAGTCGGGTTTCTCATGCTGCATGTTGTCATAGGAAAATCCGTACCTGAGTGTTAATGGAACAAGCTGGAGGCACAGCGATGTGCTTACATATAATGATAGATGGGTATCTAGGTAGGTTAGGTATTACCTTGGAATCTATCAGGTGGTCCTCTGCCAAGGGGAGGGTCTAGCTTTAAATGTCGGACTTGGCCTTTGTTCTATAAAATTCATTTTTGAATCATGACGCCTTACTTATTGCTAAGCCGAGCTTACGATTTAAGGTAATATTATCAAATGTACCGTCCAGAGGCCGCTGTGGTGTAGTTTGAATGTACGGACAGACATCCATTTGTTGTTGATAACCAGCCTGTCACTAAAAGAGGGCTGCAGCCAATGCCGTCATGGTACATGAGATTGAGTGGGCACCGCGGGGAGAGCGGCGCGGTTTGCCAACATTGATGCAATGCGATGCGTGCAGACGGTTGTGAACTTAGTTCCAGCCAGAGCGCTAGCGTAATTGACGTTTATTCCAGAACACTACTACCTTTGGCTTCAGAGGTGGGTTGTTTTAGTTGTGTAGCATAGCGTAGCAGCCAAAACCCCTCTCCCCTCCAGCTTTACCGCCCGCACGCCGCACAGTCGATTGGCAATAGAGTAGAAACAGCCACATATAAGAGTGCTATCACTGCCACGAACTTGGCACTCCTTACCTCAAAGACTGCATAATATCGTATAGGTCGGGATAGGAGGGCAACCGGCATCCATGATCAAGATGATAAACCACACCTGAGCATCAGACTAAGCAACTATTCATAATGGTGTCCGGACCTTTCCTCGAAAGTATGAACAATGCGCAGGGAACCCGGGACCGACGCACGTGAGTTACCCGATATCCACAAATAACTGACAAGTAGTCCAACGTTTATGTCTTCGGCCAAACTGTCGTGAGAACCTGAACATACCGCCTTCTGGTCATCGTTTTCCAGTATGCAGATGTACAGGAGGACATACACATCAACTATAACGGACCGACTGGTGGACGATCAGGATGGGAGGGGAATCAAGTTGATAGGATACCATCACCACGGTTGGGAACCAAGGGTCGAGTGATTGGTGACAGTCTAGTTGTGTGGGTGGGCTGAGGGATGTGCCGCATGGCAACCCCACACTCGCATCAATCTCGAAGAGGGGTTGCTTTGGTTCGGCGAGCATGGCTCTGAGTTATTAGTAGATGCAAAGTGAATGCTCAACCATTGACGGCATAGTGAGGCTCAGAATCTGTGTAGCCAAGTCCAGATATTGTTCTGTTGATGGAAGCCATTTGAATCGCTGCCGGGCCAGGAAAATAACATTGTCTGTCCGGCGGTCGTGGCTAATTGCCAGTCAGCTTCCGTTTCTGTGTATTCAACAATGCCAAGTAACAGGGTTTAGGCAAGGAAGAGATTCACTCAGCAGTGGTCTTCCTGTTTTCTGATACCGCCTGCCTACCTACCCAGCCCGGGGAGGCAACCGTAATCGAGGTCCCTTGGTTAAGGCAACCAAGGATACGTCATCACTTACTGTGTATGAGGCAAAGTCTTTCAGACAATATGGAATAACAGTTCTCATCTGAGAAAGCAGCCATGCCAGCAACTCAAGGCTACTCAGATGCAGAGTAAATAGCCACAGTTCAACGAAACCCATCCCGGGAGTCTGGCGAACTGGGTCCGAGTCGAATGAATTTAAATCATGATCCTCACTCTGGTCAGCAATGACAGTCCCAGCAACATGTTTGGCTTGGCGGTGGTTGGTACATCTCGACACCCGCCTGGTGCAAAATACTCGGCGTCCAGACTCCCGAATGCTTCGGCTAAAAGTAGCGAAGAGAGGCACAGGCGGTCTTGATCTCAAATTGCAAATCGCCCTGAGCTAGGAGAGGCTAATAACCGATGAGTTGTGGCGCTATTCGTTATTTACCGCACCAAAGACCGAGTCTGCAAGTACAAATTAGCGCTCTTGACGCTGTCATTTCAACTCATGGTAGGTACTAAGAATCGATATACAGTGCCTGTAGGTATCGTTGTCCAGGTAGTACCTAGAAAGGCATTCGTGGTGAGCGTAGAATGTACATATGTGAGGGACTTTTGAAAATCCATGTCTGTTGTTTGGTTGTTGACTCGTTACCTGTTGTTGGTTCATCAGCAAATTGAGAGAAGGAGAGAGAAAAAACTACCACTCGGCAATTGCCTGTCTGATCGTTGAAGTTATCGTGGGAACAGTCTATTTGTTGGATTCAAGCCGGGTAGGTAGGTAGACAATGTCATCTGCATCGGGCTTGCCGTCTATGTAACGGTTTTAGAGGAGGAAGGTATGCGAGAGTTAAGGGAGGGTTCCCTAAGAAACCTTGCTCGCTCCTCACTTCTATATGCTATCTCCGAAGGCAGCCTTCCCTCTAGAGAATCATGAACCATAAGGTCGACTGGAGTTTGTCAAAGGGGGAGCGGTCTCAGAGAAGAGCTGACTTTATGTCCTTACTCTTTCATCCAATTCTCGGGTATGACAATAACTATCATGGCGTTCTTGGATTTCAAAGGTCAGCGACTGCTTTAAGCCCCATGTTGACAATTTAATCCTTGACTGTGTCTGGCTTCATCGTACCAGCCAATGGATCATTAGCGACGAGACCTGGCCACCGGCTGGCGTCTATCAACCGTCCACCGTCCACACCACGTTCGGCCTAGGTCTGATCTGGCGCGCTGCTTCATACCCCGTACAGTACCCCAGGCCCCCTCTTCAGCGATGATGTCGGATTCCTGCATCCAGTCTAGTCTAGTGTCGCCTAGTCTATCCAGTCCTACCTAGTATCTCATCCAAAAGGTATGATGATACAGTACCTACAGGTAGGTATGTAGTCGATTTATTAAAGGTGTCAATAGCTTGAGCATACTTTATACAAGATTTTTGATTTGGACAGAGAGCTATTCCTCGATTCTTGCGTCTATATGTAACTTCATCTTTCGTAGCTTTAGCCTTGCCTTTGGGGTGGTATTTTCTAGACCTAAGGACCCAGCAAATGCACCATCATGAGAGTCTAGGCAGCGCTAGTACTATATCGTCAGTTGGAGGGGGGGGCAGTTGGGGGCTTCGAGGGTCTAGGCAAACTGGGGTTGCGCGAGCCTTTTCCGTAGGCAGGTCGCTGCAGGTAATTAGTAGGAGAGAAGATGGCCGACATCGTTTCTGTCTGGCGGATGATATTATTCGCATCTATCGTTTCAATTGAGCGGGAAAGGACAAGAACTGTTGCTAGCCATGACCCTTACCTTACCAGAGAAGGAATCATCAGTCCACTGGCTTCTCATCGGCTCCTATAGGCTGGGGAATCCCGCATCATGACTTCCATATCCTGCTCAGAGTCCCTGTCCTGCCCTGTACTGTACTGAACTACCAACTGCACTGCAATGTGCTGTAACTTAAGGAATTAGCCATGATCCAGTTAAAATCAACATAGCTGTGTCCAGGACCCATGGATAAAATCCTACGTCCTGGAACCTCACCTGCACCTACCATGTTGGGGCACGGTACCATTGGATCCAACCACGAGGTCACTGATCCATCCTTCTTTTACATCTCCTCCACTTCCACTTCCACTATCATCTCCCCCGGACTTGACCTCCATCTAGGCCATTTCCCGCCACCTTCATCCCTACCTGCCTTCCTTACATCGGCTGTCCCTGCTTACCTTACTTCTAGCTTCTCCATTACAGGAGCAACTTGAACTGGTCTCTCTCAGGTACCTTGCCTTGTCTTGTCTTCAAGCGACTCAACACCTCTCTCTTACATCCAAGGTGTCTTTGGAGCTGCCCTTCACCACTATTCTATCTAATTGTATTTCTTTTCTTCAAAACTCAAGCAGAACATATATAGACAGTCAACGACTGCTTCTCCTTCGGTTCGGCTATTAGATCAGTACAGTAGTTCCGTCCGGCGCTATCGTATCCACGCCACACAACCGCGCCTCGCTTTCCCCCAGGCCAGCGCCAAGTTCCAACGCCGACCAGCACCTGCGCCATTCCTCGCTCACAACTCGGCAACTTTGGATTTGACTTGGCTTGTGGTTTTTGACTCGACTCGTCCATTTTGCGCGATCCTCTGGTAACAATTCTTCGGATTGAAGCCATTCGCGCATGGTGCTTTGACTCAATTGCGACTCTCTTCGCCGAGGTGCTGCTGCCGCAGCTGTTGCGGGTCAGCCGTTTGATAACGTCCCTCCGATCGGCTCACCAAGTCCACGACCCTGCTACCGAATTGCTACTACTTGACGACATCACGACATCGCCATGGCCGGGTTTTTCAACAAGATAAAGGGTTCTGGCACTGTATGTCTTGGACTTGCTCACTGCCCATTTCCATCCCGGATTGTCCCAGCTTCACCCGATCTATCGCTTTCAAATTGCGCCAAGTATGGTTCTCATGACTGACAAAATGCCTCTCGCTCTCTGCTTCTAGGCCACAACCACCACACCCAACAAGCAAGATGCTGTAGCAAAGAAAAAAGAGGAGCCTGTCCTTGACCTCACGCCGCTCGAGAAGATGCTCCAGAACGCTGGGCCGGTCCGAGATGATGGCACCGATCGCTTCTTCGGTCTTGAGAATGTACGTCGACCCCTACCTGACACACACAAAGCGCAAACCTTTCTTCGCTTCAAGTTGAATTCGCTGTTACTACCAGCAGTAGACTGACCTGTTAACAGTTTGGAAATACATGGTACGAGTCCTACTGATCGCCCAGCTGGGCTCCTATACTGACTTTCACGTTTAGCTACTGCAATTCGATTGTTCAGGCTCTTTTCTATTCCGAGTCGTTTCGAAACAATGTTGTCAACTATCCCTCGATCTTATCCACGGAGACGAACGGCAGCCGATCCAAAGTTCCCATAACCATCAGGCCTCCGCCCACCGACGCCGTGGAGACGACACCCAAACAAAAGGGTCTCAGCACCTCCCAAGTCATCAAGCAAAGACAAAACATCAGTCAACAATTACCTGGACAGGTAGGCGTCCGACCCGAAGACAAGCCTGATACGCCCGAATACAAGAAGAAGCAAGCCATGATCAAGGGACCTATCCTCGAGCTGGCGCGCGAGAACGCTAGTTCTTACGGTATGGACGAATGTACCTTTACCGGTCTCAAGGATATCTTTTTGGCGTTGCTTGAAAGCGAAACGCATACTGGAGTGCTCAGTCCCCAGCGATTTCTGGAAATATTCAAGCGCGATAACGAAATGTTTCGAAATTCTATGCACCAAGACGCTCACGAATTTTACGGTCTTGTGCTGAATGATGTCATCAACAGCGTTGAAAGCACAGCTCGCCAAATGCAGTTGCAAGCACCAGCCGATGGTCTTGATGGTTTGGCCACTTCAGTAGGGCATGCTCTTGGATCTGCCATGGTGAACCATGTTGGCGGGGCAAGCTCACCAGCGACAGGATGGGTTCATGATATTTTCGAGGGCGTTTTGACATCAGAAACGAAGTGTCTGACTTGTGAAACTGCTTCTCAGCGTGATGAGACATTCCTTGATCTTTCCATTGATTTGGAGGAGCATTCTTCCGTGACATCATGTTTACGCAAGTTCTCGGCCGAGGAGATGCTCTGTGAAAGGAATAAGTTCCATTGCGATCACTGTGGAGGTCTCCAGGAGGCAGAGAAGAGAATGAAGGTAAAGCGTTTACCCAAAATCCTAACACTTCACTTGAAACGATTCAAGTATACCGAAGATTACAGCCGCTTGCAAAAGCTTTTCCATAGGGTTGTGTATCCCTACCACCTACGCATGTTCAACACGACGGATAATGCTGAAGACCCGGATCGACTATATGAGCTATATGCAGTGGTTGTTCACATTGGTGGTAATGCCTACCATGGCCATTACGTGTCCATAATTAAGGTTCCGGGTCGGGGATGGATCTTGTTTGACGATGAGATGGTCGAGCCAGTGGACAAGAATTTCGTCCGCAACTTCTTCGGTGACAAGCCCGGAATGGCTACTGCATACGTGCTGTTTTACCAGGAAACAACGTTTGAGAAGGTGCGAGAAGAACAAGAAAAGGAGGGCATGGAAGAGGTCAAACTTGCTAGTGAAGCGGCCAACCTAGCTCAGGAGAACGGAGACAAAGCCGATACATCGCCACTCAAACGACAAGCAACGCAGCCCATGTCGCCCCTCTCGCACCAGGAATCGATGGCCAATCTTGCCCATGCAAGTACAGCGCCAGCCATGCCTTCGGCTCCCCAGCCTGATGCTTCAGCGCCACCTACAGCAGCGACGAACGGTTTGCACCGCGTCCAAACACAAAAGGAAGACGTCAAATCCAAAGAAGACAAGAAGCGGGAGAAGAAAGAGCGTGAGGCGGCCGAAAAGGCCGAAAAGCTTGCGGAAAAGGAGCGAGAGAAGCAAGCGAAACTCGATGAGAAGAAACGAAGAGAAGATAATCTTAAGGCGTTACAGTCACGACGAAATGAGAACGATGAGATGGCCAAGGCTCTTGAAGCCAGCAAAAAGTCGGCCGCACAAGAAGAGGAAGCAAGAAAGAAGGAGAACGGAGCATCTCCGAGTAATGGTATCCTCGACCGGACCAAGCGAGGTAGCAAGTCCATGTCGCGGAAGAGTTTCTCACTTTTTCACAAGGACAAGTCGGGTGGACAGACCCCAGACACTCCTAATGGCGACTCGAGCGAGAAACACGAAAAACTCAAAGATCGTCTCAGCTTCAGTCTTGGCCGCAAAAAGAGCACCAACTTGCTTTCATAATCTCGACATCCATACTTTGCAGCGTTCCCATAAGAGAAAGAAGATACTGTACTCGTTTTTATCATTGTTGTCTTGTGGGTTTTGGCGGACACAGGATACCCATTGACTTTGAAGGAGGCTGTCATTACATGAAACAAAAGTACGACTACAGGCTCAAGTGTGAAGGATGAAACGTTTTTGAGAAGCTGCTCAAGACTAGCATCTTGGGGACATTTTTTATTTACCCCATTTCAGCCCCTTCGACAAGCAAAGTTCGTCACGCTCTGGCATTGCGTACAAGAGCCTCTAATCACAGACATACCGGATAGAAGATGGACCACATGGGGAAAGAGCGTGCTTGGTTATCGCTATCCTAGTGAGTTCGCTTGCCAAGTTCTACTCAGGCATTGGGCAACATGACCCTAGGCGTGGCAGTTGTATAATACGCAAGTTACATAGGAAGCTAGGAAGGCCAAGCTGGCGTAGACAGAGATTGGTTATTCTGGCTCGTTTGGTAGCTATTGAATAAAACAAGACGTTTATGAAGCGAGTATCGGTCGAATCGGTTTCTATCTTGTGTAACATTACGCTCAATTTCATGGGGAGGCTGCCTCCCTTTCGTACTGTCTCATCCCACGTCGCTCTCATACTAAGTAGTGGTGTTCCCACTCTTGATCTACTTTGCTGTATATCAACAAAACTCCAGTTCCAAATTGCCTGACTCCATTAATGCCTAGAAAAGTCTACTGTGTTCTCTTTTGTAATCATGCCGTATGTGTGTCCAAATGTAGCTCTTGAATCAGCCAAGTATGAGCTCGTAAAGAATGATGACCGAGTTGACAAAGATCAATGGCACTATGGTAGCATTAGTCTCTGTAAGATAGTCCAAGTCCACTCCATATGTATCAGGTTGGGTGGATATCGAGGGTCGACATACTCCTCATGATTGTTCGAACGCTCGCGATCAGATTGATGATCTTGGCCTTGACACTGGCATCGGGGCCAGCACCGAATGCGGGATCGTATGAAGCGGGCGAGAGATTGACTGCATAGAACGTGTTAGACGAAACGTGCGCGGATATAATTTGTGCTCGAGATGAGGGTTGATTCGTACTGCGCGCGAGGAAGCGATCTTCGGAAAGGACAGCGATGGCGTTGATGAGGAGAATGCAAACTGAGAGACGAATTAGCATGCGCGCATTGGAGAGGGCGGGTAGTGAGTGAGATGTCTACCATATAGAAAACTTCCAAAGAACCACATTTTGGGCGACAGCGCTGATCGCGGAGGAAGGGCGAAGTTTGACAGTTGGAAGTTGACGATGATGTGTAACTATCCAACTCCCTCCTGTGTTACCTACTACGCTACTGCCTACTACCCACTGGCACCTACTAATGGATCTGGCTTAAGCAGGCAGGTACGTACCCACCACCTCATGCGTTGCAGCTGCCATCGTGGCTTGAATGGCCCTGGGGAAAGGTTTACCTACTGCCGGGGATTGGTTAGGCCGATCCGAAGGACCCCTAAAGAGGCAATGAGCTCTGCACGTTTCATGGATGAACAAGATGCAAATCACAAGCACCATAATTTTGGATGAACTTTAAAATACAATGAGGATCATTTCTTCCTTTATGGTTCTTCTTTCATCTTGTTGAAAAAATCCCAACTTTCACGTTTTGAGGAGCAGATATTGATTGGCATACACCAAACTCGAAGCTAAATCAGTAGCTCTCTCCAGTGGAGAGCTCTCACTATTAACTATCAGCCAAGATGAAGACAATTGGTATGCCCATATCAGCCCTATCAATAAATTTACATGTTTGAAATCACGGCTAACACTCACTAGATATTCTCTTGGCATGTCTTCTCATTAGCGTTCCGCTTCTTCACCTCCTCGTCTCCCCGTACACCAAGGTCGAGGAGTCGTTCAACATCCAAGCAGTCCACGACATCCTCGTCTACGGAACACCTCACACAGATGTTTCTGATCGCCTCTTCGCAGCTTATGATCACTTAACGTTCTCCGGAGCCGTTCCCCGGACGTTTCTCGGTGCTGTGATTCTTGCAGGTTTAGGGCAACCTATTATTGCTCTTGTTGGCTTCCAACATGCTCAGCTAGTAGTGCGAGGACTACTTGGCGCGGCCAACGTTGCTGCCCTGCTGACGTTCAAGAACCTTTTGAAGAAATCACACGGTCAAGGTGTTGCGGCTTGGTGGGTTGTTCTTATGGCCAGCCAGTTTCACATCAATTATTACCTATCACGGACATTGCCCAATATGTATGCCTTTGGTTTAAGTAAGTCAATCAATTCACCCACCGACTCGCAAGGGCTCCAGCTCACAAGGACTAGCAACTCTTGCCTCCGCATTTCTATTACCTCAGGCCTCGGGTGTGCTTCCTTATGCTCGCCGCAGACAAGCGATCGCTCTTCTAGTCATTGCAACAGCAGTCTTCCGGTCCGAAGTTGCCGTTCTCCTGGCCACCACTGGGCTTTACCTCCTTTTCACAAACCATTACACTCTGATCCGCTTGGCTGTTGACGTCCTCACCCCTTTATTCGTCCCAATCGCTATCTCAGTGCCCCTCGACTCGTACTTCTGGCAGGAGCCGCTTTGGCCTGAACTCTGGGGCTTCTACTACAATGCTATCCTCGGGTCTTCGTCAGAATGGGGTGTCTCTCCATGGCACTATTATTTCACCTCGGCGATCTTCAAGATTTTCCTTAACCCCTTTGTGCCGTGTCTGATCCTCTTTTCACTACAACAGACTGGCATACAACGAGCTGCGCGAGCTCTAGTTATCCCGAACTTCCTTTTTGTTGCCATCTACTCTGCTCAGCCGCACAAAGAGCCACGGTTCATCTTTTATATTATTCCGTCTTTCACTGCTGCTGCGGCACTTGGTGCTAACTACATATACAGGCGTGGGTCCAAGAACTTGGTCTACCGCGTCATGCGCATGGCTATCGTGTTATCTGTCCTGGCCAGCTTCGCGGCCAGCATTCCCAAACTGGTTATCTCGTCTTTGAACTACCCTGGTGGTGATGCACTTGAGCAGCTGCGTTACATCACTCGAGATGACCCTACTCCCGTTATGAACGTTCACGCCGATGTGTTGACCTGCATGACTGGACTTACACTCTTCGGACAGAATCCGTCTGGTTATCCTGTTGCATATTCCATCACTCCTGAGCCAAATGCCACAGCCCCTTTGCTGATCTTCGATAAAACGGAAGCAAAGGAGCGGCTTGCCTTGCCCGGCTTTTGGGATCGCTTCGATTATGCTCTAGCCGAAGACCCGCGCAAAGTACTGGGCGGATGGCAGGTTGTAGGAGTGGTCACAGGCTATGACGGTATCGAGGTTCTTAAGCCGGGCTCTTCACCTGCAGGCGATGAAAAGGAGGAGGGGAGGATTGATGGCGAGAAAGTTTTAGGCATGGGCGCTCGCGTCGCTGCTGTGAGAGACTTCATCAGGGGGTACACAGGCGGCTGGTGGGTTGGACCCCGAATGTCGCCCAAGATCCGAATCCTCAGGCGTGTCAGTTAGCTTTAGTCGAAGCATGCCTTTTCACTATTCAGGACGCGCACAAGCAACGACTTATAATACTACATCAGCTTATTTTGTAATGCCTATCGTATCGTGTAAACAATGCATACGTGAATGCGCAGACTCCCCGAGGCCATCCATACCCCTTTGAAAACACAACCTATCATCCGAAATCCCAATGGGCGCAAGAAGTAGCAAGCATACTGGCAGAAAGCCACCAGCCATCAGTATGTCCTTAATTTCCCCGTAGCCCAACGCCATGCACTGCCTCTCCAACCCAAGGTCTTTTCCAATCCTCAAGCACATTGCGAGCGCTTCCCACCAAACCGTCCGGAATATACCTAGAGCAAACGTACACCCAGTCAAACATGATTTCCCACCTTAAACCCCATCGCATCCTTTCATCCAATTCCCATCAAAAGCAAAAAGCGTTCTGTTCAACCTCCCAGGGTCGTGTTCCTCGTATCACGTGGATGATTGATTATAGCATATATAAGGGCTCAGGTTTGGTTCCAACGAGCCAGTCGTATAGGATCACAACTCTTGCTCTGTATCGCTCCCTTCTTCGGTATCGGGATCATCGTCGTCGTCATCATCGTCTTCTACTTCTACTTCGCTGCTGCCGCTACTAACCGGGTTAGGCAGCGCACCATATTTCCTCCTGTAACGTTTCAATTCTCTGTTTTGGGCCATGAACTGGTCCAGAATGGCAGACATGGGACCGTGGAGCTCATCGAGTTCCTTAATCGTGCCTCCACCGATGGCAATGTGACGCATTGCGAGTGTTGAAATACAGGTCTGCGATTGTTAGCAAAGGTCATAGTCAAACAAGGGTCATGCCAAACTCACCTCTATCCTGGCTACTTGGTGTTCCAAGAAGTTCAACAGGAATCGATCCGTCACTTCGCCTCCACGCTGCTTGATTCTTTCAAGTAGCTCCGTCTCGGGCGGTTGCAAACCTGGGGGCTCGTTGCCTTCCAGCGAACTGCAAAGCATCTCAAGACGTAAGCTGATACGCCAGAGAGTCCAGACGCTATCCGGATCGATGCAGAGCTCAGCTCCGGGCGCAAGGACGACTGGCTTATCGTTGCCTGCGTCATCCTTCCTTTCGTGCTGTGAATGAAACTCGATGCGGCCAGCCAAAGCATGAGGATACAAAGAGTACACAACTTCGGGATTTTCGAGACCCTTCAACTTCTTCTCGCCCATCTCCTTAACTTCGAAGCCTTGTGAGGTGAGGGATCTCAAATCCTTTCGGATTGCGCTAGCATAGGTCTCTTCATCGCCAAAGGTATCCTCAGAGCCAGAAGCGTTACCTCGATCTGTGTCTTGATAATTCTCAAGACATCGCTGTATCTCCGAGATAAAATCCGTGGAGACTGTAATCTGGCCACCATCTGCCACGGCAGAAATTCGAGCCGCCTTGTTCACCATGGGTCCGAAGTAATCCATACGGCGGGTAACTGGATCCGTCTCGCTCACACAGTCGCCAAAGTGAATACCCATGCGCACTGACAGTCCCTTGAAGATGAGGCTGTTATCCTTGTCATATATAGGCTGGCAAGAGACCGAGTTCAAAACTTCTGATGGCCAGTTCACATCAAGGAGCTGCATTTGTACCGCAAACGTCCATAAAAGTGCCGACGTAGCAGTTGGGAAAGACACCATAAATGCATCGCCTTCAGTCTTGACTTCGTAGCCACCAATTCGTCTCAACTGTCGACGCATGACTTCGTTGTGAAGTTTGATTGCTGATCTCATGGCACTAGGATACATCTCCCAGAGAGTTGTCGAGTTCTTGATATCGGTGAACACGATGGACACATTGCCTGTCGGGGCTGGGATTTCGGCTTCAAGACGGTTAAGTGACGAGTCGAGAACATCACCCTTTGTCCTTCGGCCCCTTCTGGTGTTGAGCACTTGGGCATCGGCGGGGATACCAGAAGGATAAAGCGACATACTAGCGCCGCGATGAAGCCTTGATCGTTCGACTCGTCGCTTCAGATCAGCGACACTGATCATCATGACCATGATCTTGCCTGAGGCGCCGTATGCGATAGCCAGGTCACGAAGTTTCTGGGCCGCCCGCATGAGATCTTGTCGCTCCGCTCTCGCAATATCAGTAACCAGACCTGGCGACAAATACTCCCAAAGTTCCCCGGTAGCAATCAGAATGATATCGTCCTGCTCTCGAATAGTCATGTTGCTGATGTAGGGTGCCGCTTGTACAGCCGGCATCAGGTCGACATATCCAAAAGCACGCGAGACTTGCAGCAGGTCATTCAGTCGTCCGTTCCGCGAAACCCACCCACCAGCTTCACGAATACGTGATCTCTCGTTCGGCTCAGCAGGATCGTGTTTCCGAGTCAACATCTTATGTGTACCATCGGTTTGAATCACCATGGCCTGCGCATCACCAACGTTGGCGACATAGAGTTCCGTGCTTTGAAGATAAACGACAGTTGCCACACCACCCGAATTGAGATCTTCCTTTGTAAGTATGATTGGCTGACCTGAGCTCCTATGCGTCTGAAGTGGCCGCTCCTCTGATTGTTGGATCGCAATGGTAACCAAGTCCTTGTTGAGGGCCAAGAACGCTCGTCGCAGGGCATCAACTGGAGTCTCACCCGCACGCGTCTTCAGTGCTTTCAGTTCAAGGGCAAAGATGTGACCGAAGTTCTCGTGGAGATATTTGGCGATCTTTGATCCGCCACTAGACAAGGCCTGTCCATCGAACAGACCTAGGAGCATCTCTGTTTCTGATGCATTGAATCTTGGAACTACTAAATCGACCGTTGACAAATGCTCATGTTTGCCTAGCGTATCAGCCATACCATAAGGTAGGTGACCGGCAAGCGACCCAGATGTACGGACACGTCTGTCTTCACTTTGGTCGGGGATACTTGGTTGCGTAAGAGTAACATCCATCAGACCCAAGATACGCAAGTTCAGCAAACGGCTGAAATCGGTGTACTCCTCACGGTTGACAGCACCAGGCCCAAGAGGACCTGTAGCTGTCTGCTTGATTTCCAGACGCTTGTTACCGGACAAATTGAGATATCTCAAATTGGGATTGAGATTCCAGTTCCAATCGTAGGGCACGTTTGAGATGTTGTACTTCAGGTAGTTACTGCCACAATCGAGAACGGCGAGGTTCTTGGCCCGCGAGATATCAGCTGGCAAGTTGGTGAACCTGTTACCGTTGATGTAGAGTGCTTGAAGTAAGCTGGATTCCTCTAAATCGTCGGCAGGCAATGTTGTGAGTGCATTGCCAGACAGGTACAACTCAACGAGCTGCGGCCAGCTCTTGATTGATCTTTGAGGCATGTCGCTAATCTCGTCGTTGTAAGATAGGTTCAGTACGCGGAGTTCAGCGAGAAGTGTAATCTGGTCAAAAACATCGTCATCGAGACGGTTGTCGGCAAGATGGAGGTTCCTCAGAGACCCAGCAAAAGTGTTGTTAAGCCTTGATGATATCCCAGAATCTTTCCTTGGGTTGACTGACTGCGTAGGGGCCGATGGAGTTGCAGATCTAGAAACAACAGACGTCTTACGGCCACCCTTTCCATAAACAGACACAACGGAACTCTTACGATCCCCAGCATTGAGTGGAGATGGCCCAACACTGAGCAAAGTGCTTGAGTTTTGACTAGGTCTTCTATCATCCGACAGTTCTTCAGAGCTCGCAGTCGCTGACAAAGTTCCGAGGGGGGCTGCTCTTCCATTAACAGGAGGAGGTGCCTGCTGTGACTCTTCTCCTGGTACCCGTGGAGCTCTGGAAGCAGGCTTGGGGAAATGTTCCAGGACGTTGGAAGAGGCATTAAACGTCTCAAGTCGGTTTGCCCACCACAGCTCCATCGGGAGTTTAGAGATGTTGTTTCCTCGGACGTTGAGCACTCTCAGTTCGGTAAGGCAACCAATTTGTGCTGGCAATTCCCCGACCGAGTTGTTGGCAATGCTGAAGTGCTCAAGTCTGCTCAAAGTACCAATTTCCTGTGGCAAAGAAACAAAATAGTTCTTGTCCAATATCAAGTGCTCAAGGTTTACCATATTTGCGAACGAGGAGTCAATGCTAGCCAACTGGGCGTTCGAGAGATTCAAAATCTTGAGAGTCGGCACAGGAGCCACGATTTCAAACTTGTTCAGGGGGTTGGAGTTCAATTTCAGCTGCCGTAGGGATTCAAACTGTCCAACAAAAGCAGAGACGCAGTTGTGGTCCGCGGAAAGGATCTCGAGCTTGGGAAGCTCCGAAATGATGTCGATACTCGAGATACCATTGTACTTAATATCGAGCTCACGCAGACTGACTAGCTGACCGAATGAAGCGGGTACAGCGTGCGTCAGTCTGTTATTGGTTATCAGCAACTTTTCCAGATTCCTCAAGCTACCAATCTCGTGAGGAATCGTCGCAATGGCGTTGAAACTCAAATCGAGGTCGACTAAACCCGGTAGACCGCATAGGAACGTTGGAAATTTGTCGAGAAAGTTGGAGGAAATGTTGAGCGAGCGAAGTGATTGGTATGCTCCAAAGTAAGAGGGTAGGTGCTTTAATCGGTTATTGGCCAAGTTCATTTTGAGCATGCCGGTAAGGGCATTAAGTTCGGCATGCTCCAACTGCTCAAGCCGGTTATTGGCAACGTCCAGGAAAGTCAATTTGTTTGCTCGACTCAAGCTGGGTGGCAGCTTCCTGGCTTCGTTGTTGTTAAATTTGATATCTCGAAGGTGTTTACAGGACTGTATAAAATCACGAGGAACGTCGAGAGAGAGGTTCCGCGAGAGGTTAAGGGAGATGATCTCCATGGCCTTCGAGTATAGCGATATAGGTATTGTAACAAGGTTGCGACCAGAGAGGTCGACATAATTAAGCTTCTGAGCCCGGGCCAGGCCCATATCAGTAGTTTTGGCGTGAAAGTCGCTTTCCCGAGCAGACAAGAACATGAATCGACAAAGGTAACTGTTGTCTTCGCGTCCAAGATCTTCGATTCTGTCCTTTTCTTCGTAACCAACTTGCTGTAATAGACGCTTCTGCATAAGTAAAGGTCGCTCGGGAGGTGTTAGGACCCGAATAAGATCATGCTTCTTCATGATGATATGATAATTCTCAAGACCATCCATAACATACGTCTTCTTAATAACTTGCGAGATGACATCCGTGACGCTCGAGTCCAGAGGCATGGAGTGGGTGGAAAATGTCCCATCCGAGCGGAAGATTCGAATACAGTATGGAGATGCCTTCTCCTCTGGCCGGGGCGGACTGCCAATTTCATCGAGCTCGGGACCATGATAAGAGTTATCTTCCGTGTTACGACGTACCGCCCAACTGTCCGGAGCATCCCAGCGACCCTTAGGCGCATTTGAGATAATGGAGTCATGACGCTCCGGCTCGACGTTGTTGACAAAGCTAGTGTCCATGGGCGTGAGCGGAGGAGGCTTGGTCAAGATACCCTCCATGTCATTCAAATTGGTGTCGAGATGATACATGTTGTTAGGATCGTTACGATCAGTCGGACCAATCGTCTCTTCAGCAGCATAGTCTTGAGGTCGATGCGTACGTTGCTTCTTTGCAAAAGGAAACTTGTTGTTGAAGGTGGCTCCTCGTTGTCCGGTTGCTGGTCGCGGATCGGGAAGGTCACTCGGTTCGGCAGGTCCAAACGTGCCCGCGTATGGCAATGTGGTCGAAGATACATCGCTGGGTCGGTGCAGGTCGGTCTTTGAAGACTTTGTTTGTAAAGACCTTGTCGATTGGGGAAGGTCGCGAAGTCGAGCAGCGGCATCGTCCTTTTCTTTATGATGCCCTCGTAGTCGTCGCAAGAATCCGCGCTTGCCATGATGTTGATGGCCAGGTGATGTTTGACCGTCCGCTTGCGTAGATTTCGAGCTACTCCAAGTCATTCCCGCACTCCTGGTACTGGGCGTTGGGCTCTGTCCTCGTGATCTTGTCTGGTACATTGCGTTGCTGCCACCGCCGCGATCGCGCGGCATTTGTGTGCCAATTGCTGTATCGTCTCTGCTCATTGTCGGTCTGAGCGTGCGAGGGTCTTCGTTGCTCTTGTTATGTCGGTGGTGGCCAGGCAGATGGGCAATGGAGTGGCCGGATCTTGAGGATGATGATGTCTTTGGGGGTACCTGTGAGGAGCCGTCACCAGCATATCGCTCTCGATCAGGCCCGGTCATTATGTCTCGTACGGGTGCTTCGCCATAGCGCGCGATGTCCTACATGGGTACGTCAGTGATACAAGTTACGTGGGCGAGAATGCACTAAATAACACGGCAACTGGGCGCTGGGCCGGGCACTAAAAGCTGACCGAGAGAGAATTTCGGGAAGGAATGTTTGATCGCGGACGAGACCGAAAGGGAAGGAAGGATGGGGTAGTCATGGCAATGAGACAGAAGCAAGCATGGCATTATACATACACTGTTGTCTTGGTATAGAAAAGGCACAACCTCTGGCGCTGGAACAGGAGTTCTTGGTCTGGAAGATGATGGCGAGGCATCGCGGGTGTGATCCGTGGCATTGGAATAGTTGCGATCTCTATGTGTGGGGCGGCTGTGACTATAAGAGCGCCCACGCTGGTCCTTGCCCGCGAGCGAAGTGGGTAAACTACCCTCCGAGCTATCGCGCCCAGGGAATTCCTCCCCAAAGAAGCCCTGGAGCTTGCGAAAACCACCACGTACGCTGGTTTTACTGCCCTGGCTGCTCGCGGTGAGAACGCTGGCCGCGGATGGCCGTCTGCCGTCGAAATACGACGCATCAGGGGCGTCATGCTGCGAGGGGTGTAAAGGATACGGCTGCTGCTGATGCTGCTGGCGATTACTGATTTGGTGACCCGGGGAAAGCTGGGAGGCGAGCGACAGGTTGTCGGTCGAGTCGTTGAAAAAGGTGGTCGGCATGGTGGAAGTGTTTGTAGGGGAACCAGGCTGGTTCGCCCAAGGAGCTATTTGAGGGCTCGCGCCGCCGGTGGGCGGAATCTGTTGGATCTGGGGTACTCTGGAGGTCTCGAGAACGGCGAGCTCACGTCGGTAGTTGGTGAGGTCGCTCATGCGACGGTCTTTGGATTGAGCATTGGCGCCGGCGCGAGGGGCGAAGGTGGCAGTCGATGTTGTTGAGGTTGGTGAGAGCTGAGGCTCATCCTTGAAGGAGTACCTGTAGTAGGCGGGCAAGCGTTTAGCTTTGGTTGGAAGGCGGCGGGAGGCGAGATGAACGTGCAGGTTAAGGTGAAGGCGGGAGGTGGCAGCAGGGGATCGTGGGACGGGAGACGGCATGGATGGTAAGGTAACTAATAGGTAACTGGATATGAGTTAAACTCACCACTGGTTGCTCAAAGAAGCATTGCCATCAGCGCTGAGGCGAGTATGATTAGAATTAGGATTTGGAGGAGGAGGACGTCGGCGCGGCGTGGAGGAGAAGACGTAGGAGTTATTTGAGGAAGCCGTCGCAGCGGAGGATGATGGAGTTGGTGTTAGAGCGTCGGTATCAGCATTTGGATCTGGCTCTTGCTTTGGTATTGGATTTGGATTTGGTGCCGGATTGGGAGTAGGCGAGTGAGTGGGAATGGGAGTGGAGATAGTAGACGAGGCGGCGGAAGCGGGAGCGGGAGTAGTGGAGGCAGTAGTGATAGTAGTAGCTGGTGATGTCGATTGAGAGTGAGATTGATGAGAGAGAGACTGAGACTGAGGCGGAGATTTCACGGTGACGGCAGAATATGTATCAATGTTGCCCGGGCCCATGACAGAGCTGATGCGATTGACATGCTCATTCCTGGTCATTGTCGCCTAGGCGTAGGGATTGTCCTTGGATTGACGGAGTCCTAAGCCATGAATTGAGCCTTATGGAATTGCAAGCAAGATAAACAAAGACAGATAGATATCTGGGAATAAACTACGCAATGATGAAGAATGACGATGATCAACGTATTCGGGGCGCAAATGCAAATGCAGGCAAGCAGACAGACAATAATAGATACTGGTATCGGTTGTTGGTACAGATGCAAATGCAGATGCAAATCGTGAAATGCAAATGCGCGGGGGTGAAAAAAGAGGTCCAAGCTACGGCTACATGTGTAGGGTATAGGTACGGGTATGGGTAGCTTCACAAGATGAGATGAGGTAAGGTAACCTGGGTAAGGTTAAGAGAAGAGAGGAGAAGTATGAAAGGATTGCACTGTAGCTCTGTACGGAGTATACCGAATAGGCAGTGCTTGCTTGCGTTCACGTCATGTCTGAGAGGAGAGGGCTGAGAGGCTGAGTTCCAGTTCCTGGGCTTGCTGGGCTTAGGCTTAGGCTTGGTATTGGTCTCTGCTGGATGAACCTGGGGAAAGCTTGGAGCTTGTTCCTGTTCCTGTTCCTGTTCCTGGCGATGTCCGGATAAGAGATGGCTTGTGAATGTTTACGATAAAGGAACCTATGCTGATCAAAAAGAGAGACAGACAGCCAGACAGACTCAATAGGACACTGAAACTTTCTGAATCTATCCACTAATTGTCAATGGTCATGGCGCTTTCAACCCCGGGGGAGTCTAAGTGTGACTGGGGTTCGATTCAATTCATGGATCAAATGCATGGGTCATGGTCAAGGTCAAGGTCATGGATGATTGTCGGTCGCCTAGAAGGAAAAAGACCAGAGGAAAAGAGGCTGGGCTTGGTCTTTAGCGCAGGTCCATGGTTGGGTGAGATCCAGTTGCAGGATTGACTAGGTAGGCGATCATCCTGACCTACTCCAGCGCCTTTTAGCCCTAGACTCTGCTAAAGCGTAAGGGTGCCGAGCATGGTAAGGTCGCTGGAACGAGGTACTTACTGGTCAGTTACTGGTTCGTTACATTCATCCTGTCCGAATCAAGTACAGTATCAGGTTGACCTGAGTCTTTGTTTTGGTTTTGGAAGACAGGACAAGAAAAAGTCGTACACGCACAATCTAGTTGTTTCTTATTCAGGAAATGTTTTTTCCCTGTCGGATAAATCATCCCCAAATCAAAGCATTTGTTTAATGAACAGATTCTATTTATGTTTGTGCTGCTGTGCCTCGTTTGTCGACGCCTGGTCTGTGTTGATTGAATCTTGCATTGGATATATGAAACCTCAGAGGTACCCCAGGGCTGTAGATTTGGGCGACAAATTACAGGGCGAAAAAGCTGTGCTGTACTTGATCTAATGTACCTTCAAAGTAGCGCCATCACATCGCATCGCATCTAGAAATGGTTGAGACACGGAAAATGCATCGCACGTACCACATGCTCACGAATGCTGAACTTGCTTTGCTAATGCATCACCTGCAGCGTATTGATCTACTAGGTACTAAGATACGATCCAATGCAGAGTAGGAGTACATATTAAAGATAAGGCACTCAACAATTACACACCACAAACACAGGCTCTGTTGATATTGAAAACTAGACACAATCAATAGAGAGCCAAACTGACGGAATACTATATAGTACAATATTCTTTGTGCGTAGCAGATAGTTTAGGTAGGGAATCAAAAGACATACCCCGGCTACAGTAGCACTATTTGACATGTCAGCCATGTGGGTAAAACAGATACCTAGGGCCCATGCTCCTGTCACATTCTGCTTCAGGGTCTTTCCAAAGTGATAGCGCTTGTAACCGTAGAACTGCCTCTATCTGAAGGTAAGGTTCCTTTGTTGGTACGTAGACGGTAGTTGGAACACGGGTGATAAAGGTTGTACTAGGGTTTGTGTAATTGTCTCTTTCAGCCTTTGAATGTATGTCTGGCATCAGTAAACCAATGGCACATTCTTTATCTTTACAACAATTGTGTGTGACAAGGCGATCAAACCCTGTATGTTGGTTACTAGCTTATAGTCCTGTTGTAACGTTGAGTCCTGTGGTGCTACAAAGAGTGTCATATACCATGCATGTTGGTCGACACAACTTCCTACATGTGAATCCGCAGATGATTGACGGCACTGTATAGCATCATAGTTTGCGGGATAACACAGTAGGCTGCAGGTTGCCAGGTTAGATTGTGCCCTGTTATTGTGGACCGTCTGTAAGGAATGCGGTTGAACAGTTGATCATGTTATTTAAAAGGCTATCAGGGAAATCCACATATCAGAAGTGCCATTGCTTCTGATTCATCCAAGAGTCGTTCGATAAAGTGTATTGTTGGTGGTATCGTCTACGGGATTGATATCTCCAAAGCTTGAATATTGTTAGACTGCTATACACCAAGATAAACCACCTTAGGTCCTAAGGTAGCTACTGCTTTTGGTGGTCCAACTAATATACTACACCAAAAAGGTTTTACAGATCCTGCGGCATGTAACTAGCATTTACGTTTTGTAACGGCATATCAAATTCAACAAGCAACATGCATGACTAATGATTGTCTTTGTATCATCAACACCACCATGATGGGAGATCATAACAAAAGTGGAACTCAACATGTTTATCATTCTCCATTAGCCACGCCTAGCTTCTTTGTCCTCTTAATACGGCAAAATTTTATAGACTTTTGGGTATCCGTAGAGTGCTAGTTTCTCTGAGTGGCAATATTGATACAAAATAGAACCAAATTATCTTCATATGTTGACTTGCTTAACATGTCTCACGCGATGGGTTCATGAATCGTGTTTGAAAAGGTCCTCGTTGAACTGATTTTACTGGCACCCGCGAGTGTCTGCAACGAACAAAATTCTCAGTGATAAAAATGCATGACTAGCAACTTGTTTTTGCAGATCTCGTATCATAATCATATGCTACGTACCTTAAATATCTCACCAAGTATTGGGATAAATAAACGAACAATTTACCCTGTAGAGGGGCTCCCGTCTATCATGGCAACAATGTCTCCGGGAATTACTCCGTGCTGTCTATTAAATAAACCAGAACATCCATACCACTATAGTTCTCAATAAAGAGATCCTCTACAACTGCTCTCTTAAGTGATAAGTGAGAGAAGACGCTGTGTAACACGTCCGGTTATCAAAATCTTGGAGAGCAACACCCCGCACCCATATCATCTGCCGTGTTAGAGCCTCAATACAGGTCGTCTTTGATACAACGATTAGGACGACTCATTCCAAGTCTACATTCTACCGGATTATCCGGTTGAAGCAGCCGTAAAGTGCACGGTGCGTCTATCAAAAAGTGCCTTAATTGGTCCATCGTGAGTTCGTCTCTTGATCACGAGCGGCTGTTCTCACGTGCAAAGAGCACTCAAGGCGTATATAGCTAACAGAATGTAGGACACTACGACCAGCATCACAAGAATCAGAGTTATCTCACAAAAGAAAAAATGGGTAGCATAGATCAGAGTCTTCGAGCCTGGTGGAAAGAGAGCTCGGTATATCAGGTATACCCTGCATCCTACCAAGACTCCACAGGTTCCGGTGTTGGTGATCTAAAGGGCATCATCTCACGAGTCGATTACCTCAAAGACCTGGGTGTTGATATCGTATGGCTTTCACCAATTTTCAAGAGCCCCCAGGTTGATATGGTTTGTTATCCCTTAGAATGCACTATTCATCCAAGTATACTAATGTTGGGTCAGGGGTATGATATCAGCGACTACTACACAATCGATCCTCCATATGGAGACGTCTCAGATGTTGATGTTCTCAAAGATAAACTTCATGAGCGAGGCATGAAACTTGTACTCGACCTGGTCATGAATCACACTAGTGACCAACATGAGTGGTTCCAAGAGTCTCGCAAATCCAAAGACAACCCCTATCGAGACTGGTACATCTGGAAGCCTGCAAAGTATGATGCGGATGGAAACAGACATCCTCCCAACAACTGGGACGCCCACTTCCAAGGTAACAATGCACCCAACTCCTGATTTGATGACCATAAAAGCTCACAATTTATAGGAAGCGCCTGGGAGTATGACGAGATCACAGATGAGTACTATCTCTGCATCTTCTGTAAGCAACAGCCAGACCTTAACTGGGAGAACCCGGCAGTTCGCAAGCAGGTCCACAATGTGATGCGCTTCTGGCTCGACCGCGGCGTCGATGGTTTCCGCATGGATGTTATCAACTTTGTCAGCAAGGACCCAGCATTCCCCGACTCAAACAAGACTGTTCTCCGGGGAACAGAATACTACGCCTGCGGTCCCAGATGTCATGAGTTCCTCAAGGAAATCGGCACTATCCTCCAAGAGTACAATGCTTTCAGTGTTGGAGAGATGCCCTGTGTTCACGACGAGCGTGAGCTGATCAAGGCTGTTCGAGGTGACCGCGGAGAGCTCAGCATGATCTTCCACTTTGAGCTGTGAGTCTACCTTTGCTTCCCCTAACTTTGTGAGCAATGGGCTGATATAAACAGGATGGACATCGACCACGGTGTTGGGGGCAAGTTCACGCCCAAATCCTGGACACTCTCTGAGCTGAAGGCCACCACCCTCAAATGGCAGAAGTTCATGTACGACAATCAAGGCTGGAATGCACTGTACCTGGAGAATCATGACCAGCCACGGGCAATCAGCCGCTTTGTCTACGATGACCCGGATCATCGTGTTGCCAGCGCAAAACTCATTGCAATCTTCCTTGGTTTCCAGGCAGGCACGCCTTTTATTTACCAAGGCCAGGAGATTGGCATGACCAATGTTCCTAAGGATTGGGACTTGGAAGAGTACAAGGACCTCGACTGCCTCAACCACTGGGAGTAAGTTAAACAGTGCCCATAAGCCGGCGTATACTAACGGCCATTAGATTGCATAAGAATGATGATGCTGCTGCCCAAAAAGCCTACAAGATCGAGTACCAAAGGAAGTCTCGTGATAATGCTCGCACCCCCATGCAGTGGGATGCGAGCCCCAACGCAGGCTTCACCACTGCTGATGCCAAACCCTGGATGCGTGTCAACGATAACTATACTGAAGTCAACGCCGCCTCCCAAACGTCAGACCCCAAGTCTGTGTACAGCTGCTATCGCCAGGTCCTCCAGAAGCGCAAGGAGCATATCGATGTCTTCGTCTACGGCAATTTCCTGCTTGTAGATGATGCTAACGATAAGATATTTGCCTACTCACGACGCGCTGACAACGGGGACACTGCTCTCGTCGTGTGCAACTTCTCAACAGATTCAGTTGCGTGGAAGTTGCCCGGTGAGGCACATGAAGTGCTGGTCAGCACTGCGGGGAGGACAGCAGATGATCTCAACAGCGGCGAGATCAAGCTGGCACCTTGTGAGGCCTTTGCTGTGCTGCTAAAGTGATTGGAGAGGCCTTGTATAGTATGAGTGTATACAGCCAAACCATGCAAAACGTCAGTACATAGGTAAAGAATATTGACGCAAACGGAGACATAGCCTGCAATCAGTTATCTCATAAACATTAATTACCCATGCATATGCATTGTAACAACAAGACGAAGAAGTGCATTCTCATTACCCAGCGGTTGATGTCGGCCGAGTATCTATTCATACAGGATACATAAACCACTCCTTGTCCCGCTCTATTCTTGTAGATTTGTCCATAACGCCGACGCTCTAGTCTTGTCGTCCCTTTAGTAATCGCTTGGTAACCTTGTCCTTCTCGATAATGTAAACATGGGCACCCCAGCCGGAAAGAGCATCACGGTCAACGGCGTTGAGCAAAGACTGAGAGATGGTCTCGAAGAGGGCATCGGGCTCCTGTGAAGTTGAATATTAGTATACCAATCTTAGGCAGTGGGTTATTCAAGCCAGTCAGGACTTGACTGTTGGCCCGGTTGTTTATGTACGCACCAGATCAGGCTCCCAGAGACCCTCGCACATGCCAAAGAGCTGCTCTGAAGCGGTACCAGATACAATAAAGTCCTTGGCAAAGTCAATGCAGCCAATGCTGTCGAAGCCACAGATAAAAGGCTTGCCAGTCTTGGGGTCTAAGCCAGCGACGACGGGGGACACAAAGTAAGGTCCGAAACGGCGCTCGTAAAGAGATGAAGAGACAAGATTGGCAAATGTTCGGGGGGCGATAGAGCGCTCCTCACGCAGGCGGTACATGTTGACCTTGTAGCGGAAGAGGTCGCTCACGGTGTTGACGTCGGTGGCCAGGCCAGTCAGACCGAGGAAGACATCGCCGTACTGGAAGATCTTGGGAAAGTTGTTGGAAACAGTAAGAGCCTGGAGACCGAGACGGAGATCGCATGCGATGGCGACACAATCCTTGCCGACCATGGCGACACAGGCGCCGCCGTCTGTGAGGGAGGAGAGGTTAGCTTAGTATGATCATTGGCATGACGATGGACGGCCGAGACTAACTTATCGAGAAGGGAGACGACTGTTTATTGAGTGTGCTAATTAGCTTCTGGAACTCGAAATAGCTGGTGGGACTGAGGTTGACATACCATGATGGCTTTTAAAGATGGATAGGTAGATGCGAGGTCGGACAATCTACGTCAACCAGCGACCGTCTTATCGTGAGGAAGCCGAGGACAACGCAAGGGACTGGACCGTTATAAGAAGCCGCGAGATTGGCTGTCGTTAATTCGTATCGTATTGTCGCGTCGGTGGGTTGTTGGAGAGCAGTTGACGTGGAGGGGATGGAGTGCGAGATGGATGGTTGAAGCTCCCGTCACTGAACTGGAGCTACAGAAGGTGCAGGTGCAATGAGGTTGCGTTGCTGCTATAGAAGGTACGTACTGTACAGGCGGGCTGGCAAGGCAAACACGGTCTGGCGCGGCCGGGAAGAAGCAGCTCTGTCTAGGTATGAAGTGGAGGTCAAGGTCCACGTTGACTGAAGCAGCCTACGAGCTGTGGCGTATGAGGCTCAGCAGGCCTCAACCTACTAAGGTCAGAAGAATTGACCCCCGAAAGCATTAGAAACGAGATGATTTGGTCACTTTATGCCAGCTGCGACTAATATTTAGGCTTCATTCTGTATAGTTATTACGCATGATTAGGACTTGAGAGAGCTGAAGCCTTCACCAAGGTAACTAACTACCTATGTATATAGTATTTACTAACAAAATAAGTTGAAGAAGTGGCTGAAGAGCTTGGCCTTTGATCTGGACTTGATTAACCATAATTGAAGTTGGGCAGTCTTTTAATATAACGATCTAACTGTTAATAGACAGACAAGAGTTTCGGCAATCTTGTCTACTACCTACTAAGGCATAGAAGCTTCTAGTATATCGATTGCAACCATTCATTCATAACTCGCGGCTGCCTACTGGGTTCCTATGAATGGTTCTACCGTAAGAACTTCCCTCAACTGCGGATTCAGCTCAAGGCCCCTACGCAACCCCGCTGTATCTTTGGCTAGCTGTCTGCTTACATCACCGCCAGCCAAGCTCAACCTCCCCGCGATTGTCTCCAGAAGAATTAACAGCCCGTTTACAACGTCCTCAAACTCTTATTAAACTTTGTATTGCTTTCTCTCTATCGGTCTCGTTGTATCATGGCAACAAACGTCGTTGTGATAGCCTCCGACTTGCGCCGGGCTACTATCAAAGTCACCCCCGGAACCTATTTGATTGACGTATTGGAGGAAGCATGTCGAAGACTCAGCCTTTCAAGTGACAAGTATCTTGTCAAGTGAGCACATCCACCTCTTACCACTGCTCTCTAGCCAAATACTGACGACGTATTCTTTCAGGCACCGGCAAAAAACAGTCGATCTCTCCATTCCTTTTCGCGCTTCTGGTCTCGGCCCTGGCGCAAAGCTCGAGCTTGTACAAAAGTCGAAAACACCCTCTGCCATTCAAGTCGCCCTTCAAGTCCCGCCTCCCGAGGGTCGCGAAATACCAGGAGGACGTTTGATCGAGAAGTTTCCCAGTGACCTCACCATATGGAAGGTTCTACGTCAATTCGAGAGCGGCAAGGCGAGTAATGGCAAGAACATCAATATCACTGCCCGTGGGGTTGCCTCGATGGACGACAGTTCGGGAAGTGGCAGCGGGCAACTACACTACGAAACACCAGTCCTGAACATAATGGGTAGAGAACTCTCATCTTTCACCGACTTCCAGAAGACTCTATCCCAGCTCGGATATAACTCTGGAAGTGTTCTGATCCGATTGACGTTCCGTAAGACGGACAAGACTCTGTACGATGCAATGACGGAGATCAGCCAGTTCTTTAAGGATACGGATGACGAAGACCAGAAGGAGGAAATTTCAACAACAATTGCCGAGCCTGTATCAACGGGAGAGACCGAAACTCAGGAACAGCAAGCACCACAAGAGACAGAAGACTCGAAGATGGCGGACGCTCAGACAGAAGAGCCCTCGGAGGCAGGTCCTACTCAACCGGAGAAAGCACCCGAGGCTGTCGCAGAGGACAATATGGAAGTCGACTCTTCTCAGTCAAGTGATCCATTAGCACCCGTCAGTGTTTTCCTAGCCCCTTCAGGATCAACGCCTGCCGCAGCTTTAGCTCCTGCTCCGGATACCGATTTCGCTCCTACGATCGCCCATGCACAACTCCACCAAGCTCGATTACAGGAGAACTCAAGAAATAAGCGATTGCTTTCAGACCAGGAGCTGGAAGAGAAAGCTGCGGCAGAAGCTGCCAAAATCAACGCCATCAAGTCTATCCTCATCAAAGTTCGGTTCCCAGACAACACCAGCAGTGATTGGCAAGTAAGCCCAGCACACACTGGCCAGTTTCTGTACGACGCTGTTCGGCATGTTATGGCCCATGATGGCCAACCCTTCCATCTCGTTCTTCCTGGAACCAAGACTGTAATCAAGGACGACCCTAACCCCAACAATGGATTGATCAAAGCCTATAAACTGTCCGGAAGAACTCTCATTAACTTGGTTTGGGAAGATGGCGTACCACTAGCTGTGAGAAAACAACCTTTCCTCAAGGCCAATGTTGCTCAACAGGGTCAACAAGTCAAGGTTCCTGAGCCCATCGTTTCTAATGAGAAGGATGAGGCGGTGCCAGTTGCTCGCCCAGCACAAACAGAGACTGGAGAGGGATCAGGAGAGAAGATTGTTAAGAAGATACCCAAGTGGCTCAAGTTGGGAAAGAAATAGGCAGTCACAAAATATCATGGGAAGGATATGAGGTATGCATCGATCATCATTAGCGGCGTTGGTTAGTCGGGTTTAAGTCATAATAAACGTATAGAAGCGAAGTCCATACACAGCTTTAATTGCAATGACATTCAAGTATCAATTCACTTCCAGATCACAAACATTCGTCACGAAGAAGACTGATGGGAGCATGGCTTGATCATTACGCCATAAATTGCTTGAAAGTGTTGGTATTCCGGTGAGCCGCAGCTTCCCTGCCACGGAGCATCAAAGCCGTTAATTTTTTAATTGATCATCGTGACCACGCCAATCCATGTGAACCCAATCCTGTGCCAGATTCCCAGAAAATCAGATTAAATGATTTAGTGACCAGCACGGCGAGACTCAGCGATGACACGCTGGAGCTCGTCGACCTTAGCCTTAGCACGGCCGAAAGTACCGAGCTGCGATGTGAATTAGTATATAGATCGTGGAGGGTTTCGGTGTAGGCGGTTCTGTTCGACGTACTCTCTTCTTGGCGAGCTTACGGGCACGCTTGTCCTTGGAGTTACGGAGCAACTCAATGACTCGGCGCTCGTAGGGAGCGAGGCTGTAAAGGATAATTGTTAGCCCAAGTCCAAGCGCAAAATTTGACATGATCCCATCAAGCAGAGATAGAGATTCTTCTCCAGATCGATTCTCCATTCCACCCAAATAAAATTGTGTTGACTTACCCAGCGACCTCCTTGACGATCTCGCGGACGAAGGCAGTGCGCTTGCTCAGGTGGCCCTTGGTGCGGGAGACACGGGGCTTGACGACACGGGCAGTGGTTTTCTGTAAAATTGGCGACAAATGTCAGCGTCCATCGTCTGCTAGTTGGATGATTTCGTCGCGCCGTCATCCGTCGCGAAGGCGAAGCAGAGATCCTCCACGAGGTGAGACTGCGACAGTTGAACCAAGTGAAGTATTGAAATATCGACCTTTCGATCAATCTCCAAAACCTCACTCAGCAGGAAAATCGTAGGGAAGACATACGTGGCCCTTGTTAAGGCCAACGGCCAGACCGGACTTCGCAGGTTGTTCAGCGGCCATTGTTGCTGGATGGGTTAGTCGAACGTGGGTTGATCGAAGATATTTCCAACGAGAGTGAACAAAAAAGATGGAGGATATCTGAAGGTTTGCCAGCAAATCTGTGGGTCACGTGCCGAAGGGTAAGCGAAGTTTTTTCGAATGTGCGATGGAGCTGTGGCTAGAGATGGCGGGGCTAATTGTGGCTGTCAAGAAAGAGACTACTGTGGATCCACTGTCAGATTTCTACCTTAGATTCACTATCGGATGTCTTCACCACTGAATCAATATCAAGATCAAAAGTTTCTCTGAGAAAGGGCTGTATTTTAGCAAGATACGGTCTATAAGACGCAACTAATCTGGCTATAAACTCTTCTTGTCTTATTGACAGCTGTTTTCATGGTACAGAGTAGAGGTCACCCCCAAGATTCGTCCCCAACTTGAGATATCAGGTTCAGTTCAAGATCAACTAATTATTATATCCGTTCAAAAAGGAATTGCTCTATCCATCTACTGCGGGCTCAACAAGGTAACATGCGTTCTGTTAACGTTACTTGGTTACCTCTCGGACCCTTGGCATGGGAGATGAGTTGAGGGTATGATTCAATGCGCATTGTGATCGACAACCGAGTCTCGAAGCGCATCCCAAGACTCACAGACTCACGAGTTAAACCGAAACATGCAAACAAGCACCTCTGGACCCTTATAAGTGATCGCTTCTCAGCCCAACCAATTCGCATGACGGCATAACGCTTCTATTCTTGTAACACTCGACGGGAATAGCATCGCTACGTACTGACCAACCAACGACCAAAAGCTGAGAAGGTGATAAACATGCGCTGCCCAAACAGAGCACGAGTCCACAATTAAACCTCCGTCCCTGTAAACATGAAACTAGATCGGCATCCAATCAATAGCACTGCCTACTGCCGGATCCTAGCCTCTGATCCGTCAACTCCATGTCCTCTCACGAATGCAGGAGGATCGGCAGGTGAAATAGGATTGCACGAAGGTGCTGAAAGGGAAAGAAGGCCCGGTTTAATGGTCTTTTGGCCGCGTGTTCGGTGAGGCAAGGAGGAACCAGCAAAAGGGACTATTACGACTCTGACGTCGTCTTCTCCATATGGCTTGCTCGATAAGTTTATAACTAGTCATGTCTCGACGTGAAAACCCATCATTTCTTTTAGACCATATCTCATCACCTTCTTAATAACTTTGCCGTCTTTGATCCTCCGTATCTTTATATCATCTCCCAAATATCATACCTTCAAGATGCAATTCGGACTCGTTATTCTTGCTGCTTTGCCCACCACGTGGGCGGCCCACGCCTACGCAGTTCCTCAAAGCCTTTCAATGTTAGAAAGCAGCGCCGAGGACAACGGCTGCACACTCCCCGATACCTATTATATCCGCAACTTCAAGGCAGAGTCCAAGGATGGCGGCAAGACTCTCACTGGCTTCGACTTTACATTCCTCGACAAGGACACAGACTTGACCACTCCCTGCCACAAGAACTCTTCCTCAGAGCCCATCACCGGAATGGGGACCGACCGATTTGCGTGTGACGACAGCGCAGTCGAGTTTCTGTGGGATAGCGACTACCAGAAGCTTTGGATGATGGAGAAGGTTTGCGGCCAAGCGGATGGGTAAGTGCTTACGAATATGACTAAAATTTCCTGATGATTGATAATTGCTTCTATAGGAGTCTACCATACGAGGCCAGCGGAAGTGTCATGCTCCCTCTCAAGTGTGCCAGGACTGGCAGTTGCTCAACCAACTCAACAGACCACAAGGCGGGTTTCACTAGCCTTCAGCCTTCGAGGCAAGCACCTCCATCATAAGTTTCGTTCTGTATGTCGTGAGATCTTGTGATGATGGAGATTAGGCGGTGCAAGACTACAGGTAGCGGTCAGGTGTTCTGCCCTCGACTTCACTGAACCGAGTTAGGCATGAAAGGACAATAATTACAGACGGACGAGTCTAAAGATTAATGGGAATAATGACTCTTGCCAACAGAGAAGAATAGAATAAAATGAACCAAACATTCAATTGTTAACAAACATGATGATGTTCCATATGAAGTGAATTCAGGAACGAACCTCAAATTCAACTGCCGCCTGCCCTGTAGGCTGTAGCGGAGGCCATGTATTAAAGCGGGTCCATAGACGGGAATCCGGGGTAACACAGGCTCAATCAACCACTCACAACCCGTCAATCAACTTTCGAGACTGTTTCTGGACGGGCAAAGAATGATACCTCCGCAATAGTGGTCATTTGGCGGGCTAATCAGGTACCGCTCTTCACGGTTGGAGAGGGTAACCTTACCGTATGACCTCAACGGTTTGAGGTCTGTCACTCACGAGACCTGTCAACCCTGATCTTGACGCCTTCACTTGATCAATTCTAGATCCCATCGTCATTGCTTCATTGGGAGCTAAATTAGAGTCCTCCCCAACAAAACACAGACCTCTATTATGCGTCGCTTTTTCCTTCTTCTCCCAATGCAGACTACTTATGAGCTATTGACCTGGTATTAAGCTTAATACTTTACTCAACATCCTCAAAGCGCTGGCGCCTCTGGGAACGTGTCTACAATTCATCCTAATTATACACTCACAACAAATTTGATCTCATCATGAGGTTCAAACTTACAGATTCACTGAGCATTTTGACAGTTCAGCTCATCTTCATCACTTCGAGTTTCGCTTTCAGTAGTTCATCATCACAAAGACACATTCCCGAGTCAAACACACCGTCACCGAACAGCATTTCAGTATCATTCTTTGCGACTCTCGAACGTCTGTCGCGACTTGTGGATATCGCCTATTGCATTGGGACAACCGGTGTCAGAAAACCATTTGACTGTGTATCGAGATGCAACGATTTCCCCAGTCTGTCTCTCATCAACACATGGAACACTGGTCCTTTGCTCAGCGATAGTTGCGGGTATATCGCCGTGGATCATGGCGTGAAACAACGAGTGAATGGCGATGTCTTGAACGCTGGTGAGCCTGCTATCGTGGTGGCCTTCCGCGGCACCTACAGTATTGCCAATACGGTTGTCGATCTGAGCACTGTACCTCAGGAGTATGTACCATATCCGTCCCCGGATCATGGTGGAGGCGAACCCCCCGAAGAGCCCGAGCATAAATGTACGAACTGTACCGTACACATGGGCTTTCTCCAGTCGTGGAAGAACACTCGACGCCTCGTTCTCCCCCAATTGAGACAGCTAAGATTGCAATACCCTTCCTATCCGATTCAACTTGTTGGACACAGCCTAGGGGGCTCTGTTGCCTGCCTCGCAGCACTAGAGCTGAAGGTATCGCTAGGATGGGAGGATGTCATAGTCACCACCTTCGGAGAGCCTCGCGTTGGAAACGAAGGTCTAGCCCGCTTCGTGGATGAGGTATTCCACCTGGATGGGCAAGAGAATCTAGAGAAGCGCGAATACAGGCGGGTGACTCACAAAGAAGATCCTGTACCTCTACTGCCTCTGGGCGAATGGGGATATAAGTCGCACTCAGGAGAGGTATACATTGCCAAACAGGAACTGACGCCTTCCGAGTCTGATATCTACATGTGCATCGGCGACGAAGACCCGAAGTGCATAGCAGGGGCAGATGATTCGCTATGGATGACTATCCGTCGGCTGTTCCACGCCAAAAGCCTACTGACGACATCGGATAAGTTGGCAGAGCTGAATGGGTTTCCTTCGAGGTTCAAGTTGTGGCAGCTCTTGTTTGCGCATCGGGATTATTTCTGGAGATTAGGTCTTTGTGTACCCGGAGGAGATCCTGCAGACTGGGGCAGAGGACGATACCAAGGCCCAGGCCCAGAGACTGAGGAATTATGATTTGGCGAGTAGTCGGCTTGGGGAAGCTGTTTGGCGTTTACGAATTTGAGAAAAGCCTTGTTATAGATACCTCTACTTAGTATTGAACTTGAAAGCCAGCGAGTAGGCCTGTTATTTATTTCTCGGATGTCATGGGCTACGAAGATGAACTATTAGTGAAAGGTCTATACAATGAATGGTCTAACTTCTTTCCATTGCCAAGCGTTCTGTATCAAATCTTGTGCGATTGTGTATTGATTCTTGCTCGGTACGGTACGGTATTCTACGGTTCTCCGGTTGCCAACTCACGGTCCCCCGGCCACTCCCGCAGCGACCACGGGCTAGACCGAACGGAAAGCTCCACAAGTCAAGTTATTCCAGGGTCATTCGAGGTTTAGGGTCAAATGATCACGAAGAGTCTTCGTATTGATGAGCTCTTTTGAAAAGATTGATTAGAAAGAGAAGTCTATTTAAAGCAGAATCTTGTGTGGCAAACCATGGTGTATATGTACCCTATTCCGTTCTATCGTCAGGCATATCAGCGATATAATAGCAATCTATGAGCTGTATGGGTACTTTGAGGCAAAATTGGTTCCGCCTTTGGTGGAACGTGGGCTGCGGATAATTGCAGATGGGTCCATAAGGTCGAAGAGAAGTCAAGTTGTTCTGTCAGTAATAGGGGGTTCAACAATCGAGACTGCACTACTTTGAGCATTCCCAGATTGTTTGCAGTCCATGATAGTAAATGAGTCATCAAGCTATTTGACAGCTGATCACGGTACCAACTGCACTCCTGGTTGAAATCCTTTGAAACAAGCCAGGATATTGCTGAACTAGAACAAGATCAAAGTTCCCGCATCCAGGTTCGTGGATTTCTCGTCAAGGATAGATAGACAACTCGAAGAGTGGGTTGCATTTGCAAGCCAAATGGGTTCCCATCTCGAATAAACACGCAGGGATGGAAAGGGATAGTCCCGTTGATAGCGAGATGGGATGGGCAGATCTTTGTAGATTTGATAGCGGATCACATCACATGGACTACTTAGACTAAATGGGCACTGACAGTAAGACCTCCTAATGCCATTGACTGTTTATGAACTGTGCACGAACATAATATGCTTAATGTTTCAGAGAGTGGGTTAATCATGGACTTGATACAAATATCGCAACAACTGTCTCACAGTTACGGCCAAAATCAGGGTTAGAAGAACGTAGAATTTACTTTGTTACGCTGACTGATTGGTTGGTTTAGATGAGTTCCGTACAGTACTTAGACGCTGCAGTGGGCGGTTAATATAATTGCAAGGCGAACGAGTCCAGTCCAGGAAATGAGTTCATCTCGCCGTCACCCAAAACTGTTTATCTGTCGCCTTGTTTGTTGGGCAACTAGCCGAGTCTTACAGATACTATTAAGAGTTTTATGAACCAAAGAAGGTGTATGAATGGTAGGTTGCCATGTGCAGTCTAAAGCCTCTCGGGTCTAAGCCTTGATTCGTTGTGAGACGCGAGTTGCTGTCTGTGGCAGGCATAGATAACCAAGACAGGGGGGGATATCCTCAGCCCCAACGAGGCTGACTTGAGGGAATCCTATCTAATGCAGAGGCAGAGAGTGTTGTGGAATTCCACTGAGTGCAGGCCAGCAATCGACTTTGCTTTGTCTGGTTTGTGCAGTACAGTATGTGCTTGTTTATTGCTGAGTGAAGCAATCAAGAATTAGACACTCCACCGTGAATGTCAATAATAAGGGGTCTGATAATGATAGGGATTGACGGGACATGACGTGCCAGGGCCATCAAGACCAAGGCTGGACTTGTTTCGTTTACTTTACTGTACCTTGCCTAAGGTAAGGTTAGGTAGTGTAGAAGAGGGGTGAAGGAGATGGAAGATTTGCGTGTCGTCACCTATTTTCCTGCGCTCACGTGGCTCATTTTCTTCGTTTACAGTACTGACTGACACTGACACTGACACTGACATTGCAATTTCTGTCATAGACTCGCCCATGCCTAGATGAGGGTGCAATTTAGATGAGGCGGGCAGCTATAGTGCCCATCGTTCCGTCCGAACTTTTCAACGGGGATGTGTTCCGCTTAACGGGGAGATTCTGTAGCTTCCCCTTTTTTCTGTTTTTCTTTTACTCTCTAAACAGTGTCGGTTACGTTGGATATGTTGAGAGCGGTGACTGGGTTCCATGTGAGAGAGGAAGAGAGAGGAGACAGGATGCACTAAGTTTACCCGACTTTTAGGTACAGTACAGCACTGAAAGGAAGGCGAGCGGTGTCCAAAATACATCCATGATGAGAAAAAGAAAATCAACAGCCCACATGAATGGAGGGGGGTCCCAGGGCCTAGGCCTGTGCTGTGCTGTGCGGGCTATTCAGCTCTCTTTAGCGATGTGAACCCCCAAAATTTGGCAGGTAATGAGCGTAGACTGGCGCCTAGGCTGCCGAAATTCAATGCAGGCTGGACCCATTCGCTGGCTGGTTGGTTTCCATTAGGTTGCCTTTACCTACCTTTACCGTCCATACTGTGCGGCCTGTTGTTGCTGGGCTCTGAACCGCTGCCCGGGCTGGTTTTTGACCCCACCTCCACAGCCCAGTCCCAGTCACAATCCCAACCCGGGCAGTCCAGTCCCTCTCCCTCTCTCTCTGAGGTTACGGTCATAGGTTACCATCTCGTTCCCTCCTCCTCTCACCCCCCCAAATCTCAACCTCCAAAAATTCCCATCTTCTCACTCACAACCTCAACTTCTAACTTTCTTTTCCCGTACGACCGCTTCCTCTTTTCTATCAACCAAATACCCAAAATCTTCCACAATGGCCACTGAGGTAAGTCGTCTCCTTGATGCGCTGCGCTGCATCATTCCCCTCCTTTTCCAAAGGGTCCTCGCATCCTTTTCCTTCTCGGCCTGCTCCCGCCGAAGTCCGCACAACCCCTCAGTCGAAGCCCAACATGGACGGCATCACCACCACGAGTTTCCTCGATGATTTCCGCTTCATGACCTCCAATACGTGGTTATGCAGCTTGCGATGGTCTTCGGGTTCTCTCGTGTGTCCTCCATGCGGTAACAGGCTGCTTTGATCTCATAGCTCATCTCTCGTGCTCCCTATCTCCCTAATCTATGTTGTTTCGATGCTGACTATTATGGTGTGATAGCGTGAAAGGTTTGTCCAGATGGTTCCCTCCCGCCTCTCATGACGCTATCGGCGCTCGATAACTGCTCTGGCTCGTCGAGATTTCAATCATCCTCCCAGGACACCGTTTCGCTAACCTCGTACGTCTTACCGCAATATAGCAAGACCTTCCTCGCCCGCCTCTGCGAGCAGGCTGAGCGCTACGATGAGATGGTCACCTACATGAAGGAGGTTGCCAAGCTGGGCGGAGAGCTCACCGTCGACGAGCGCAACCTTCTCAGCGTTGCCTACAAGAACGTTGTCGGTACCCGACGTGCCTCGTGGCGCATCATTTCCTCGATCGAGCAGAAGGAGGAGTCTAAGGGATCCGACAAGCACGTCTCCACCATCAAGGACTACCGCAACAAGATCGAGACCGAGCTCGAGAAGGTCTGCCAGGATGTCCTCGACGTTTTGGACGACTTCCTCATCCCCAACGCCGCCACTGGCGAGTCCAAGGTCTTCTACCACAAGATGTGCGTTTTTATCTTCCCCGCCTCTGGCCTGAGGCCCCTCGTCTGCCGCCCTTTTTGTGCTCATGCACCAATCACTACATTTCGACATATGCGTGTTTTTTCCGCAACGAAAAAATTGCAATGCACCCCAGATACTTTTTTTGTATCGAGAAGCTGACCGAGTTTTTTGCAATCTATAGGAAGGGTGACTACCACCGTTACCTGGCTGAGTTCGCCTCCGGTGAGAAGCGTAAGGGCGCTGCTACCGCTGCCCACGATGCTTACAAGGTAAGGCTAAATTACCCCCACCACAGTCACATGTCGCAAGATCCGGGCCCCTGGTGCCCCTCGCTGACAACTGTGCCCAACAGAGCGCCACCGACGTTGCTCAGACCGAGCTCACTCCCACTCACCCCATCCGTCTTGGCCTTGCTCTCAACTTCTCCGTTTTCTACTACGAGATCTTGAACTCTCCCGACCGTGCTTGCCACCTCGCGAAGCAGGCCTTCGACGATGCTATTGCCGAGCTCGACTCCCTGTCTGAGGAGTCTTACCGCGACAGCACCCTCATCATGCAGCTCCTCCGCGACAACCTTACCCTCTGGACCTCTTCCGACAGCGCTGAGGGTGAGGCCGCCGGTGCTGCTGATGCCCCCAAGAAGGAGGAGGGCGAGGCTGCCAAGCCCGCTGAGGAGCCTGCCGCTGAGGAGCCTGCGCCTGCTGCTGCCTCCTAAATCTATCAATAATCCTCCTCGATACCACATGCGTCTCGGCATATAGGAACCGAGATGTATTCTCGCCCCGGTTACACTCGTCTGCCCCTGGACATACGGATAGCTGGGACTGTCTTGGGCGGGCTGGATGATAGTACGAGGCTTCTTCTTTTTGCGCGGTGCGTTGCTTTTTTCATGGCGATGGAGAGGGAGGAATGAATCAAGAAGGGTCTGGTTCTGGCAAAGGGAAAGTGTTGCGGCGCGGAATCTTTCGTCTCGTTCGTCCGTCGGACTTTGAAGAAAATCGACCGCCAACTTCTATGATGATGACGGCTCTTGTTTTTTTCTTTTTTACCTGGCAGATAAATCGCAAAGTTCCCCCCTTTTTTTCACCTTTATTCTTTGCCTGTCTCGGGCACCTAGCATCCGTGTATCTCTCACTTCCCGTCTTGTTGGTCATTAAGAAAGTGGACAGGGCCTTGCCCATCCCGATGGATCGCCGCGAAGAAGGCTTTCTCATGTTTGCGCCTTTTGTTTTCTCCTTGTCTCTAGTCTTTTATGTCTTTTCGTTCCTGTCTATCGGTCCATTTCCAGACCGTGCCCTGGTGAGAGACGATGGAGATGAACTGTTTCCTGTTTCTAAAAAGACCATTTCCCCCGAAAATTACACACCCCTTACATTTATGTTCACGGGTACCGAGATGAGCGGCTGTTATGTTGTCTCCGCTGGCTTCCTTCGTCCTGAGGCCTTTCCAAAGGTTCTGCCTGGTGACGTTTGTCCAAAAGACATTTGCTTTGTTCCTTGGGCTGCTGATTTGTCCAATCTTGTCTTCGCAGGCGAGTGCTTGGGCATAATTTGATGCTTATGGAACTGGCATATCCTATGGCACAATCGTCGCATGTCACTCGTACCCCAGATTAGAAAGATTAGTTGCACGTACGTGCGTGCTTGCGTACACGCGTGAAGCTGTCTGTCAAGGACATCAATTAATGAAGAATAAATGCTATATCATGACACATGTCGACATGGCCCCGGCTTGCCTATTAAGAAAAATTACTGGTTCCGGGCCTTTCGTGATTATAGAGACACATTCGCCATAGCGAGTGGTAGGTGGATGCGTCAATCAGCCAGAAGGTTACCGTTCCCCAGCGCGACGGTTGAGTAACTGTGCTGCCCGTGCCAGCCTTTCTTGCTTCTCTCTCAAGCCATTTCCTTGTTCGCTATCCCTCTCGAGTATGCCGCCCTCTTCGTCCATCACGTCATCGCCCCTAGGCTCCCTGGTCTCGAGCCCACGGTACATAGCCGTTCGGCCATCGGGAGGTAGTTCGGCAGCGGCTGCAGCCATGTTGGCAGCTCGTCTCTTAGGTCCGAAGCGCCAGCTGAGGCGCTTCCACAAACTTCGTGGTCTTGAACCGGCTGGTGATGGGGGTGTCGCGAAAGAAGTATCCGGGTCGGGATCAGGTGTCGTAGCGGATGATGAAGATAGAGAGGATGATAGAGATGGGGCCGTGGGGAGGTGAAGAGCGGAAGCGACTTCGGTTCGCCAGACATGGATGCGTTCCTGCTTTGCCGGAGGCATAAGGGGGTTGACCTTGATTCGAGGATCTGAAGTGCCAGGCATGGTTGATTATGTATTTGTTGAAACTTGTTTGAAACTTGTAACGGGGTATTTGATAGATGTTGTTGATATGCTGGGTGGTTTGATTCCTTCTTCCGCGTGATTGTAAAGCAAATAATTAGGCGGCTGGTAGGAAAAGGCTGGATTATGTTGATGTTGTATGTCGTATCGTGTAGTATGAGTCCGAGACCAGTCGGAGTCGTGATTCTGACATTCAATTGCTTCGCTTTTGCGATTTCCCGCTCTTCAAGATGTGAAATTGATGATTGAAATCTCAATTCTGGTTTTCACAAGGGTATGGCAGTGTTTTGTTCTGCGCCGTCAAGCAAATTCGTTGGTGTAGGCCAATGACTCGTGTAACTCGTGCAGGGAATTACACTACGATCGACGGGTCTGAGCGTTTTTGTTTCCCGCCGATTAATTGATTGATTTGATATTGAATTTTGGAACAAACAGAGCCAAGGAATGAAAGAACTCGTACAGTAGATGAGAGATGCCAGGAACAGGGAACAAGATGATGAATGGGAAAGCAAAAAAAGGAGTATCCGTACTCGGTTGATTCCTTTGTTGAAGAAAAAGGACGGGAGCGGAAAAGGGAGAAATTGCGATCAAGGTTTACGAGAGGCAAGCCAAGACAAGGTAAGGCAAGACCAATTGCAAGGCAAGGCAAGGTAACTCAGGTAGGAGGTAGGAACGGTTTTCTCGGTTCGAGAGTAGTTGGAGCTAATGGGACCACAGACCGGGGACGATCTTTCTCGAACGACACGGTAGAGTGGGGTTTTTGTTGAGGAGGAATAGTAGATAGTATTGACTCGTTGATGGATTTTGAAGTTTAGGTATTCTCTTGAGGTTACCGATATGCAAGTAATAATGTAGGTAAGGAGGAGCTGAGCTGTATTGTGGAGAGACCGAGAGAGGGACGACGAGGAGAGCGGAGCGAACTTGAAGGGAAAAGTAAAGTGAAGGGGAAAAAGACAAGGACAAGACAAGGGTGTGATATGATTGATAAAGTGATCAGCATTGGTCTAGATCGTCCAAGGTCAAGGTCTCGTGCTCACGACAGGGTACTGCTACAGCTGCTACAGCGACAGTGCAGTGCAGTGTAGTGCAGTGCAGGGCAGCTGGTACCTACAGGAAAGACCTGCGTGCTGTATTGTACTGCACTTGAACAACCAATGCAATGCACTCATTCAGAAGCGAAGCCTTTTTCATCCATTGAAAAAGGCTAAATTGAGTGTGGATATCGGTAATATCCATAGCAAAACATCAATCAAAACGTTCAAGTTTGATGCAGACTAAATTAGTGCTTCCTTTTGGTTCAGCCCAGTCTTAGTTCTGAACTGTATCGGATGAGGATCTGTACTGACTTGAGAGTCAGCAGAGTAAATGTCTTAGTTTCAACTGACCGAATATTCAGACCAGCAGTAACAAAACAACCCCAAACATGTAAAGTACAGACATGCATTGGTTGGAGATCAGATATCCATTGTTTGTTTGTTCGTTCGTTTGTGGGGCAACCAACCTGGGTCATGAGGCCAAAATAAAATCCCTCCATCTCGCCTCTCCAGGGTAGCAGCAGCAGCAGTAGTCTTTTATGGACCTATCTCACACACATCACCCGACGTGCAGTTCTCTAGAAGTGATCGAATTAATTAGCTGCATCTTGGCGATTAACACTGGCTTGACATACCGCCATATCGATTTTAGGGGTTCAGGCCTTTAGCATTTGCGTGACCCATGTACTGGTCACACTGATCCATTTGCTGGCTCACATGTTGTGTAACAGACTTGATGTGAACACCCTCAACAAGAAAACAGTAGAGACAGAGATAGCAGTTAGAATTTACTTCAACTTTTATGCCGTACTAGTAGTTATAATCCAACACGAGACAGACAGGCAGGCTTACTCTAAATCCAAGCCCACCGAAACGCTCCCGCTCCAGTCAACGCCTACGAATCCAAATACTACTATGCTAACAATGCTGTTCATCTTCTTATGTTCTCGTGCTTGGCTTCAATGTCTCCCATCCTCCAACATTCTGACTGTCGTCCAGCGAACCTAGCAAATCCATCGATCCTTGCCGTTGGTGTTGATTTGGCTGCGGTAATTGCGGCTTGGGCTGTACCGGCGGCGCGGGTCGGCGCGATGGCACCCCGCCCGTGGAACCCCCGATTGAACTTGACGGCTTTAGACCCGTTCCGTTAGTTCCTTGGTTCGGTAGCCCAACAGGTTTCCGTGCAGCGGCTCCGAGGCCTGGTAGTTGATGACCTCCCATAGGGCCGCCAGTTTGAGCTCTCGACGGCAGCGGAGGTCGAAAGTCTTCATCCATAAGGCTGTGACTCAGCCCAGGGCTCGAACTGGGTGATGTTGTGGTCAAATGTGCCGGCTTCTTTGCCACTGGGGGCGCCGGCTTACCGCCCTTACTATTTTGCGAGAACTGAGAAACGTGCGAGGCTGCTGATGTTGGCCTTAGAGGGGGTGGCAGCGGCTGCGACTGAGTCTGAACTCTATTAAGACCAAATCCAGTGTTCGGTGCCATCCCTGACGTTCCTCGTCGGGGAGGCGGAGGTGGAGGCGGCGTCTCGACATGGCCCATGGGAGTCTGGTCATCCATAAGGTTGATACGTCCTACCTTGGCTGGCAATGATGATGGATCATACGGCGGAGGCAGCTTTCGAGGTTGAATACTCGAAGTCGACGCCATCGAGTTAGGCAAGCTGACCTTTTCAAACGGTGAGCTCGACATGCTGGATAGTGATGCTTTTGAAGACGACCTTGGGATAGAGATCCAGTCTGGTTCCTCCGTAAGACCAAATGGATTCGAGGGACGGTTGGGATTGAGTCCAACTGCCTGTCCGCTCCTAGGTTTGGGCACAGGCACTGCAGCGCGAGCAGGCTGTTTATTATCGAGCCACCATTTCTGGCGATCAGAGCTTGCAGGAGGCAGTCCAGGCTCGATAGAATCATACCCGATGAGATCTTCGTCATCGCTGTCCTCACCAGTCCCGAGATGAGCCGTTGCGTCTCCAACATCGGCCTTTCGACGTTGATACAATTCCTTGCTGATCGTTTCTCGCAATTGCTCGTCAACGATGCTTACTTTACACTCAAATGCAGCATGAACAGGTCGATGATCGGAGAACTTCAGGGGTGCCGAGTTATATAATAATTGTCTCAGGTTGGAACCTTTTCGAAGAATACGATCCGTCCATGCAGGAATGCGCGCCTTCTCACTAAATCTCAAGTCAGCATACATGCACTAATACGTGAATCACAGCTAACCACATACGATGTATCATAGTTGTCAGTCCCAATGTCGAACTTGTACGTGGGTGGAAATGTAATGCGAGCTTCAGAATAGAAAGGGAACGACAACCCAGCTACCATCTGAAGATTAAGCTGATCATTCTCATACAGCGTCTCAAAGTCACGTTTCTTGACAAGAGCGCGCGCAGTCTCCGAATTAAGACCAATACGATAGTTGAAGTCGCCCAACCAAATCACAGCGTCTATTGATGTCAGCATAACGGCATAATGGTAGAAGGGGCAGCAAGGACTCACCATGGTCATCAATACCACGATTTCTCTGGAAACGTAAGCCATGGTGAATTGTGGCGTAATCGCGGTTGCGTTCATCGTAGTTGGAAAATCCAGCGGCCAAATGTGCCGTGACGAAACATATGTGAGTGTTGGCGTAGTCGAATCGAATCGCCACCGCGCCCTTGTTTCCAGCCATGCCAGACATGCCCGTCTTTTTTACGCTGCCCTCGACGTTCTTAATGTTGGCTAGACTAGGCGTCTTGACAAAGATGCATAGTGCTGCTCCAACAAGCTGTCCACTTCGAAGCAACACATATCGCTCGCCGCCCAATCGCTTCTGCCGCTCGTTGAGATTGTACTTTACAGCTTGCTCCCAGAGATTCTTCCGTGACGGATCACTGTTCATGATCTGCTGAGGACTGAGCTCGACAATCTCCTGGAATCCAACCACAAAAATATCTGGCTGGGCATTACCCAGAGCTTCTGGGAACAACCAAGGCCCGAGATCATCTTCAACGCCTTCTGTACGCCCGTTGAGATTGAAAGTGCCAACCCATATGGTGATGCTGTTAAATGAAGTGAACTCACTACTCCTCTTGGCCAACTCTGATGACACAAAGTCGCTAATGGGATCAAACAGTAGCACCGGTGCTTGCCCAACAAGACGACCCAGAAGCATGTCAATAGTGATCTGGCGAGAAGGATCGAGAAAGTTGTTGTGGTAGATACGCTGTACGGACTTGCGTACATCAGCGACCGCTCCAGCGAGTGACATCTTGCCGTGGCGCGTGAAAGACGACTTGAGGGCACCCGTTCCAGCGTAAGTTTTGGACAAGGAATCACCATTATCTGCCCATAGACTGGAATGCCTCATCCAGAAATCGGACGCAGCGTATTCGCCACGGTGTCCTAGGAAAGCCTCAACCGCCATTTGCGAGATCATTGTCTGTATAAGGTTGGTTCGATCAAGACAGTCAAGACAGTTGGTTCGAAAAACACCCTCCTGCTGAAGCACGACCACCATACGCGTATGTCCAGCGTTATCCTGTTCATACCTGGGCTCGGTCGTCTCTTCAGCTAAGAAGTATGCAAAAGCATCGGTGGAATTCTCAATATAGCGACGAATATCCCGAGCAGCCTCGTATCCGGCGGGCCCCTTCGTCTCGGCGTGGAAATCATAATTTGTCTCTCGCAAGAGGGCATGATCCGAAGATCCACCCTGCTCTGCGTGACTCAAAGGACAATGCTTGATACCCTTATGGTAGAGGTTACTGAGCTCGACCTCACCCGGTTTAGTCTCACTAAGAAGGTTGATGACATGAACTGCTCCATAGGATTGCTCAAGCTCCTCGAAATGTTTGTTGAAGGCAGGTTGCGTGCCGTCGGGAGATCTGGTGACTGTGATCTTCTGGCGACCTGGAATCAGGTCGGCGGCCTGCTCCCAGAACACTGGAACCGATCCACGCACTTGAGCATACGAAAACATTGTTCCTGCTGGACTCCAGAAAGTGGTTTCAGTCTCAACAAAGTTAGCTACGTGTCCATCATCGTCGATACCTCGCGAATTGAAGCGAGTTCCAGCTCTGCGACAAGACAATCGAGATATGAGAGTCATAAATGAGGGCATCCCTGACTTGACATTCTTCAGGGGCGATGAGCTCAGCGGAATGGTCATTGTTTTACAAAAGCCACGAATTGCTGAAGTAAGTATGCGCGACGAATCAAGAGCTGCTCGTTCATTTGGCATAAGTCGAGAGCGAAACTGCACAAGAGGACTGATCATGAATGAGTTCCAGAGGAATCCATCGTCGAAGTTGTCAATCTCAAACGAGTTGGAGTTGATGGGTCTGTCGTTCGTTAGTAGGGGTTTGTTATAAGTGAGACGCTAACCAACCCACCTGTCTTGAAGTCGGTTCGTCAGATCGAAATCTGTACTGTAGTAAAAGGTTCCATTGCTGAGTAGGTTGCGCAGTTCATGGCAAGGATGCTCCATGGCCACCTCCCTTCGACCAAGGCCTTGACCGTAAGGCGCCGACTGCACCGATGCAGAATCTAAAAACTCGGGATCCAGCGATTCGAGGGGAACAACATCGTCGTAGTCTGCGCTACTCAAGCAATAGAATGCGACTCCGCCTATACGTTCCACGGTCTCGCCAGGCCGTAAGGTGGCAGCGCGCGTCGCATGTGTAATGATAGATAGGAAGACCTCGCTGTTGACCGTGATCAAGCCCAATGTTCCATAAATCGGTCGATGAGTTAGACGACGATAGTCTTGCAGTAGGTCTTTCGAAATAGGTGCGAATTCGACCATGCATTTTGATACTAGAGTCTCGCCGACGTTCCCGCGGGGTCTCGAAATCGTAGCTAAGGATGTAAGCGAGCCGTTCGCGATGGCTTCACTGGTGGATGAGGTGTATCGGAATATTAGAGTATGAGAGGACGACACGATGGCAATAGACCGGTGAGGATAGTCGCGTATATAGAGCTCGCATGACTTTTCGGGAGAGGGAGCCTGGGCAGACCAGGCTGCTGAAGGATGTTCCATTGTGTAGAGGATTATGTGACAGGACAGATAATTTCAGGGTTCAGCGTGTTGGAGATAGCGATTTTGGAAAGGGTTCAAAGCTTCGCTTGACCCATGATCGTATCAATGCATTTAAATTGAAGTCGTAGAAGAGAAAGAAAAAATTCTGGACGATTAAAGTTGGGCTTCGTAGGGTTTCAGCTGGTGCTTGGATGAAGATGAGGTTTGGGCATTGCATTAGACAAATGTCAGAGGTACCTATTGGATGGGATTGGACGCTCTGCGAATGACGTTTCTCAGCTGGCGGCTACTACAGTACAAGATACCCCTGGCTGGTAATAACTAAGCGGACGGACCCACCATTAGGTACCATCTTAGTACTACCTTCGCTTCTATATACAGATATACAGTGCAGTATTGGATGGTAAAGCATGGCCAATATCCATAAATAAGGCTTCATCTTAAATCAAACACAGCATTTTCAAAGACTTCTTCACAGATCTTCTGAGCCGATTGATAGCCTTGATACGGATTGCAACACCATGTTGACTTTGCAAGCCCGGCCCTATGACTCCTCTACGCAGGCGTGAGTTCATGGACACCCAAAATATAGGCATCTTCAGATGAAAGCTCAAATGGAAGCTCAAGCACATGTTCCTTCAGTTGTGTTCTCGACGAGATACAATTTCGGAGCATTGCGAAGGATAGGTAGAGATCGCAAAGAGACATCTTTGAGCACCTGCATTATGAAGCTGTTGAGCAATGCTTTTAGAAACTGCCGCTTTTCAGGCAGCCAAACCATACCCCAACCACAAACACTTCCAGTACAAGTCAATTTAACTAGATAAAATATATTGGTCGACAAGATTGACTGGTGGCGTAGATATAATTGTCGGGAGAAAATGCACAAACAGTCAACACGCTATAGATAGTATGGTATTGGGTATGACCGTGATATTCAACGAATGCCGCCGGATGAGATTTTGGGGTGTGAAAAACAAAGAGTAATAATTGAGCTTCAGATTCGAATTTGAGATCATGCTCTCTAAGAGAGAGCGTTCATTCTCTTCCTATCATATGTTTATGTGAGAATCATCATAAGCCCTTTTTAGGATACAGAAAAAAGAAAGATTCTCTGACCTCGCACCCGCTCTGAGAAAATATGTTCAAGCTCAGATTTGCGCTTAGTCAGCTCGAGAGCGGCGAATCGTTGGCCCGGAACTGATTGATCGAGACCCATGTAAGCTGCGGAGACTTGTTGGACAAGTACAGACCTGTTTGCATCACACCCCTGGCAGCACTAATCCATCATGGTTTCGCGCGACCTTGCTCAGGCACGTGCAGTCGAAGCTCTTTAAGTGACCAAGCGGCCAAGTACCTTGAAAAAAAGAGCTTGTCTGCAGCGCGAACTACCAGCCCCTGCCTTTCGCGACAGCCTTGAGCCTCAAGCGTCATCTCCTATCTGCAAACTTCTCAGCTTCACAATTACACCACAGAATTAAGTTACAGTTGTCTCTCTACCCTACCATCAATTTCACTACGCGACCGAGAAAAACGAAGAATCAGTTATCCAAAGCAATGAGCGACTTCGGCCACTTTGGCTCCGAGGAGGAGTACGCGACTGTGCGCAAGCACAATGCGGAGGTGGTATGTTTATATCTTGAGATAGCCCTCTCATGCTTCGAAATTTCATCTGACATCTCGTGAAACAATAGGAATCCGACCCCGACAACTTCGATCACTGGGAAAACCTCATCAAAGCCTGTGAGACACTGGAGGGTGGCTTGAACCGTAACTCAAGCCCCCAAGCATTAGCGACTTTCCGAGATGCCTACGACCGGCTTTTGACCAAGTTTCCCCTTTTCTTTGGCTACTGGAAGAAGTATGCGGATATGGAATTTAACATCGCCGGCCCTGAGTCTGCCGAGATGGTCAGTGATTCCTCTATAATTTCTGCGACATGGCTGACACCACAAATAGGTCTACGAGAGAGGATGTGCAAGCATCACCAATTCTGTCGACTTGTGGACGGATTACTGCTCCTTCAAGATGGAGACAACCCATGACCCACACCTCGTCAGAGAGTAAGTTCCATTTGGATGGTTTCCTTCCCCTTCCCTTAACATGCCTTCGGTGCAGTATTTCGCTTGACCAGAGTGGTCTCGGTCGACATATCCGCGAGGGCTCTACACTCTATTATCAAGGTGTCTGATGGTGAGATATGCCTGCGATAGCCCCTCAAGCTGGGATGCTCTCTCACGCTCTCTACCAGGCTCTGTTGATAATACCTCCGTGCTCGTTCTAAACTCCAGAGTCGTCCCTGCGTTACACGTCACCCGCTCGATAGAACATTATCTCGGTTTTGCTACTCATTCGCGCAACCATCTTCCCCTCTGTATTAATCCTCTCCACCCTTCCCCTGACTTATCCCTTCCGCACGCAGATCTCATGCTGACCTTCTGTTCTAGGCTCTTTGAACGAGGAGCAACCTTTGTTGGTCTCGACTTTTTGGCGCACCCTTTCTGGGATAAGTACATAGAGTACGAAGAGCGCCAGGAGGCACATGACAAGATCTATGCCATCCATGCGCGAATCATTCGCATACCGATGCACCAGTACGCACGATACTACGAGAGATTTCGCTCATTATCACACAATCAGCCGATCACCGAAGTGGTACCCGCCGAGGATCTTGCGAGATTCAGAGCAGAGGTTGAAAACGAAAATTTGGCTTTCGGAGGCGCCCCCAAGGCCGAGCTAGAGATCGAGCGCGACGTTCGTGCCAAGATTGACGCAATGTTCTATGAGATCTTCACGACAACACAAACCGAGGTATCGAAGCGCTGGACATATGAATCCGAGATCAAGCGACCTTACTTCCACGTTACCGCCTTGGAACACAAAGACTTGGCGAATTGGCGCAAGTACCTTGACTTTGAAGAGGCTGAAGGGGACTTTGCACGAATTGTTGCTTTATACGAGCGATGCCTTGTTACGTGCGCATACTATGACGATCTTTGGTTCCGATATGCCCGGTGGATGTCTGGCCAGGACGGAAAGGAGGAAGAGGTACGCAACATCTACGTACGCGCCTCCACAATGTTTGTGCCTGTCAGCCGACCAGGCATTAGAATGCAGTGGGCCTATTTTGAGGAGAGTGCTGGTAGAGTCGACGTCGCCCTCGATATCCACGAGTCGATTCTCCTGAGGCTACCTGACTGTGTCGAGGTTATTGTGTCATGGGCTAATGTTGAACGACGACAAAACGGAATCGATGCTGCTATCCAGGTGTACAAGAACCAAATCGACGCTCCCACAGTGGATCCCTATGCCAAAGCTGCCTTGGCGGCAGAATGGGCCCTTTTGGTTTGGAAAGCTAGAGGCTCTGCCGAAGAAGCTCGCGATGTATTCGCCAAAAATGTACAGTGGTGCGGTGACAGCAGCCTATTCTGGGACCGATGGTTCCGTTTCGAGCTGGAGCAGCCAACAAGTGCCAAGACTGAAGGCCAGCAAGGCGAGTTCATGAAGAAGGTATTTGACGAGCTCCGAGAACGAAGTCGACTTTCTGCACCGGTCAAAAAGGACCTGGCTCAGCTGTACCTCAACTATTTGGTCGAGCGGGGCGACAAGAATGCCATGAAGGTGTTCTTGCAAGTTGATAGGGAAGTCTTTGGGTATGTTGTCACCTTCCTTCGTACAAATAATCGTGCGCTAACCACTTATAGGCCAACGTCAGTAGCAAAGCTGTCAACGACAAATAGCAAGGACAACGACGTGGCAAGAGGAGAACTGGATGAAGCCAGCAAGCAGCGAGCTGAAGCTCGATATGTTCATTTCTACGAAGTCCATGGGGAGCCAGACTCTGATGCACAAGGCAATGCAGACTTCAACTGAGCATCATGGATACGCGATGGACTATGTTTTCGAAAAAAGTACTGCGACAACTGGGATCAATGAGGACTTAATAAACGAAGAAAACAGCGCCTCTGCAAAAGCGGCCGAATTGGATGTCGCAGGAGGATTGATGGGATTGCTTGTGGACACATTGCTGGACCAGTTCGATATGGGATTTGGCATTCTAATGGATAGAGACCGGCACTTACAGCCTGCAGCAGGTAATAGACGATATATATATCCAATATTGAAAATGAAGTTGTTGATAAGTGGGACGATCTCGTTCAGTACTATCAGTACTATGGCATGTAGATTGTCTAGATCTTGTGGAGTCTAGGATCCAAGACTTGCATTAGTGCTACTGAAGAAGCCATCGGTATCGCTTACTCAGTTCAAATGCAATTTTGTCTCCACCGGAGGATTGTCGGCGAGTGTTGCCCAACGGGATTCGGGATGTTTTGCCGTCTGATCGTGTTCCAAAACCTGGGGAAGCGAAGGCCCCTGTTGCCTCTGGCCTCAATTGATTATGAACAGAAATGGTCCAAATGGCACAATAGAGCAAAATCGTTATTATGTGAGATTTGTAAAGGTTGTTCAGCTCATTAAGGGTTCTGCAGCTATTCAGTCTAGTCAGTGCAAGTCTGTGAGACAATGTATGTAGTCGAAGTAGGTTGTAATTTGCTGATATGACGACAGATCACATGCTACAAGGCAAGCGATTTGGAATCTTAAAGCCCAGACCAAGCGGACCCCTGTTGTGTAGAAAAGATTCCATCTCGCTGTGGTCGTGTACCCGCTCGTGGCTACTAAGTATTTGAGGCGAGCGCTGGATGACAAATCTATTGTGGAAACGTCAGAATGGACTTCGACTATTGTTGTGTTCCAGAAGGGTCACAGGCAGAGTTTGATTAACATTTGAATCAAACCGAGATTGGGAACGGCTCCGACTTCTGTCTGAGCTGATGACTGATATGGTTCGAGTGAGAGGCGTTGAACAAGATACTACGAAGGTACGTAGCCTGGAATGGAGGGTTACTTCAGGGTCCTGGTGCATCAGAATTTTCCCGTCTCTTGGACACTCACACTCCAATTTCCACTAGCTGAGCTCTGATGGTTGGTCGCCTTGTGGTTCATAACCGAAAAGGGTCTCGCTTTCTTGTCTGACACATGGCAGCCGTTTTGACGACTTCTCATGAGCCTCTTTATCAAGCCATGGTCTCTATCAGAAGTGGGTAACAGGTGTAACACTTTAACGCTCCAAGCAACACCCCCTGTTGTTTCTTCTACAGGCCTCAGCATTAGTAACCTCTCAGAAGAAAGAGAATCTCCATTACGAAGAATCTCCACCGACTCCACAGAATCCATCCGAGCGTCATCCCCCACCTAGATGAAAAGTATTGGGGCCCCTGATACGGAATTGACCAATTGTTGAAGGCCAATTTCGAGACATGGTGCCGGTTCATGAAGCCGGTACCGCTCCGAGGCGAGAGGACCTGGGGAAATGATGTGAGGAATCATTGGGAATCTGGCCCACCAGGTGTCTGCACAGGTACAGATTCAGTGAGGGTCTGAAGGTTCATGCCAAAAGAAAGCGATTCTTTACATTCTCTTCCTTGGTCTTCGGAGCAAGAACGGAGTCGGGAAAGCCTAGACGGACCTAACAGTGAATGAAGGAATGTTTCCATTGGAAGCTTTGCCATCCATGTTCTGTAGCCTTCCATGAATCGCGTCTCGGCTGCCAGGTGAGTTTATCAGTCAGGGTCGGGGTTGCCTAACGGCCACTGACACGGCAGGTCCCCCGTCTTGCCCTCGGCTTCCCGCAGAGCTGAACCGACGCCATCCCTTCTTATAGGAAGGTACATTGCCGTTGGTCTCAGATTTCTCTTTCCTTCTTTCCTCCCCATTCTTTCTCGTCCATATAGTCTTAGCACTTTGCGATCTCATATTCAAGGTACGTTCAACTCTCCCACGTCGACTACAACCTCTCTCCCTTCGGCATCAACAATAAACAGAGTCATCTACAACCACTCTAATTCATTTTCGTGCCTCATACAGCCATCAACTTGATATTAACGTCTGCCTGTTATAGATGGCCTTCGCTACCCGACAGTTTGCCCGTGCGGCCACTCGAGCTACCCGCAGTGGCTTCGCTATTGCCCCCCGACAGGTTATCCGCCAGCAGGGTCGCCGTTATTACTCTTCCGAGCCCGCACAGAAGTCCTCTTCAGCTTGGATCTGGCTGACAGGTGCCGCTGTTGCTGGAGGTGCTGGCTACTACTTCTATGGCAACAGTGCTTCTTCCGCCACTCCCAAGGTCTTCAAGCCTAGCAAGGAAGATTACCAGAAGGTCTACAACGAGATTGCCGCTCGCCTGGAGGAGAAGGATGACTACGATGATGGCAGCTATGGCCCCGTTCTCCTCCGTCTCGCCTGGCACGCCAGTGGCACCTATGACAAGGAGACTGGTACCGGTGGCAGCAACGGAGCTACCATGCGATTCGCCCCTGAGGCTGACCACGGCGCCAACGCTGGTCTGGCTGCTGCCCGTAAATTCCTTGAGCCTGTGAAAGAGAAGAACCCCTGGATCACCTACTCTGATCTCTGGATTCTTGCTGGTGTTTGCGCTATCCAGGAGATGCTGGGTCCCGTCATTCCCTACCGACCTGGTCGTGCCGACCGTGATATCTCTGGCTGCACACCCGATGGTCGTCTCCCCGATGCTTCCAAGCGCCAGGATCACCTCCGAGGTATCTTCGGCCGCATGGGCTTCAACGACCAAGAGATTGTTGCCCTGTCTGGTGCTCACGCTCTTGGTCGATGCCACACCGACCGATCTGGATACGAAGGTCCCTGGACTTTCTCTCCTACTGTTATGACCAACGACTACTTCCGCCTTCTTGTCGAGGAGAAGTGGCAGTGGAAGAAGTGGAACGGTCCCGCTCAGTACGAGGACAAGTCTACCAAGTCCCTCATGATGCTGCCCAGTGATATTGCTCTGATCGAGGACAAGAAGTTCAAGCCTTGGGTCGAGAAGTACGCCAAGGACAACGATGCTTTCTTCAAGGACTTCTCCGATGTCGTCCTCCGACTATTCGAGCTCGGAGTTCCTTTCGCCCAGGGCACCGAGAACCAGCGATGGACTTTCAAGCCTACACACCAGGAATAAGTTGCAGACGAGTATCGGTAGAATTTGTGGAAATTGTATTTGATCATCACGTTGGTTGATGAACCGGGAGAGCGATATCCGGAGTTTTTGGTTGTGATTGGGAGCTGGCAGGGAATGCCAGCCTGTTTATAGACCATGTTATGGAATCTGACTGCATCAGCATGTCATTAGACTAAGATATCTATCTCGCATAGTAGAGACCAAAAGAATTTTCCTTTTACTCATCTCATCTTTCACTCTATTTTCCTAACAACGTGAGATTTTAATGAAACCACGGTACGGGCCGTCAATATAGCCAGCCCATGACGCTCCATGATGGCAGCTCGTCCAAGGGACCGGTGATCATTGGACTTGTTCCTGCGTCCTCCATAACGGCATTCGATCTTGGCTAAGTTTGTGCTATGAGATTAGTGCTGCTGAACTGAGTATCTGACCATATTTCGAAATTTGTTGTCTACGGCAGCATATAGATTAATGATTGTGTTTCGTATTTGTCAGTGTGGTCTCATGGCGTATAAGCAGTCGACGAGAGAAAGTTGTGGCATTTTGGTGTTCAATTATCTATAGTAAGAGTATATAATGAACAGCCTTCGTCGTTTGAGTATGGATCTTTGGTTAGACATACGAAATGGCAATAACGTTATCGGCCAGTATCGTTTATGAAAGGCTTGCCGTGGCAGCACCAGTTGTATTATTCAGCATTTGCCTTCACGGGGCAACTAGAACTGAACACAAATATCACCGGATATCATAGCCGAGCAGGCGATGAAAAATAGTTTCGGCGATGTTAGTAAGGAGGCACGTTTCTTCGCACGCCATTTTTCGCTTATCTGAGCGAATTTAAAGGTCGATACCGGAGGGATACCGGAAGGATACCGGAGAATTTTCAACTGATCATTACGTTGCATAGGGCGACTTAGCAGCTATATAGCAGTGTACAGCGGTTTACTTAAATGCATTTGTAACTCCTTCAGATACTGGGCAGAAATATCTTAAGCACCTACTGTTTCTCCTCTTGTTACGATTCCCGACTTGATTGGTGGATGCTTCGAAACTCGCGGAATTCCATACCCAGTCGCGCGATCCTGTATTAACCAGACCGACCCAGAAGCCTGAACTGTCACCTACCCATTCGACCTTAGTATAAATAGTTGCACCCCACAGTCTTCTCAATAAGGCAAACAGTCCAACTCTACCTACCTTACTCAACACTATCAACAGCAACCATGGGTAGTCAAATTCAAAACAAAGCAGCCTCCGGGGTGCCTTACTTCACCCCGGCCCAGGAACCTCCGGCCGGTACCCCGCTCAAGACGGATTCGGCGCCGACTCTGTTCAAGCCACTCCGTACACGAGGTGTTGAACTTCAGAACCGCTTTGTCGTTTCTCCTATGTGCACCTACTCAGCTCAGGATGGTCACTTAACAGACTTCCATCTTGTCCATCTCGGACAATTTGCCCTCCAAGGCGCTGGTCTTGTTTTCGTTGAGGCTACTGCTGTTGAGCCCCGTGGGCGTATCAGCCCTGAGGACTCGGGTCTTTGGGAAGACAGTCAGATTGTGCCTCTCAAGCGCATCACAGACTTCATCCACAGTCAGAACACCAAAGCTGCCATTCAGCTTGCACATGTAAGCTCAGCCCAGTGAACGAATTCGAGTTCTGTGCATGAGCTAACACATATTTCAGGCCGGCAGAAAGGCGAGCACAGTTGCGCCCTGGATCGGTGGCTCTGTGAACAAGGCACTTGCTACCAAGGATGTTGGAGGCTGGCCTGACGATATCGTTGCGCCCAGCGCCATTCCCTTTGCTGATGACTTTGGAACACCGCACGAGTTGACGACCGAGGAAATCAAGGCTCTTATCAAACAGTGGCAGGACTCTGCTGTGCGAGCGGTCAAGGCTGGTTTCGATGTCATTGAAATTCACGCCGCTCATGGCTACCTCCTCCATCAGTTTCTCTCGCCTCTCACCAACGTAAGTTGTCCTCAGTACTCACCCCTCAGGTGGATAACAGAAGAGATGTCCTCTAAGGTTTAGGCTACTAATAAAGTAGCCTAAACGCTTATCTAAACTGGCATAAGATGATTAAACTATTTCGTCTGTTATGCTTAGGACGGCCAATTCTTCTGACACCCTGCGGGCCCCGAAGGTTTCGGCGACTGACATGAACTACAGAAACGAACGGATCAGTATGGCGGAAGCTTTGAGAACCGCACTCGTCTGCTCTTTGAGATCACCGAAGCCATTCGTGCTGTTATCCCTGAGGAGCTCCCTCTCTGGGTACGCATCTCTGCTACTGAGTGGATGGAGTGGAACAACGAACCCTCATGGGATCTTGAGAGCAGCATCCGCCTTGCCAAGGAGCTTCCCGCATTGGGAGTTGATGTTCTCGACATCAGCAGCGGTGGAAACTTGAAGGCGCAAAAGATCAAAGTTCACCAAACGCTCCAGACAGACCTCGCAGGCCAGATCCGTGAGGCCCTAAGTACCGAGGGCAAGGAGCTTCTTATCGGAACCGTTGGTTACATCACTGACGGACCTTTTGCTCGGTCGCTTGTGGAGGAGAACGAGGACCCCAAGGCGGATCTTGTGCTTGCTGCTAGACAGTTCCTCAGGGAGCCAGACTTTGTTCTCAGTGCCGCTGACCAGTTGGATGTTGAAGTCAAGTGGCCTGTTCAGTATCAGCGAGCTACTCCAAAGAACCGTAAGCCACACAGCAAGTAAGCGATGAAGATTATGTCATATGAGGCGTTGGGGAAAAGGTAGATAGCATTACTATAAACACTATCTGGTTGATTCACCGAGCTCATTCACGAATATCAAAGATGAATGTAAACTCTTTCAAAAACTTCCTAATCAGACGTCCAAGAATAGGTACCAATCGATGTTACTGCTGTCTTGGCCTCGGACATGCTGTGCCATCGGTGAGTCTAAGATTGTAGACTCTGATGGTGGGGCCGTAGCGAAGGAACGTGGGGCCGATACATTGAATAAGCGGGATCATGTTTCGCCTCAATCCCTTTGGTGGCATGTTTCATACCAAGACTACGCATTCTAGCCATTGAACTGATATACATATGTTTATAAATCATGATTACGAGTTGAGTGGGAACAGTTTTACCTTGCAATGTGTCAAACTCGTAATGCTATAGTATCTCGAAGGATCCAGTCCTGAGTAAGATCCTAAGATAGAACATGATATCTTCATGACTAGCATTGGTCAGAACCCTTAGGAGCCGATGGCTCATATATGCGCCAACGATACAAAATATGGATTAATAATTCAAAACTACCTATCAATAAGCAGACACGGTATGTCACTTGAACCAGGTCCTGTGCCTCGGAAAGATAATTTTGTCTTTGAGCCCGACGAGGCTGGGCTGTGCAGATTCTCCGTCTCCAAGAGACGTGGCCTTTTTTTTCCTCCAACCCTGCTATGAGTTTATTGCCACATGCTCCTAGATAGAGCCTTCAAGTGTCAAGTCAGACCATGTTAGACTTCCAGGGAGAGCTAAATATCCCTCGAATATTTCGGAGCATCGAATCCCGTTTTGTTGCGGCTCAATTGGGCAACTATCTTTGCACTTCCCTAATCCGTCCCTTGATTTAGATTCAGATTCCAATGGATTCTACCAAACTGTGGAATTAAAAGCATTGATATCAATGCAAAGTCACGTATATACTTGGATAACCTAGTGTGTTTTGAATATGCTCCTCTCAATGGGTTCGAAAAACCTGTATCACCTGTTGGTTGAACATAATACTATCCGTCTCTTTCGTTTCCTATCAATGGATCAGAAACAGGCGGATGACGATCCCATAAATGCCCCTGGCTCCAAGGTCCCTACAGCCGCTTGGTGGCTCTAGCGCATCCTGTACGGCAGCTTCGACCAATGAAAAATGGTCTTAGACCACCACTACAGCCAGAAACGGACTAGTGACTGGTCCCCTCCGCCGCCGCTTATGAGGGGCCGTGCTGCCACAGCGCTGGGCTGCAGCTCCGGCGGTATGGAGCCAGGGAGCCCCACCTCAAGATCAACCTTCTCCTCTCACAGAAAAGGCGTAATAGTGCCACCTGCCACCAGGCAAAAGGGACACTTGTTCAATTGAAAGATGGACCCCCCGGACGTCTCCTCCACCTTTTCTAGGCGGGAGTTGGCTCCGGGCCCGGTGAACATGTAAACCAACCACTGGAACCTCTCGCCGCCCACTGAGCCGAGCGGGAACCACACTTTAACAGCAGGTACAATACAGTACAGCACTGTAGGTAAAGTAAGGTACACTGCACTGCCCGGGTGGATTGGATCTCTGTTACCTGTCCTCAAGCTCCAACTACAAAACTCTCCTCCATCTTCCCTCCACTCCAGACCTCCATTCTTCCTCCTCCTTCTTATCTTGTCTGCTTGTCTGTCCCAGCGAAGCTCTTTCTTTGTGATTTCTAGGATACCCTCATAACCAGACAGCCCATCATGCAACACAAGAAGATCGCTTGCAGCTTCATGGCTGCTCTGGCTGCCTATGCCTCTGCTGCCGACTCAGATGTCAAGCAGCTGACCAAGGACACATTTGACGAGTTCGTCAAGTCCAACAATCTCGTCCTTGCTGAGTGTAAGTCTTGATCAAGATCCCCTCTCTCGAGCCGTACAGCTACTGACAGAACCCCTCTACAGTCTTCGCTCCCTGGTGCGGTCACTGCAAGGCCCTCGCCCCCGAGTACGAGGAGGCTGCCACTACCCTCAAGGAGAAGAACATCAGACTCGCCAAGATCGACTGCACTGAGGAGTCCGACCTCTGCAAGGACCACGGCGTTGAGGGTTACCCCACCCTCAAGGTCTTCCGTGGCCTCGAGAACGTCACTCCCTACTCTGGCCAGCGCAAGGCTGCTGGGTAAGTTCATATTTGTTACGATCTGTCCAGATTTCAGCTAACACCAGTTCTTCAGTATCACCTCATACATGATCAAGCAGTCCCTCCCCGCTGTCTCCCTCCTCACAAAGGACACACTCGAGGAGTTCAAGACCGCCGACAAGGTCGTTGTCGTTGCCTACCTCAACGCCGATGACAAGAGCTCCAACGAGACCTTCTCCAAGCTTGCTGAGGGTCTCCGTGACACCTACCTCTTCGGTGGTGTCAACGACGCTGCCGTCGCTGAGGCTGAGGGCGTCAAGGCCCCCGCCCTGGTTGTCTACAAGGCGTTCGATGAGCGCAAGAACACTTTCACCGAGAAGTTCGAGGAGGACGCCATTTCCTCTTTCATCTCTACTGCCGCCACTCCTCTCATTGGCGAGGTCGGCCCTGAGACCTACGCCGGTTACATGTCTGCTGGTATCCCCCTTGCCTACATCTTCTCTGAGACCGAGGAGGAGCGCAAGGAGCTCGGAGATGCTCTTAAGCCCATCGCTGAGAAGTACAAGGGCAAGATCAACTTCGCTACCATTGACGCCAAGGCTTTCGGTGCCCACGCTGGTAACCTGAACCTCAAGACCGACAAGTTCCCCTCTTTCGCTATTCAGGAGGTTGTCAAGAACCAGAAGTTCCCCTTCGACCAGGAGAAGGAGATCACCCACGACAGCATTGCCAAGTTCGTTGAGGAGTTCGACGCTGGCAAGATCGAGCCCAGCATCAAGTCTGAGCCCATCCCCGAGACCCAGGAGGGTCCCGTCACCGTTGTTGTCGCCAAGAGCTACAACGACATTGTCCTCGACGACACCAGGGATGTCCTGATTGAGTTCTACGCTCCCTGGTGTGGTCACTGCAAGGCTCTTGCTCCCAAGTACGACGACCTTGCTTCTCAGTACGCCGCTTCTGAGTTCAAGGACAAGGTTGTCATCGCCAAGGTTGATGCTACCCTGAACGACGTCCCCGACGAGATCCAGGGCTTCCCTACCATCAAGCTCTACCCCGCCGGTGGCAAGGACGCCCCTGTCACTTACCAGGGCTCTCGCACCGTCGAGGATCTCGCCAACTTCGTTAAGGAGAACGGCAAGTACAACGCCGAGATCTCTGTCAAGGAGGAGGGTACCGAGGAGGCCGCCCCCGCCGCCAGTGAGGAGAAGAAGGAGAAGGCCGAGAAGGCTGCTGAGGAGGAGGATGCTCATGATGAGCTGTAAAGAATTGATGTCAAATTATTAGTATACAAAATGGGGTATAACTGATTTCAATGGCGCGGGTTTTGATGGTGCTAAGATTTAATCGCACCTCTAGGTTTTTAGTTCTCGCTACAATGGGACCCTTTCATGACTTAACTACTATCTTTGATGTCTTTTTCTTTGGTACAAGTGAACAGTGATTTGAAAGATGTATTTTTATACAGCTGCAAGATGTTTGACAACTGAGTCTTGCAGATGTGCCAACACCGTAGTACAGAATCATACAAATCCCTCTGAATGCTTTCATGCTAATAATTCCTCGTAGCCCAGATACTCAGGACGCACTGAGAGGCGTCATGATACCGTCGCTTCCACCGGGAGAGCTAGAAGCACGAATTTTGCCTCGCAACTCGACCTGTTTTATACACTTTTCGTGACTTGTGCCATCCTAATCCTTTATTTCTTTGACCTGGTCTCGAGGGCCTGGACGTGGTTGCTGAGACGGGTGATGGAAGCTTGAAGAGTCTGTGATAAGAGACATTATTAGCATTTGGCAATATCTTAAACGGTAGAGCAACCGAGAAGACCCAAGCTGATCAATTGCTCCGTCATGCTGGCTACGTACGTAAATGTCCTCAGTCAACAGGTCGTTGGCAGTCTTGTACTCTTTAAGAAGATAGCTGTAGGCGGCGCTGCCGGAGAGGAAGCTACCGAGGAGGAAACCGAAGAGTCTGGTCGCAAGGTTAGCGATCCCATCCTTTCTGAGATAACTTCTAGACCATAACATACCCTCCACGGAAAGCTCCCAAGGGTTTCCGGGCAGGAAGAGGCGAGGCATCGGCCATTCGTCGAGCAGAGGTGCTAAAGGTTCGGGTAGCGAGCGCGCGGCTGCTGGAAGAGATGATTCTTGAGGCCAGAGACATTGTTGCGATTTCGATGTTGCTGTCGCGCGGGCGTCAGAGGATTGGAGTTTGCGGTGTTTAGTTAGGTAGGTAGGTTACGTTACGTGATGGCGACGACGAACGACAGCGATAGGCGTCAGAGGCACGGGAGAGCTACAGTGGTATGGACAGTATCTGTAGGAGCTTGTCGGAGCCGGGCTCCATCGGAATATTCTGAGCTCGGCAGAGTCACAGTGCCCTGTGTTGCTGCACTCAGCTTTTCTGGTCCATGATTGGCTACGTCACGACATCCACTGGCCGAGAGGTAGGGTGGATTTCTTAGCGATATCGACAAACCCAGGTTGATGAAACTCCTACTCTGCCATTGCATGTTTCATTATTCTCCATGCTGTCAAGAATCACGCGACAATGAACAACTTCGGGGTCGTCGAGCTCGCCAGCGCAAAGACAACTTCGGCGCCAGGCTGGGCCTATGTCCCCGATAATACCATCAGTCGCTCGACAGCACCGACTAATAGGAAGCGCGCCAGAAATGCCCCTGGCCTTACATATAGCGATCTCACGGCTCGACAAGACAACAAGATTCGAAAAGAAGTCGAAGCCTTGGATAAAGATGGCGGCAAGGATAATACGATACCGTTACCGGTGAAGAGTGGAAGGGGTACGTTCAGTAGCTGTCCTGCTATTCCTCTGGTTCAGGTCTAACATCTGGCAGCGCAAGGGAAGCATACGCCCAACGTTCGCAAAATTCTGCAGTCGCAAAAGACGTTTGGAAATCATCTGGACGACTTTCTTGCCATGCAAGCTCTGGCCGAATCTAACCCTGCAGTTTCTCGTGCATCTGGCGCAAACAACAAGCGACCTTCTATCAGTCGAAAAGATACCCCGTCATCATCCAAACCACCACAAGACGAAGACACGACTATGACCGACGCGAATCTTCCACCTGTTCTACCCGAACCCTCGAGACCACCGCCAGCAACACATCCAGGCGACAATAACCCATTGCTCGTGTCGCGTGTGCCTGAAATGCCGTCAGACGAGGAACTGCGCAAGCTTCTTGCACATCCACCTCTCAACTACGGTGAAGCGACGGGTACTAGAGACACGAAATACCCCGTCAGATCTTTCTGCGAGGTCTGTGGATACTGGGGACGAGTACGCTGTATGAAGTGCGGAACCAGAGTTTGCGCACTGGATTGTTTAGAGGCGCATAAGGAAGAATGTGTCACCAGATACGGACTATGAGTAGTCTTGCATCTTGGTATTCCTTTGGTTTATGATATTGATATACGGTACGGCAAGGCGTTGTGGATTGTTTGCTTAGAAATTGGTCTGATACCCATGGATTTGAAATTATTCATCTTGAATGAGTCAAGTTTGCGACCTCGGAGTATCGATACTCTAACACGCCGCTTACTATGAGTCCTGTTGTTTGATGCACGGGCTTTCAGCGTGACTCTACAATTGGACTATTGATGCGTCTGTCGTGTGAGGAAGCTTCGTGGTATGGAGGTTTGGCTATGGCCTGGCCAGCGTATACAGTCGCGCAACGATAATGCTTAGGGTTAATCTGATAACAGCAGAAATATCCTTACTGAGTTGATACAGAAACTCAACAGCATTAAGTTAAGCCTGAAAAGCTTCTCGAAGTCAGGTTGCCCACATGTACCAAAATCTGATTAGTTCCCACTGCTGCGGGCAGAATTGAGCCCCTGCCAAAACCGACCAGTGACTCAAGTTTAACCCCACCTTCGCGTTTACTGCCCCTTGTGCCCCGCCATCGATAGTACAAGACCACTTTCAAGACTGCAACTCTCCCACCAAATCTTCAACACCAGTGTGAGCTTCTCAACATGTCGTCCGATCAAGCTGATGCCGCCAAGGCGGCCGAGGGTGCTACTGAGCAGAGCCTTCCTTCTCGTCCTGCCAAGCAGCCAAAGGAGAAGCAGCCCAAGGACAAGTCCGCCAAGGGTGGAAAGTCTGCTGGCCTTGAGGTTTGTGCCCCTCCCGTTGTCGCGATGCACTGCACAGCATCAGCCCGGCCCGGGGACTTCTAACACTTTTTATAGATGGCCGAGCCTCCGCAGTTCATCCAACACCGACTCGACATCTTCGACAAGATCAAGGCTCGCCAGGACGCCGAACTCGCTGGTGCGTGATGCAATTTGCCCCGCGCTTGCAAGCCCCGAACCGATCAAATCTAACAAGACAACAGCGAAACCCCGCGAGGAAATCGTCATCTCGCTCCCCAATGGAAAGGAGGAGAAGGGTACCTCATGGGAGACCACTCCCGGCGCCATTGCTAGGGGCATTTCCAAATCTCTCTTCGAGCGCACTGTCATCTCCCGAGTTGACGGTGAACTGTGGGATCTGACTCGACCTCTTGAGAAGAGCTGCAAGGTGGAATTCCTCGACTTTGACCACACTGAAGGAAAGAAGGTCTTCTGGCACTCGTCTGCTCATATTCTCGGAGAGGCCGCTGAGCGACGCTTTGGATGCTACCTTTGCAACGGTCCCCCTACTGAGGATCCTCCTGGATTCTACTACGACATGGCTAACATGGGAGAGTACGTCAGCCATTGTTGCCAAACTACAATCTTTGTACGCTGACACATTAATAGCCAAGTTGTTACTGAAGAGGACAAGAAGGCTTTGGAGCAATTGTCGAACGGAATTGTGAAGCAGAAACAGCCTTTCGAGCGTCTCGAGATGACCAAGGAGGAGCTTCTTGAGATGTTCGAGTACAGCGAGTACAAGAAGTACTTCATTCAACAGCGAGTTCCCGATGGCACCAAGAGCACTGTTTACCGATGTGGTCCCCTCATCGATTTGTGCCGAGGACCCCACGTCCCTACCACCGGCAACATCAAGGCCTTTTCCGTGCTCAAGGTATGTAACTGGAAACACTCTAAGTTGAATTATGACTGACATGCTATAGAACTCGGCTGCCTACTGGCTTGGTGACAGCAAGAACGAGTCTGTGCAGCGTATTGCTGGTGTCTCGTTCCCTGACAAGAAGGCTCTTGAAGAATACAAGCACTTCCTGGCTGAGGCTGCCAAGCGCAACCACCGAAAGATTGGACAAGACCAGAAGCTGTTCTTCTTCGACGAGGCTTCCCCCGGATCTGCTTTCTTCCTACCCCACGGTGTCCGCATCTATAATGCTTTGATGGACCTCATCAAGGGCGAGTACCAAAAACGAGACTTCGAAGAGGTTATGTCTCCCAACATGTACAAGGCAGACTTATGGAAGACATCTGGCCACTGGGGTCATTACGAGGAGAACATGTTCACATTCGAGGTCGAAAAGGAGAAGTTTGGCCTGAAACCCATGAACTGCCCCGGCCATTGCAAGATCTTCGCCCATTCCGACGTTACATATAAAGATCTGCCCTGGAGGATGGCAGACTTCGGAACTCTCCATAGGAATGAGTTCAGTGGAGCCCTGAGCGGTCTTACACGAGTTCGTCGTTTCCAACAAGACGATGCTCATATCTTCTGTACAGTTGATCAGGTACGTATCTTACCCTACAGCTATCCAGGAGGTTTTGCTGAACAAAACTGCAGATTCGAGAGGAAATCGAGTCTGCTTTCGACTTCTTGAGCAGTGTTTACGGAATTTTCGGCTTCACTTTCAAGCTCAAGCTTTCTACCCGACCCGAGAAGTACGTTGGTGATATCGCTACATGGGATGCCGCCGAGAAGAAACTTGAGGAAGCCCTCGAGTCGTTCGCCGAGAAGACCGGCGCTAAGTGGGAGTTCAACCCCGGTGATGGTGCTTTCTACGGTCCTAAGATCGATATCGCCTTGTTCGATGCGTTGAAGCGTGAGCACCAGTGCGGTACCATGCAGCTCGACTTCAACCTGCCTCGACGATTCAAGCTCCGATACGTTGCCAATAAGGGAGAGACGGGAGTCAGCGACGGCAGCAACCCCGAGGAAGAACTCCCTGCTGGATACGCACGCCCTGTCATGATTCACCGAGCCGTGCTGGGCAGCTTCGAGCGAATGTTTGGCATTCTGACCGAGCACTTTGGTGGAAAGTGGCCATTCTGGCTCAGTCCCCGACAGGTCTTGGTTGTGCCTGTTATGCCCGCTGCCAACGACTACGCCCAGGAGGTTCAGAAGATCTTCAAGGCCAAGGGATTGTACAGTGATGTGGACCTGAGCAGCAACACTTTCCAGAAGAAGATCCGCACTGGTCAATTGGAACAGTACAACTTCATTTTCGGTAAGTTTTGAGAGTATCAGTTTTATTGATGAAAACTAATCAAATCAAATAGTCGTCGGTGCTGAGGAGAAGGAGTCACGCACTCTCAACATCCGTAACCGAGATGACCAGGCCACCCAAGCAAAGGGTGAGCTGGTTGCTATCGATGATGCTCTCGAGAAGTTGGTGCAGCTCAAGACCACTCGAGGTCTTGTGAACAAGCTGTAAAGAGATGTGATAGGTTTTACGAGACAAAGACGGCGCGTAAGGCAGGAGGGTGAGGTTAAAAGCAGAGGAGGGTACATGAATTTACAACGAAATGAGACATGTTGGATGAGTGACGTGCGCGGGAACCAGCATAGTCGTGTAGAATCAAGACGGCAGTAAGTAGCGGTCAATCAAGGAAAGAAAAGCTCATGAAAGACACACGAATAAACGACTGTCAATGACTGGCTTCCGAGTCGTGAGATCAACTCAAGCTAGAGAACGGGGCTGAGCATGACAAGCAAGATCGGGGGTATCAAGAGCGGCAACATGCATTAGATGATGCCGGCCCGGCAAAGGACTTGCCTGAACTCGACTCGGTCAACGGGGGGTTTAAAATGGATGGAGACAAAGGCTATTTGGCTGCATCGTAATTGAGTCAATATTGTACCAAAGCCGAGACAGAGACAGGTGACAGATGTCAATATTAGGCTATGCAAGTTTGACGATCCACTACGACAACAATTCCAGCCTCGAGTCCAGAAGAGAAGAGGAAACAAGGCGAGAAAAGTACAGTATAGATGAAGAACGATCAATCAAGACCGAGGAATCGGAGATGATAGCCCCTGATTTGAGTCGCGGCGGCGCTTCTCTGTCTCGCTGTGTAACGTGAGAAGCTGAAAGTGAAAGTGAAAGTGAAAGTGAAAGTTATAGAAAATGTCAATGGACACAAGACCCTTGGGAACCACATTTCGGTGTGCGGATTAAATGCTGCTTTCTTTGGCTATGAACATGGGATGAGACGAAATGAGCTGCCAGAAGTTGCTTTTCTCGTGATTCGGCAAATGAGCAGCCTGCGGACAATATTTCCGAGTTTCACGGTGTGAAGGATAAGCTTGTCATAAATTCCAAGTCGAGTACAGTACATAAGATACTTGTTAGACCAACAACAACAATAACATGCGGTCGAGATAATATTGAGTCATGGGAAATGATATATCTATTCATTGACGCCAAGTTTGCTTATCCTCATTCTCATCACAGCAAACAAAAGAAGAATCCTGGAATGTGTTTGGTTTGGTTTGCTGATGCTAATAGCAAAGCCCAGAAAAGTGACAGAAGATTGTTGTCTACTGTAAGTGGAGGCCAACCCCCGTCTTATTCGCCGGCTAGAAATGACGCCTCAGATGATGTATCATTTCTGACAGGAAAAAGCAAGCAAGGCGAGACCGCGGAGGCGGCGAAGTGAGAAGGCGACAAAGAAAAAAAAGAGGTCGTGTGGGCTAAAATACGCAGAAGTGGACAAAAAACGAGGCCCTCTTAGGGTCGAGTCAAGGGAGAAGAGAATAATAGAGGCGGCGCGTCTAGACAGAGTCACGGGATAGGTTTATGATGTATCAACTTTACATAGGTACCTGGCAAGCCATCTAAGGAAAGAGTTGAAGAAGATTTAATTGAATACTGTAATACAAGATGGAGCGAGGTTCGGCCTGTCAATCAGATCTGTGAAGAGAGTTGAATCTAGTGATAGCAGATGAAACTTGGATCGTGATGGTTTATAGCAGGCATCCGTACTACCGGCTGTACCTAAAGTGTCTTGAGTGTCTAACAAGTAGTCTAAGCATTGACTGACCGAGTGGGTTTGGTGATAGATCACTGTTGCTAGTAAGAGGTACATAGTGGGGGTTTAAGTCAACAAGAGACATTTCTATCCATAGCGGTAGGAATCATGACTCCGATTACATACACTGACTGACTGGTCAACAGCACGAGTCAGTTGGTACTCTCTATTCCGTCTTTACCATTTTGATTTATCAAGCGTCAGAGTTGAGAAAAAGTGACAAACAGAGAGGACCCATTCTCAAAGAGACTTGAGCTGCACCTATAACCATGAGAGGTAAAGACTAGTCCACACGGACAATTAACTGCCTTGTTAGTCAGTGACCGGTCTGGCTCTGGCTCTGTCTCTCAACATCACTGATTGTGCTACGTCAAGCAATTCCTTTCCACTGTTGCGTTCCAGGTTCGTGGGATTGCAGTGGTGCATCCCGTGGGGGCCTTGTGGTTTGGTGGGTAGGACAAGAGATGAGACAAGGCCAATAAAATGATCCTGTCTAAAACCGGTCAGGCTGTGGCTGGGCTCTCTCATACCGTGACTTCTGTACCGGATGTAATACCAAGCAGCAATAAGCGAGGATATTGCATCTTATGAGGGCTGGTGACAAGCTGATACTGCAACGGTTTGCTTGCTAACATTAGTCTACAGTAGACTATCTCGCGAAGCTAAACCGAGCCAAGACAAGGCAACGTCGACAGATGACAGGTAAAATCTGGTGGATGTTCCGAAAGAGGGTGCCGTCTGTTGGTTTGAGACAAACACGGTCAGCTAAATTATGCAGCAGAAGGCCTCGTATTTCTATATCAATAACTGACTAAGTCGGGACGGAGACCGGTCAAGAAATAATTGCTGCACATTGTCTCAAACGGAAGGTGTTCCGATGTCTTCCATTTGTTGTCTTCCGTATAATTCTTAGTCTCCTCCATGAGTTAGTACTCTGTAAGTACATAGCCTATACTGCCGTTGCGATGTTGCAGGTTATTTTATCTTACCTCGTGGCAATAGGCAGGGATATCTTGAGATTCCTTGCACTTTATCTTTTCCTTCTCCCCCACCTGATGTCTCTGGCTGGTTGCACAGAACATCGTATGGGCTCTGTCACGGCCATTTCACTGTTTCACAAATGCTGTACAACAGCGGGGATCTCAAAGGGATCCAGGTTTGCGAGAAGATATGTCGGGCTGGGGTTACACAAAGAAGCAGGCTGTGGTTTGCCCATGTACAGTACAATCACGACAGGGTCGTGTTGTCTTCTATTGTTGTTATAGAGTCAGGTAACTGGGCAAGCCTGGCAAGGCAAGGCAAGGTAGGCCAAGGTAAGCAGGACTCTCCTGATGGGGATTCTGGGGCATATGGTTGGATCTGCAGGTCGCCCGGTGTGGATGATCGTTGCAGATGCGTTGTCGTACATTATTATTTTCTGATGGTCATGAGCCTCGGGTGCATGAAGTCATGAGAACTTTTGGTTATCAGATCGTGTAAGATATATTGAAAAGGCGTTATGCTAAGAGACCGAGACACTCCTCAGTCGACGAATGTTTGTTCCGAAAGACCTGCTCCCTTCATATCAGCACATCAACTCTGACCTTGGTCCCTGGATATCTGCATGTATCTCTCAATCGGGAATCTCTTTACTGGGATCTCGGGCAAAAGCGTCCAGGGATGACGATGGGCGGGGCAAGGCGTGAAAGTGAGCCGGGCCAGGGCAGGCGAGTCCTGTAGAGAAGACGAGAACGAATGGATACGGATATTCTGTGCATAAGCATAATGCATCCATGGCATGCCGCTATTTGGACATGTACAGTAGATGCCCATAGAATTGCATGCATGCTTTACTTACTGCCTGTACTGTAGATAGGCTATCAATCAAAAACAAAGACAGGGGCTTCGGAGTTGAGCTTGATTTGATATCACCAAATATCAACAGGCATAGCAATTTCTGTATCCGTACCTGATATCCATTCCTACTAGGTGCCTACAGAAGTAAGGTAGGTGCTCCTTGATCTGGTGCCGCGCGCCAACCCGAACCCGCACACCCGCTCCTGCCGTTCAGATCGACCCCATCACTAGCGCCCGTCTAGGGGGGGAAGGCCCAAAGAAGACACGGCCTTTGTTCTTTCCGTTATTGCTGATGGATGGCTATTGTCAAGAACTCGACCGAATCTGTTATTATCATATAACTGCTTATCTATTGTATATTCCTTCATATCGTCAGTCTGAAATGACCTTTCTACGGAGAAAAAGAAATTAATGCACAGATAGGTAATTAACTATCTGTCTATGTAAGGGTATTTTCGGTTGTCGAAACCCAAAAACCACCTGTCTCCAGTATTCATCCTGGTCTCCGTAGGACTTACCCACGCCCATGGATCCTTCCTTCCCACGCTCCGCTCCATACCGGCACTCCACCGGGATGACCACCTGCTTTGTAACTTCTCAGCTTCTGCACTGCACTCACTCCTGCCGCTGTAGTGTACAGTTTCTTGCCATCATCACAGCTTGTAAAGAGGCGGCGCCATTGGCTTCAGCTGATGTTTTGTCCACAACTCGACCATCAATGGCGAAAGGCTGAAACAAGGCACATCGAATATCCTATCTAGGTACTGTATCCGTACACTCTTTCTTGTTCTCTCAACTTACAATAGCCGCGGCGATTCCCGGAGTCGATCCCTCCGTACCTACCTAGCTTACCTGACCTACCTAAATGCGGGCAGCCTTTTTAGGTGTTTCTCCTGCTGGGACTGCACTGCACTTTATTGTGGCTACGGGCTAGGTACCGTGTTAGCTCAACTAAGTTATTAGCTCGCCCTCTCTTAACTTTTAGTAGGCCCACGCGCTGTCGAGTTTCATCATCTATCATGTCGACCTCGGGTTTCTCATATTCGACAAAACTATACCGCATTCCTCCCTCCGCTTGTTTGCTCCTCCTCACTCACTCCGAACACATCGCATGACAGTCTGACACTCTGACTTGACTCTGCTTCGCCGCAACCTAACCGACCCTTGCTTCAGGCCTTCTTCTTTGCTGCTTCCAACATTGCATTCCCATTATAGGTACCCCATATGCCCGGGCTGTTGGCTGCACCCTTGCTGGCATTACGTCTCGATATGCTGTATGAATATCGGTAGTAGGCATCACAACTAGCGGACAAAGTACATAACCTCCAAACCACCCGGTATTATACATCGCGCATAATTTTGACACGATCGATACCCGCTCCTCGGCCTCATCTGCCAACCGTTGACGCCAACGACAGACAGTTTGACGCGCTATCTTTGTCTAGTCTAATTCACTGCAGTCCACCTCGATCTGCAGCCCATCTTTGACTGTCTCTACTGTCGCCGCTCTAGCCTGGAGCGCCCCCTCCCTCCATCTTCCATCGTCTTGAAATCAGAGACAACTGTCTCGCTATTAAAAAGCAACAACTGCCAATCTGCTAGACCGCCAACACGCCTCTAGCACGCGAGCGAATCCAAGCCTCTCTGGCCTCCTCAGCCCCCCTTTTGGATCTTGACCATACCGTATGCAGAAGCCTTCTGCCACTCATCCAAGGGCTATCCCACTATAGAAAAACATCAGCTTTCCCCTACGCTCCATCGTCGAGCTGGTCCTTGGTCTCACGATGCGCCGAGCCGCCCTTAACAAGTCCAAGAACCGCTCACTCGACATTCCTCCGCCAGCTGCAGATTCAACGTCACCCATTATTGATCCGTCTGTGAACCTCGTCGAGGCTCTTCGGTGGGATGAGGCTTTCCAGACCGATCATTCCCAATCCATCAATATCGTCACTGTCATCGACAACGCCCCTCACGATTTCGAGACATATTCACAGACTCACACGGGCCAGTCCCAGTATAATTCTGCTCCCATCTCCACTCCCGAGCAGTCTTATGTCCTTCCCGAGCCTGTGATCGATTCGCCCATGACAGATGCGCTCTCTGAGGAAGTCGACTCCGTTGCCGCTATCGCCGCCACCAATGCGACTTGCTTCGCTGTAGGAACCACCGATTCTACTTTTACAAGCTCTGGCTTCATACATCAGGAAAACTACACCCAATACACGTCAAATACGTATATCAATGTCTACAACTCCGAATCAGAAACCCCCGAGCCTGATTCCAATTCCGATCCCGACCTAGACCAGGACCAGAATCAAGACGAAGACACCGACGTCGACTCAGAAGCTTCCATTAATGCTCCCCAGCTTGAAGATCCTGGGACATCATCTGCACTTTTCGATCTACATTCTGGCTACGTTCCCCAATACCAGAACGTCGACTATGACCTTGAGATGAGCGACAGCGAAGGAGGCGCCCCTTTGAACGACGACAATTTCAGCGAACCTGAGAACCCATCGCATCACCATCATACTCTACTTGAAGAGGACAATGACGGGACAGCCCCCGTCACAGGCCCAATTAACTATCTATCGCAATCTCTCATACCATCCACCGTAGCCGATCCCGGTTTAATCATGGATGCCGTTCCACCACCGGCGCCATGGGACATCGTACCTGGCGACAACGCGGCCGAGCCGCCTCAAACTCAAACTCCTGAACCGATGACTCCTATCGGTCTTCCGTTTATCAGCAATCCCAACCCGTCTATGTTTGGGTCTGAAAACCTGGGCTTGGTTGATTTCCTGAGGCACTGGGCATATCAGGCTCGGTTTGCTTCTTCATCACTTGCGCCACGACTAAACGCGCCTTGTCCAGAAGACATTCGTCGACAAGCACGCGAAAATCCTCGTGAGATTGGTTACGACGACCTTCTTGGCGATCGCTGTGATATGCAGGGCTTGGATTGGGAGTCCATGAACACCACTCGGAGGTATGCACGCCAAAGACGCAATGATACTTTCAAGAATTATGTCAACAAGGAGGGCTCAGACAGATGGAGCGTAAGTAACCTACTTCCCTACGTTTTCTCAACTTCAAAAGCTAACCTGCTTAGCCTCATATGGTTGATGTTGATATCCCCCCTTCTGAGAGTTTTATGAGATTCAAGAGATACACCATCCGTCAGGATGTCTATCTTGCTCATTTTCAGCTTCGCAGTGTCTTGGCTTGTCCATCGATGTCACAAGTCTACTACCCTCGGGGCGATGGAGTCAACCGTATCAATCTCGCTTCTGGACAGACAGAACTTGCCCTCCACAATAATCACATAACTGGCCTCGGAGCTCTTGTTTCTACCCTCGATGCGAACCACGGGGCATTGTTTGCGGGGACATTCAACGGCGAATACTACCTGAAAAGCTTAGAGTCTGACGACAAGAAAGACTACTCTGAAGGGACTATCACCGAACACATGGGCGGTATCACCAATCATGTTCAGATCTACAAGCCTCGGCAATCTTCTGGGCCCGTAGCCGCCATCTCAAGCAACGACCATGGATTCCGTCTTTTGGATCTAAATACAGAGCAATTCGTGATGCAGAGCAGGTATCGGTTCCCGCTCAACTGCTCACGCATCTCCCCGGACGGCCGTTTGAGAGTAATGGTTGGGGACGATTTCAAAGTCCTCATTACTGATGCTGATACTGGCGAGATCCAGCAGGAGCTGTCTGGACATCGTGATTACGGGTTTGCCTGCGACTGGTCTGACGATGGCTGGACAGTTGCTACCGGTTTTCAGGACAAGGGTGTCAAGATTTGGGATGCTCGCCGTTGGTGCGATTCGAGGGGAGTGAGCACGCCTTTGTGCACCATCAGGTCTGAGATGGCTGGAGTGAGAAATTTGCGTTTCTCCCCAGTTGGCAGCGGCGAAAGAGTCCTTGTCGCTGCTGAGGAGGCTGATTATGTCAACATCATCAATGCCCAAACGTTTGGAAAGAAGCAGACCGTGGACATCTTTGGTGAGATCGGTGGCGTTGCGTTCACGAACGATGGGCAAGATCTCAACGTGCTTGTGAGCGACCGAGATCGCGGTGGTCTACTCCAGCTCGAACGATCGGGCCTCGGACCTGAACCTTACTTCCGCAATTCGTGGCGCCGTTATCATGACCATGCGACAGATCAATGGCGCTATCGAAGCGATGAATACTCACATCTTGGTGAACCCTGCCAACGCAGACCTATATCAACAGACGCTTTGCCCATCTTCTGAAGCGTCGTATCTCCCTTTTCTTCTCTCCTCATCTTCAAATCCGGAGCATTCATCCATGGTTCAGATTTTATCATTATATTCACTGCGTCTTGGTGGTCACTCCCATCTTTCTGTGGCAGTCTTCTATTATTATTATACCCCTTTTGTTATGACTTCATCCATTTCTTGCATGCCACTTATATATATGCAATGATGGTTCGCTTAAGGGGACAAGCAATATCACCCCTCAGCTACGAGGCTGCTTGTTATGCTATTGTTTAGCGGTTTTCTTTGTTTTATTTGTTACATTCAATTGGGGCTAGCGGTACTGCTGGTTATTCTGAGACTATATTAGATATAAGTACGAGGATGAGGAATTTGCTCTCTTTTTCTTTCAACAACATGCATACTATAGATTTGGTCTTGGGGTTCATTGCATGGCTTGGTATGGAAAATTTGGATATATGGACGGGATAGGAATGTCATGGACAACAGATTACAGTTAAACATCCTACAGTTTGGAGAATAGAAGTGTTAAGAACCCATACGAATCTCATCGCCAGCTTGACCAATGTGATTTGAAATGTCATATTCCGAATATTCATGACCAACGTTATCTTAGTCTCAATTATCCAATGCGCCTCACACGCTCAGATCTGAGACATTCGTAAAGAACCCGGTGATGGCTGAGTACCGATCAGCACAAGCTCCGAGACATGAGGGTTTCATCGTCATTCCAAATATGCCATGTCCCGTCGACTACCTGACCGCCAGAATGCGAGGGAACTTCTCTCTGGTATTCAATTCGCCTTTCCCTGCAATGTATACTGCTACTGCTGTTCAAGGCTCGAGATGCTAAAGATGCAGTATAGTAGATGCAATATGAGACGGCCAACAACACAATCGAATTCCCGGCTCTTGATTCATACCTCACATCTATCAGATCAGCGATGTGCTACTAATGCGTCCCTCCCTACCTGTTCAGCTGTGACGACACATCACCGTGTCCGGCCTCCCTTCCTTTCCAAAGGTTCAGATATGTCATCAAGTAACTTTATCGCCAAGCCTTACCATCGTCCCGATTAGAAGCCCCGAGTGATTGGAAAGTGGGCTGACGGTATGTCTCACCTATATATGCACACGCCGCTGATTTCCAGGCGCCTTCGTACATCCACATAGTACACAGATCTCATGCAGGCAGTTACTGCCACCATGACTGTTGTTTACTGATCAGTTCGAGCGGGAGTTGAGATTCTGAAGGTCATGATTTCTTCAAGTTGATATATTTTAAGACAGGCAGATTTAGAAGAGACTAATGAATTAAAGTATTATGAAGCAGGTCAAAAAATGACGGCCCAGCTATAGTATATTTCATACATAGAGATCATCTCCCCAAAAAGGCAATCGCTTTCCCTTCGCTCAAGAGCCGTGAAGACGCATATACCGTAGTGTTACACATAACACCCTTAGAATAGTGACAAAGTAACTAAAATTCGTATACCAAGTGAACAAAGATTTAAATATGTTTCATCAATGTCGTCCTCAACAACCCGGCCTTATCCAGTTTTGGTTGGTCATGATGCTTGCGATAGCGCAAAATTGCATATTGCAGGATATCGTGGATGATAGAATGTGTCACTAGATGAAGGCGAGAGGAACATCGTTGCGAAGAAGTGAACGGTCGGGCGCTATTGGTCATGGATTGATTATATACAACAGTTCAACATATTCCAAAGGTTGAATCGTACAAAGGACGCTTGAGTATGCCATAATCAAAACAGAAAATCCTTCAGAGTGGCTTAGTAACCACCGATGAAGGAAGACTTGCAACCCCAGCTGCGCTCACAGTTGCAGTCACCGGGCTCCTTCCAGAGGTCATCCTCGTAGGAGAAGAAGACGGTCTTCTCACCACAGGTCTTGCGGATGGACTTGATGGCCTCGGCCTGTTCCTTCTTACCGGGGCAAGCAGAGCCGTTGCACTCACCAGCAGAGGGCCAGCCGCACTCCAGGTTGATGACATCGTTACCCTTGCAGATACCGCTGAGAAGGTCGAGCTGGCCCTGAACAAACTCACCAGCGCTGGAGGGGGTGACCTCGGCGTTGAAGTAAGGGTGGATGTTGGCACCAGTGACATCAACAACACCACAGATGGCGCCCTTGACGTCCTCTCGCTGCCAGATGTTGAGGGTCTCGGCGATGGTGTAAGGACCGTTGTAACCAGAGCACTTCTCCTTGACGACAGTGATGAGGTCGGCGAGCTCCTTGGGAGAGCAGAAGTTGTTCATGATGGCCTCGTTACCGACGGTGAAGAGCTTGACCTGATCCCACTGGGCCCACTCGGCGAGGGCATCGACCTGCTCCTTGATCTCGGGGGTCTCGTAGGTGCAGCCAGAGGCCTTGACGAAGACACCGACGATCATGTCAATGCCGTACTTCTTGCAAGCAGGGGCGACGGTCTTGAGGGTATCGCAGTCGGTAGAGTAGGATCGGATGATCTGGAAACCAGCCTCCTTGAGGGCAGCGATATCCTTGTCAACCTGGTCGCCAGCCTTGCACTTGCCGGTGGATGACTCGTAAGGAGTGTAGGTGATACCGTAGTGGTCGTTTCCGCCCTTCAGGTTACCGGGGTTGGAAGGCTTAGGCTTGGGCTTAGGGGCCTCGGAGGGCTTCTCGACAGCAGGCTTGGTGGAGGCAGGAGCTTCAGGAGCGGAGTAGACGGGCTTGGTCTCCTTGGTAGGCTCAGGCTTGGGAGCCTCGGGGACCTGGCTAGGAACCTCGTAGGTAGGAGCAGTAGGCTTCTCTTCCTTAGGGGGCTCGGGCTTAGGCTCGGGAGCTTCGTAGACGGGCTTGGTTTCCTTGGGAGGCTGGGGCTTGTGAGCCTCAGGAGCCTTGGTGGTGGCAGGAACCTCGGTAGTGGCGGGAACACCGGACTCAGAGTAGGGGCAGACGTAGACGAAGTCGGTCTCAGTGACGGTGACAACCTGCTCGGGAGCAGTGTAGGTACCAGGGACGTAGCTGGTAGGGACGGGGTAGACGATGACAGTCTCCTCCTCGCAGGTCTTGGTGATAGGAGCAATGGTGTAAGTACCAGCGGAGGGGCAGACGTAGGTGGTGGTCTCAATGACGCTGGTAACGACGCCGTCGTGCTCGGTCTCCTTGGCGTAAGGGCAGGTGACAGTGGTAGCAGTCTCAACAATGGTGGTGACACCGCCCATGGTGTGAGTTCCAGCAGGAACCTTGGTGGTCTCGCCAACGCAAACGGTGGTAGACTCGGTCACAGTCATGGTGGTAGCGGGGAAGGTGTAAGTGCCGGGAGTAGGGCACTTGTACTCCTCAGGGGTCGGGATGGGAACAACGACCTTGGTGGTGGTGGGAGCAACAGGCTCGGGAGCCTTGGTGGTAGGAGCCTCATAAGCGGTGGTAGGCTTGGGCTTAGCAGCCTCCTGGGTAGTGATGGCCTGCTTGGTGGGCTTGGGAGGCGAAGGAGGGTTGGGGACAACTGGATCAGTCAGTATGTCTGTGTCATGGTACAGAGATATTCAGATACTTACGAGTAGGCTCGCCATAGTAAGTGGTCCAGATGGTGGTGCAGCTGGGAACGCAGACCTCTCCACCACGACGGAACAGCTCATGAGCACGTCGGTGGTGAGGCAGGGCAGCCTGGGCGCCAGTGGCCATGGCCGCAACGGCAGCGGCGGCAATTCCTCCCTTCATATTGAAAACAAGGGACGAAATTCAAATAAGTACTTAAAACAAGTTGATTTGTAGTTGGTCAAGAAAACGAATGCCCGCTAAAAGAGTGAAGCGGTAATGAGGATATACGGAAAACGAGGGGACGAAAGCGAAAATTAACTTAACAAGGTGCTCTCTAGATTCGCGAAGGACAGAACCGTGAGGGAAGAAGAAAATCAGAGGCAAGAGCAGGAAAAGAGCGGCGTATTAAAGGAAGATCATTTATGGTCTCTCTATTTGCGACCTGGTCTACTGGGCCTTGGCTTGCAGTGCCCAGATGGCCATCGCATTAACACAAGATGACCTAACCGAGAAAAGTGGTTTTGAAGGTACCTGAGACGATGCAAGATATCGGCGTCAAACGCCAAAACTCAGGTACCCGTCTGGCCCCATGTCCATGTGCCCTGTCTGTGCCTCATGAAATGAGCTGGGGTTGTCAGTCGCCCAGTCCCGAAAGTGGACGACCGTTGGTGCAATGCCGAACATCATTACCATGACAGTTCAAGAACCCCCCAGTATTAAGGCCGGGGTTTCTGGACGAAAAGGAGGACGGTGTGGAGCACGGGGCACGATGCAATCTCGTGGTTTCGACCGGCTCCAGGGGCATTTGCTCACGTTGTCGATGCCATCAAATAACAAGACTGGACTCGTTGGGGAGCTGAATGGGGCCCAGGCCAATCATGTACTGATTGAGGTTACCTCTACTTAGGGGACCTGTTGTGAAGCGATATTATCTCGAGGATGAGGCTTCTTTGTCCGCTGGTTGGTCACTTGATTGCAGCCAAAGGGCTTGAGATGAGGAAACTCGAGGATGGAGATTCGGAAATACTGATCTTTGTCTCTAGCATCTCTTTTAGCAGTTGTTCCTTGTGCTGTAGTGACCGCTTTGACTTTGCAGATTATAAGTCAGTGTCATATATATAATGATCCTCATATAAATCATCGCTTTAGGGTCTCACAATCCCTTGGAATCAGTCGGTTCGTCGGCGAGTGGGGTCAAGACATTCATCCATTGTTCCTGTTCCGTTCTTGTTCCTGCATCTGCCAAAGTCCTGGCGGCCCCAATTTGCTTTTAGCGGGGGTGGCTTCACTTGGGTCTTGGGAGAAACCCATCCAATCCAGGGGCTCTTAGTGACGTGCAGCGACTTTTGCCCACCAGTTTTGGGTTAATTAGCGACCATGTCATATCAAATCGGTGATGGGACCATCAGACTATCAGTCAGGTCAATCTGGCGTTCGCAAGCCACCCCCAAAGTACTCTGTACAACACAGACAATGTCTTGCGGGGAATTAAATCAATAGTTTAGCTGGCAAAGCTGGGGCAAAAGCTTGTCGGTCGGTCTGGTCTTTGCGCTGCGCCGAAACAACCTAAGCCTAGGCCTAATGTCGTGTAGTATGATAACATGATCCTTGAATCCCAATCTTAGATTGCGTTCGTATTTATCGTCACATCGCATGGTGTTCTCGACTTTCCAGAAGTTCTCGCAGGAGGATAAGAAGCAGGCCTGCCTGTATCTGTATCCATCGGTTCTTTAAGCGATAAATGTTTTTCTTATCCTGTCCTCGCCTATTGACTCCTTTTGCTGCCCGCTCTTTGGTGTGAAACTGTAGACCAATAGGCAGGCAAGCAAGCGGCTCGGAGAGGGGGATTGCCAGTGTCGATCCTGTCGGAATCATCTCGTTGGTAAATGAAAAGAAATCTCACGCGCCTCTTGGCTCTCGGCGGTCAGAACACCTTTTCCGATTAGAGAAGGTCTTGATTCGATACTCTCCTTAAAAGGGGATTACTGGCCGACAGCTAAGTTAGTCAACCCATGATTGTACTCGTCGCTTATTTACCTCGACAAACAGTTCTAGAGTAGCTGACAGTCAACCCCCTTTCGCTATGCTGTTGTTGGCTTAGTCGACAAAAAATGCATCAAAGGGCGAGAGATGAAGGTTGCACAATTAATTTCGATCACGATGGTTGTACTTGACAGTCGAGGAATATTCACTGTAAACAACGTGTTGGTATAGGTAAAGACTGTAGAATGCATGACTGGTTGACTTCAATTAAAGTGGAAAGAACTGTGTCATGTGACATCGCGACTATGGAAATCGCCAACACGGCAATGGCAAAATTTTCAGCCTCGCGCGTCGACCTCGAAGAATTTGAAGGGGGCGACTCTCTTCAAAAAGTCTTGATTAAAACATCGTAAAAAATGTTGAGGTCGTCAAGTCGGTCTTATGTTTGCTGGAGATGCCTTTCTCACGGCCGTAATGGCTTGCGGTCATCGCTTGCTTCGTCTGTACAGTCTCTGAGTAGGCATCAAGTTTGTTACCCTAAATGTCACTTTGAAATATCATTTTTCTAACAATATCCTAGTACTCAACTGAAAAGAAGCCTCAAAATGCATTCGGTCAACAGAACATCCCTACGTCTTTGCCTCAGCCGTCAGCTGCTCGAGATAAGAGGCCGATTCGACAGAGACTACGGGAGTGGACTGCTAACAATGATCCTGAGAGAGAGATAACTCACATTATGCCAGATGTTTCATTCTGGTCACATGTAACCAACAGCGTCACTCGTCCTCAATCTACTGGATCCTCAGAGTTGGACAACTTCAAGGCGGAATCAGTAGGCATGGTTGATGGTATCGAGACCATCACTGATGATGATGCAGAAGTTTCCCCTGTTGGGCAGAAGAGCCAGTCACCTGGCGATCTTGTTGAAATGAAACAGCCTGGCTCAAGAACACCTCTATTCGGCATATACCTGGGTCAATTCGGCAATAGGCACCACTTCTATACAAACTCAGGCCGCTGGGTTATCAGTCTGGGCTTCTCTGCCATCTTCTCTGTCTCCAACTTCGTCTCCGCAAAAGAGCTGAAACCCATCCTTGAATTAATACCTGCGAATGCCACTGCTGATCAGTATGAAGAGTGGCGCGACCAAGAAAAGGGTCCTGGTCGAGACATCGGTGCCCATTTGATCACCAAGATGAAGAAGTTCATCTGGGAAGCAGATAAGGCCTACCAGGCCAGTCTCAACAATCTAGACAGAGCTAGGTCTTTGGTATCGGACGGGAAGACCACCAAATATCTCAGCTTGTTTGAGTTGGCAGACTTGTTGCTGCCCGCATCTCTCAAAAAGGATGGAATATTTCCTCCTCCTGTGCTATACGCTGTTCACACTGCTCTCTTGCGGAACGACTTTGTCTTCCGACCAGTGAGCCCCTCTGCCGACATTCATCGAAGAGACCACCTCTTCGAGATCTTCCCCTACCAAGACTTCATGATGATCAATCGTGTAACTCTTATGATCCGGGAGTACGTTCACTTCCTAGGAAAGACGGGGGGCAAGATGTCGCAAGAAGACCTGGCACAGACGCCTCTTGGCGCATTCATCCTGAAAGCACGAGAGATTGTTCTTGCCAATCGAGAGAAACGCTCGTGGACGCCCCATGGTATCCTCGCCCCTACATCAGGAGTGACCATCAAGACATCAGACTGGTCCAGGAAGCATGCTGAGTTCATTCGCTTTCTGGAATGGTGGGCTAGCTACCATCTCTTCGAGGACTCTTCTCACTTTCACGCAGATGGCTCTCTTCTGCTACGAGCACTAGATCTATATGAGGATACCAGACTAGATCAGGCTTGCGCCTGGACATTCCTGCAGGAGCTGGGCATAATCCCTCCATGGGAGATCCCTTCACGATACAAGGTCCGTTTCCCTGAAGTCAAGATACAGAGCGGAGGTGGTCTCATTCGAGAACCCATCACCAGTCTCGAGGATTCAATTCGGCCAGACATCGCAGAGGGTGCCAGGAGAGACTGGGCCGATGACACTATTTTCTGCATTGATGCCCCTGAGACTATGCTTATCGATGATGGCATCTCTCTGGAACGCACAGAGAAGCCTGACGAATTCTGGATCCATATACATGCAGCCGACCCAGCGTCAGGAATCAAACCAAACTCTGAGTTGGGTCGGTTCTTGGAACTTATCCCCCAGAACATCTATCTTCCTGGTCACTTCCAAGCTATGCTTCCCCGTCAAGCTGAGCTGGATAACTCCGGAGACTACAAGTCAGAGAGCTTGGCCGATCAATATTCTCTTGCCCAAGGCAGACCCACTCTCACTTTCAGTGCCAAGATCAACGAGAACGGAGATTTGCTCGATTATAAGATCGAGCCAGGTACTGTGCAAATTGTCAAATACTTGGACCCAGAGGATGTCAGCAAGTTTTGCAAAGAACCTCCATATCCTGTCAAGTCGGATCAGACTCTTGTTGTTGGTCAGCTACCTGACAAGCCAGGCACTCCACCAAACCGTCCCATAATATCAACTAAGGATTTGGATGATAAGAGCAAGGAAGATCTTCTAACACTGCATCGTCTTTCTGGAGCTATCAGAAAGAGAAATCTCAAAAAGGGAGCATGGCCGATCTTCTTAGGAGACACTTCCGTTACTGTCAAGATTGATGATGTGCCCCTGGAGCAAGAGGAAGGCACCAAGGTCCTACCAGCTGATCCCTACATCAAGGTTGGCTACGTCGACTCCAATGGCGCCTCCGTAGTGACCAACACAATGGTACTTGCTGGTGAGATTGCTGCTCGATGGTGCTACGATCGCAAGATCCATATCCCTTACCGCCGGGACGTGGATTCAGCGAAGAACATGCCTAAACTCCTCGATTACACCACCAAGGAGATTTATCCTCTATTGTACAAGGGCATTTCACCATCGATGGCGCAGCGTCAGGAAATATCACGTTTGACTGGCGGTGTTGAACTGTCTACAGAGCCTGGCCCATTCTTCATGCTCGGTCTGGACATGTACGCCAAATCAACTTCTCCTCTTCGCCGCTTCTCCGACCTCATCGTCCACTGGCAAATCCACGCGGCATTGGCACATGAGCGCAACATGAAGCGCAGTATAGATTCTGAAGCTGATGACTTGAATGAGATCCTGCCCTTCACTAAAGAGACACTCCCCAATACACTTTCCCTGCTGCGTATGAGGGAGAAAATGGCCCGCACTATATCTCGCGGTACCAATGAATGGGTACTGATGGCGCTTGTGCGTGCTTGGAAATTTGAGAAAACGCTGCCGAAGCAGCTGGGTTTCACCGTTGTTGCCCGTTGGAAGCAGGGCGTGTCTGGCCGGTTAGACATGTTCGACCTATCGGCCAACCTCACCATTGAGGGCATCGACGGTCTCGTGCTCGTCAAAGACATCAGAGTGGGGGATAAGTTCGATGTTGAGCTGACCGATGTCAATGTTCACTCTCGGCATATCTTCGTCAAGGCACTCAAGCACCATCCCAATCCTAATAGCCAGACCGAACTAGAGGGTACTAGCCAGCCGGCACTCTCCCCGGATTCCCCGGACCCAACCCCGGCCTCGTGAGCTACGCCGCAGGGTCTTTCTCGAACACTGGCTTTGTTGGGGTAGAAAAGTTCTGAGCTTGAGCGTCACCGCCTTGAAGGCAACGGCATGTCTTGCGGGATCGTGGGCGAGATTGGCGGTGATTCTGTCTTACATGCTGCACTTTATCCTGCCCACTCCTAGCCTTTGTTTCTGGCGACTTATATCACAGCACACCACAGCGCTTGGCCGTCGATTGACGTGGAGTACTGGAGTCGCTCATTTCTCCCCCGCATTTTTGCACATCCCATCGTGTCACCCCCTGCGTCAGAAAACATGGGGTTGCCTTCTAGAGGATTGATTGTCAGAACCCTGACGTTTGTCCATCCAAGTCATGTGCTGCAAAACGCACTGTACAGTACAATTATTAACCATCACTCTCAGGGGGGAAACACTGGAACTCAACGGTAGATCTCCCCTTGCCCGATTTACGTCACCTACCAACCTGTATTATCACCTGTACAATATTGTTACACATACCATATCGGATTTGGAAGAGTTTTGGAAAACAAAAGCATGAGATGTACCGTAGATCATCCAATTATAGAATGACCAAATTCCCAAATCCTCATCGATGCCAATGTTGCATGTCGCGAATGACCATCGTCAAACGTTTCCTCGCTCTCTGTACGACACTAAGACAGCACAGTAAGCAACATGACATCCTCGGCTAATAGCCTCACTCACACGACATGCTTCCAGTCAGCCGTTGCCCCTGCCCCTGTCCTGTCCTGTCCTGTCCTGTCCTGTCCTGTCTTGTCTTGTCTTGTCTTGTCTTGGCTGCAAAACAAGTAAAGTGTTCATATCACCAATTAATCAACCGGCGACTCAACTCTCAATACTCCATGGACACTTGCATAGAATCTGCGGCAATTTGCTAGGGCACGCGGCATGAGGTCACGCGGCCAGAAGAGAACAGACCAGACCGTGTCCTGTTTCCCCAACAGTTTCTAAGACTTGCATTGCACGTCAATTGGCGATCAACGTAAACGAAATGCTCATGCTCATGCTCATTCGCCCGCAAAGAGCTTTTGCCTGCGCCTGAATTGTGGCGAAATTGTCCAACGGCGACCTGTAAAACATGAACTAGAAAAATCAAGGGCCCTGGATGATCAGCAAGGTACCAACCAACCTCAGGCAATTCGTCCCTAGTTTAAATGAACCGGCTCCAGATCTCAGTTGGATGGGTGACTGAACTTTGTATGATGTAACTGATCTAATATGGCCAAAGCCGATAATTGACGACATGATGTAAACAGAGTATTATTGTATCATAACATGCTTTTGTGTTGTTTTTTTGCAACGTATCTTTGATTCAGTCCGGTCCGCGTGTGTACGTCGAAATCCGATTCCCTGTCTGTATGTACAACGAATACACCAACGCACTGAAGATCCGGTCCTGTTGCCATTTGCCGATTGTGTCCTTCTTCTTCTTTTCTTCTTCTTCTTCTTTAATCCGTCCCTTCCATGGCCTTGGCCGTACCGTATAGTCGCCGTAGTCGCCGAAAAAAAATCAATTGACCCCATATACCTTTGCCCTTGCCTTTCCTGATCCGTCCGTAGCCGCCCGAGGCCGCCTGTGATCCGTAGTACCCACTTGCCTATGGGATATCATGAAGAAGAAAAAAAGCCCTTGCCACAAAAGAAAGACATGAACGAAAAATTATAACGCCGAATATCCACCGGGCCTGTGACCTTCGCGATGCTCCGTTTCCATCGCCCTGACTTTGTAGCCGGAGTCCGGGGGCCGGGGTGTCACGGGGCAGGTTGATCCTTTACTGATAGGCCTGATAGCCAATAATTGCGGTTTTGGTTGGAAAAATGCCTGGCCAGATGACTGACTTCCCCCCTGCTGTGAGGATTGCCTCACAGCCACCCAGATCCCGTCCACAAAAACAAGTACATTGCTTTTCTTTAGCCTTTTTGTCTCGGCCCATTCCGTTATTACAGGCCGTGATTGAGAGATAGAGATGCAAATCCTATTCCGCTTTCCAAAATGTCGTCGTGACTAGGCCATGTTGTCGACTAACAAGACCTTGACTTGTAATGGTCGCGGTATAATGACAGGTCAATGCCAATTACCTTTGAAAATCCCTTTATATAGAAGCGCTTTTGTTGATTTTTGTCATGGCGTCGTGTCAACTCACTAATTGTGAGCCACAAGCATTTGTGCTTGTTCAAATTCGAACTGCGTCGCTAAATGAAAGTCGAACGCGTGTATAACCATTACTTCCTCCATCCCACGTTCCAGATAACGTGGGCGATGTCCCGGGCGGTGTTGACCGTGTCGATAACGCGGCCAAAAATCCCATCTCCGGATTGCATGTCGCCTTCCTCGTAAGGCATAAACATACCGGATGGCGTGCGTCGCATACCCGCAGGCTCCTCACAGAGACTGCCTGAAGAGATGGATCTGTTTAGACCGCCATTGATACCTTCACTAGGTGGTGAAGCCCACCCTGAGCGGGGGCTCAACAACGCATCGTCGAGGCCGTCATCATGGTCCTCCTCCCCGAAAAAGAATTTTCCAGACTGCTTGGCAGGTCGCAGGGTCTCTTGTGACGAAGAAGGGGACATGAGCGGACTCCTAGAGTGCTTCATGGCAGTCTCTCGTGGTTCGGGAGTGTCCTCGCGGTATTTGAGTGTCGTTGATGGAAGCATGGCAATTGTCTTTCCTTCAGCTGCAGGCTTTGACTTCAAAGTCTTACGTCGGGAAATAGGCCTCTTCTTCGTCTTGACCTGCTTCATCATGACTCCATCGTCTGAATCACTGTCAGAGCCATAGTGGTCATCGATTGCTTCTTCTTCCTCTTCGCCCTTTATTTCAACGGCTATGCACTGCTCGACTTGCTCGTTAAAATGAATGTGTTTTCGCTCAGCACTGGGCGAAATGACACCTGATGACTCAACTGAAGGAGCGACGCTACTGCTGTCTCCACTCAGTCGACGTGATGCAAAAGGGTAGGCGAAGTAATCCGTGTTGGAACGGCCAAGGTGGGGTCGAAGAATTCCTCGTGTCTCTTGGGCCTTGACAGCGGCTGTGGCTTGCTTCAATAATGAGGCCGTGGACAGTGATCGCTGGAGCATAACTTCAGACATGCTTCGCTTCTTCAAGATGGGCTTCTTGTTAAGGTTAACAAGTGAGTCGGTCTTAGATAGCGACACACTGGAGGGTTCTGTGTGGGTAGGGTGGATGTTCTTGGGTCCTGACTGGAGCGGGCCGTAAAGCCAGGTGACATCACAGTCCTTGAGCCTTGGAGATGTAAGTATTTCAGTATATTCAGAGGATACATGGCGTGGGGGACAAACCAGTTGAGGGATTCGGGAGAGATGGTCTTGAGGTTGTTCTTGGCCTTCATCCATGTCCTCCAGGAAGCATTTTCCAATCGAGCGCTGTTGGGAAATTCTCCACGTCGAGTCACGACGTATCGCCATGATGACCAGATATCCTCTTCTCTCCATTCGTGGGACAGATAGTCGACCTGTCGCGAAGGTCTGCTTGAGACTGCAGTGTCATCCTCTGCGTGCTCGGACTTTTCGTGTTCAGGTGTTTCGGGTCTTGACGTATCCTCAGATACCTCTTCGGGGTTCTCATGTTCTGCAGGAGAGACAGTGTAAGAGTCGCCTGTTCGAGGACTGGGGGGTGGCTCTAGGTTGTCATCGTGGTGGATTTCGGGGCGGATATCTTGGTGAACGTAGAACTTCTCCTGCGCAAAGGAAGGAAACATAAAGTGGTCTTCAGGTGATTCAGCAAGGCCAATGGGATCGTCGTAATCAGATGCAATAGAGAGATTAGTGGCGGGGGTTGAGGCGTACGAAAGGTCAACGGAATCGGCGTGGACTGTACGGGGAGATGAGGGAGCAGATGAGGAGTTAGATTCGGCGTAAGATTTGGATGCTGGGTTATAATGATCGCTCAAGTGTGAGGAGGTGGAAAATGGTGAAGTCGATGAAATGAAGTTTGATTGTGAGTGTGAGCGTCGTAGACCGGAGCCGGCAAAGTAACCGTTGTCGTCGGACTGAAGAACGACAGCCATGATGGAGATTGGAGAAAGAACCGTTAGGATGTTTTTCAATGCCGGAGCACCAGGGATAGGTGAAGTTGATGGAGTCGAGGTTAGAGACTCATGAGTACAAGCGAGACGACACTAGACCAGAAGTCGAAGGTATGCTGGTGAAAGAGATATATTGATGATGGTAAAGTAAAGGTAGAGCGAAGATCCAGCGTGGGTACGAGAGTATAGAGAATATGTAGAATGAATGGGTTTGGCAATGTGGGTGGGGGGCCAGGCTTATAGCAGGTGCAGTGTCGACCTCTCTAAGTTAACAGCCGACGGGGCCCTGTACTGTGTGTAAAGCAGAGCAGGCGATAGCCGGGGTCCTTGGGCTTGGGGCAGGTGGACAGGTTCTGTTTGGGGCTAGTTCTAGCGTACCGGAGGAGCACGTAGCGTAACCCGGTGCTTGTTGGTGTTGTGGGTGTGGGCTTTTTTCGTTTTTGGTTTCTGGTCGGGGGTGTACAATATGGAGACTGGCGTACAGTACGATGGATGGCAGGCCAGGGATGAGCTAAACCCGGTCGAGGCGTGGTGGCGTTGGAGCGACTGAGACCTCCCCAGACCCAGTTGCGGTGACGAAAATCGTGGGGACTCGAGTCTGATCCGCTCTGGGTGGTTTGTTGCTTTGAGTCTGTACAGTAGTCTACTGCGCTGTACGGATACTGCACTGGCACTTCGGTCACCGGCCGGATAGCGGAGACGTGCGCCCGCTACGACGGTATTGGGCAGATGGTTACAGTGGGTGTCTAGCGAGGTGGGTGATGGTTACTGTTCCCCGGGCTTTGAGGATGACAAGTACCGACAAGGACGAGAACAGGAAGAAGAATTAAAAGTTGAATACCAAAACATTGAGGGTCGAAGAGATGATGAATAAATAGAGAAGGAGGGGAGATGAGGGGACGGGAGGTGATAAGTTAGATGGGTAGGTACGGAGTACTTTGGAATAATTTGGGTTTGGACTTGAGGAAAGGGCAATCAATAAGAAAGGAAGGCAGGAAGGGAGAGCGGGGGAGATAAGAAGCCACAAACCAAACCAAACCACCTTAATTCTTGAGACGACTTGACTACAAGTCGATAACACGCAAAAGTGCAGTACAGAAAGACTTCCACCTTGAGACCAAGACCAGCAAATACCTGTCAAAAAGTCTGTACTGTACTATATGCTGGAGGGCGTATCAATAGAGAATCATTCGCCAATTGATCAAATGATATCAGGGAGCAAGCGATTGCGATTGCAAAAAAAAGAACCATCGGTAGTTGACGAAGGGAAGCTCAACGGTCGAGGGAGTGTCGCAATCCTGAGGTGATGAGGTTGAACTGCACTGTAACTCTCCTCCTCAGCTATGTACTGTACACAACAACATCAGGGTATCTGGAGGTGTATCTATCTGGGTTACGACTGGCGGGTGAAGACGGGAGATTTGCTCAGGTCCAATAACTTTCCCAGTCTCCGATCCCATCTTCATCTGGGGGGTCCTGCAACTTCCCCAGTCCAGCTTCGCATGTAGCTTGCTGTATAGTAAGATATGCCATGCCCCAGGTCAATGCAAGAAAGTGAGCTTGCAGGGCCGGTCAAGTTTCTATGCTTTGGCGAGCAGCACATCAATCCCTTTTGGTGTTTAGCCAGTTACCATAGTGTATCCCGTACTGCTACTGTACGCAGATAAGGTCTAGATACGTAAGTACTAAGTAGTAGGTAGCTATCTACCGTATATGCATGCTGCAGTCTAGGTATGTTGAGTTATGTCAACGATGGCGACAAAAGTCCAAGCAAGAAGCTCATTGATTAACATCCGGTTCTCTAGACGAAACCAAGGGAGAAATACTGCTTATCTCGAATTAAAGCTAGCCTATGGCTCATTCATGTCTTACACAGCATATATCGCAAAAGGCGTCCACGGTTGCGTATAATGACTGATCGGCTTGCAGCAGCGATGTGCCACTGAGGTAACAAACGATGGCGTCTTTTTGGGGACCCTGAGGGGAAAGGCACGTATCGTGCATTTTTGTCTCAGCCGACTTTGAGCTTGACACCGATTTCGAAGCTGTGGAGGTATCGGCTACCACTTATCGACATGTAAAAAGGTCGAGGTTCTGGCCAAAGCGGAAGTACAGGGTACAGTAGGAAAGACTCAGATATGGCTTTACCCCAGACGTGGGGTTCCCGTTCAACTCAGTGCTGCAAAGCAACAGACAGTTCGTTACCTATCAAGCCATACAGGTCAGATACACCAATAAATGGCATCACATGAGGTTGCACGCAAACCCACGCCATTGCAATTGCAAAAGGTCGCTTTGTAATTGCATCTTGATTGTAGTATCACAACATCCTCCTCTGTAGAACAAGATGAGAAGCATTAGAGAAGGGGGGCGTGGGGGGAGTGTCTCTCAAAAGCGTGGAGGTCCTAAACCTGGGCTTCAAGCCAGCATGGGGGCGCAAGCGAGTCTGAGTGCTGTGATTATACTGCATTACCGTAATAGGGATGTCGAGACATCTGCAGAAATATTGAACAGAGCCATGGTAAGTGCCGTGCCCGCGCATCTGTATGTTGGTCCAGATCAAGATCAAATCCAAGGGAAGCGAGGCAAAGCAAAGCAATACTCACTCACATTCTTTCTTTTCTTGCCAATGATGAGTGTCGATCGGGAATGTGCCGTCAACACATGTGCTTTAGATAATGATTCTGAGTCAATCGAGAAGCCTTTGTTTCGGATATAATCCTTCTGCATTTCTCCAACAATACCGCAAGCCAGCCATGTACCGTAAACATCACGATAACCCAATACAGAGTACAACTCATCCCTTGGCTTGCGAACCGCCCTGCCACTGATTCAGTCTCTCAGCATTCAAAAGCTCTTGGACACATATCAGGAAGCCTAAACTCACGGCATAGCCGGCGAAACAATGAACCAGTCAGGTCTACGGATATAGCAACAGAGTCTGTTCGCATCTTACCTTTGATAGTTGATGCAACGTGATGTGATATTCTACAAACCAACTGGCCAAAAACTCCACAGTAAGCAAGCCAGGTTACTTGGAGGCTTCTCCAGCATTAGCATTGCCGAGAGCTCAAGTTCAAAGCGCCTTCAAGTTCCACAGGGGAAAAGTAGAATCGAATGTGCAACCCCATGACCTTGTTGTAAATGAATAAGATGCTATGACCTTGGACGTACGTAGACGATAATAATGCTTTAAGATGAAGCTACAAGGTTGTTTGCGGGGTTATAGAGCCCAAACTCTCTAAGCAATTTGCTTCCAAACCCACTGCATGGATGGAAGTAGCCGTTTGGTTGGGTTGCAGGGGGAGAGAAGAATGAGAATCCCGCTATCCGGTAGCGAACGATACATACGATGCAGACGGGTTCAGGTAGATAATTACAGACCCGGTCATGACGAGCAGAAGGTGATCACGAGTTCATCTCCTGAAGGTACCCATGAAGCAAGGTTTGAATTACAGTACAGTACGGTACCGAGTATAAGTGAGGTATTGCAGGGCAACGCGCGTATTGATTGGGGAAGCGAGCGGCTGAGACGAACCGAACCGTTCGAGTGTCCGTCCGTCTTTGGTCACAGGTGAAGAAACCAGCCTCACCCCGGACAGCCGAAGGGCAAGACAAGACAAGACGAGCACGACATTCATTCAAGATGAGTACTCAGAATGGCCCGGGCGTTTGATTTTCCCTGCTTCTTCTTTCGGCTGAATCGAGAGTCCTGGACTGGCCCCGTTTCTGTGCCAGGAACAGAGACAGGCGAGTCTCAGTCTCGTGATAAAAAAGGTCTAGAATGAACAATGGCACGGTAGGATCAATTCTGATAGAGTCCATTTAATTATGAGGTAAAAACACATCATACTGTAGCAAGAATTGCAGCGCCAACAGCAACACCAAAACAACGCCACATAACGGGACATGCCCGAGTCACGATGATACTGCAACTTTGTCCGGCTCGACTCACGGATAAAAGCAAGCAACAGTTTAAAAAAAAAAAACTAACTTTGAAGCCATCTGATCCTCTGTCAATCTCGTGTAACAACCCAATTAAGCCCGAGCCTTTCTCTGGAATGGGTTCGGGAACCAGATTCGAGACAACCAGGGGTACTCTACTGTACCTACAGCGCAGTCAAGCAGACAACCTTAGCAAGCGGAAGTCTCGAAAGGGCAAAAAGAAGCCAGGCCAGGGTAAGGGGGTGGTTCATTGAAAGGGGCCCAGCGGAACGGTCCAACCTAGACAACCGGCCCTGTCTTGTCCTTCGGGGGCCCACGATTAGTTCCCCCGTCGAAACCGACTCCAGGGGATTGGACGGACAACTCTTTGACTTTTGGGGCCTGAGCAGGGGTTTACAGTAGGGGCAGTCAAGTCAAGTCAAGGCCCAAGACGACAGCCTAAACAAGACAAGGGTCCATGTCTTTTTTTTTTTTTTTTT